TTGTCTCCCCTTTGCCCCTTGTCCCCCTTTGCTCCCTTTTCTCCCCTTTGCTCCCCTTTGTCTCCTTTGCCCCTTTGCCCCTTTCTATTGTCTCCCTTTGTCTCCCTTGCCCCTTTGTCTCCCCTTTGCCCCTTTGTCTCCCCTTCTTTGCCCTTGCTTTGCCCTTCCTTTGTCTCCCCTTTGTCCCCTTGTCTCCTTTGTCCCCTTTCTTGCCCCCTTTGTCTCCCCTTTCTCCTCCCTTTGTCTCCCTTTCCCCTGTTCTTGCTCCCCTTTGCCCCTTGTCCCCCTTTGCCCTCCTTTGTCTCCCCTTTGTCCCTTGTCTCCCTTTGTCTCCCCTTTCTGTCCCCCTTTGCCCCTTTGTCTCCTTGCCCCTTTGCCCCCCTTTGTCTCCCCTTTCCCTTGTCCCCTTGCCCCTTTGCCCCCTTGCCCCCCCTTTGCCCCCCCTTTGCCTTGCCCCCTTTGCCCCCCCTTTGGTTCCTAATCGTTGCTAATCGGATTGTATTTTGAATTTAAAAGGAATCCAAAATAATAGATTTACAAATGTCGAACCAGTCCAGCAATTTGACCAGTCATTTTTCTTTAAACTTACTCGATACTTTGGCATTTGAATTCTTTGTAATTGGTGAATTTATCAATTATAGAAAAATAGGGTTTTGTCTAGGCACCAACATTACAACCATTGCATCAAGTTAACACATGAATAAGAACCGGAATTAGTTTATGAGGATATTCGAATAAAGAGGTAAAAGACTCGATGTTAAATAAATCGCTGTCGTTTAAAAAAAACTACCAGATATCTGTTGAATATAATTACTAATATTTATTATTTATATTTTTTCGACATATAGCCCTTACTGTTTGTATTTATTGATTAGTTGATAATTTGACTCTCACCTTGGTCTCACTTATTTCATACTTCTGATGATAACCAAATTTGCATCTACAGCTTTTGATATTCCTTGCTTGATCCTTACAATTACAGAATATATTCTTGTTTCTTCCTTGATTTTTAATTTCAGCTCATAAAGGTTCAAATTCTTTGATCATGCGCAATGCACTAATTACATATCTGATTGTCTAATACTTTAATCTAATTTTCTATATAATTTATAAGTTTCTATTGTTTTCTAATACCAAAAGATCAGTGACCAGTTATATAAAGGTTCCGTGCACTACACAAATATTGCCATTTATTTCATTATAGCTTATTGGCTACTACATAATAATCTGGCTCTTTGATTTCGTAGTACTTGTGATTTATTTGTATAAGTTGTATTTCTTGGTTGCACAACAAAACATTGAAATCAACCACAATATTAATAAGATCAACCCTATAATGGCCATCTATTGAAAAGAAATCTCCAATTGGAAACATGGCCACAATTTGAATTGGAAGAAATAAAGAATCTGAAAAAGATAACAACATCAAAACCAACTACATTTTCCACAAATGCAACTTTTGGTTCGAACTTTTAAAATTCTTGAGAGCGCATAAAAGGAAGAGCAGAAAGACTGTTAATGATAAGAAAATAAAATATCTCGTCGGAATCATAAAAAAAAATTGTAAAAATGTGTGAAGTAATATTGGTACTTAAGCTTTTTTTTCTTAAAATATATTTTTAGATAAAAAAATAACAAAATGATAATTAAATTTTTAAAAATTGTAACCACAGCAAAGAAGTATTTCTGTCTTAAGAATAACATAAATATGACAATACTAAATACAGTTTGAACAAAAAATCACCACCAAATCATCAAATTTCTTACTACTAACTACAAGGGCATTGTCCTGCCACCATTTAAACCCCAAAAACTGCAAAAACAAGATGATAAAGAAAATTTTGATGGAAAGTTCGCACTACAGCATCTTTCCTTTAAGAGCCAATTGACAGGCACGAGGCTCTCTATGATGAGTGAAGAGTACATCAGCAATACATACACCAAGTGTAAAAAAGTAAAAACCAAGCTATAGCTAAGTGATTGTGCCTGTCATTGTAATTCTTGTAGAATCTCTTTTGACAGGGACGTCAACTGAGTCAGAAATATCCCAATTAAGTTTTGTTTTCCTCCGCCTAAACACAGGAATTCGTTAACTGCTCCTTTAAAGAAACCTGCCATTTTATAATGCATTTTAATGAATTGCTCCCTGTTCGTCGTGAGTTGGCATCAGGACCCTTCTTCTGCGATAGCGAAGATACACATCGAAACCACCCGTATTAAAAAGGGGCATATGGAAACTGGTAAGTCACCTAGTCAGACAATGGAAGGATAGCGCAGATACTGATGTTATATAGCTCTATCCCTTGAATAAAAATAATCAATCAATCTGTGAACTGATAACATTATTTCGATTTTAACTAATTGTGCCATTCTCATTGACAGATGATGATACTACCATTTAAACTTGACTAATACTCTTAATGATTAACGGAAAATTAAGTGAATTCAGTTAAAGAGAACTTCATAGAAATTTATAAAATACAAATACAAATACAAATACAAATACAAATCTTCAAGTTGTAGAAGTGGTTGCTATTGATATCTGTCAAAAGGATTATTCCTTCAATATTATAAAGTCAAATACCATTAAACGAAAGTTAGTTGTAATGAGGGTAATAAATTCTCACGGGAATCCTTGATGAACTGTCTTTTGGTATCAAAAAAATTGAAAAAATAAAATAAAAAATAGTTAAAAATATTGAAATAGAATTATGTAGAAAAAAAAATAAACATGCTTAAAATAAGCTGAGAAAAGCAACTCAATAAAATTTGATTATCTTCAGGGTATTTTCAGAAAAATAATGCCAAATGAGAGTTTAGAATTTTGGTGCGCTTACTATGCTTAGAAATTATTATATGGCTTGAGACCAAAAACATTTTGTCAAGTCCCCTTTCCTATTTAACCAGATTCACAGTAAAAATAACTGAAATACAGTGTCTTTTTTTATTGAAAAGCAGATTCACTAAATACAAACCCTAACCGCAAATAATACCAATTAACAATCCCCATAACAAAAGCTCAATTCACATAATAAAATTGCTTATTAATTTTGTGTTAATTTGAAATCGGCTAAATTTATGGTCACCTGTCGTATTTTCACGAATTTTGAATTCCGCTTTTTTCAAAACCCATTAACCCAATACCCGTTAATCCGGATTTTCAATACATAAAAGGTATAAAAGGATTTTTTTTTCTCTCCTTGATCTTATCAGATAAAAAAATCTTTTGATCATTTTGTCTTAAAATATATACACCAATTTCAAAATGGGAATGCATCATAAACCAACAGAGTCGTATCCGGCAAAAAACGCTGATGCTGCAGATTTGATTTCTTTTTCATTTATTTTGGCTTGCACTGTCATCCTGACTATTTTCCTAATTTACAACGGTATAAAATACCTTTTATCACGCACCAATAGCCAGGCCTTCAAAGATGAATATGAACTAACGTCGACACACGCAAATGAAGAAGAAGATACTCAGCAGCTGATGAAAGAAAATCAGGAGCTGGTACAACAACTTCAACGTGCAAAAAGATTGTCAAAGGCCGGTTTATTTGTCGGATATTTGATTCTAACAGCTGGGCTGTATCTGGGCGTACGAGCAATACAAGCTGGTCTCATGAAACAAAAAATTATAAACGGAGAAGGGCTGTTTGGTTCTGGAAGCTAAAAAAAAGTCGTTTGTTTTAGGTTTGTATTAAAAGTTATAACATTTCAATTTTGAATGAAAAACTTTAAAACCCCAAAGTTTTCATTAAAGATTTGTCACAATTTAAACGTCGTTAACGACCTCTTAAAATTAAGATGTTTGATCAAAGTTATACAAAGTTATATTTTCTATAGTCATTTTCATAAAGTCATTTTCACATAGGAATCCGTTGAGGATAGTAATTAGTCGTTGAGTTGTCGTTATCACATAAAAATTAATAAAAAAATCGTTTTTAATAAAGAATTCTTGTCGTGATCTTAAAAGGAGTCTGTTCCAACTGATCATAAAGTTCTTTAATACCAGATTCACTAACGTTGCAAACATCAGCCATGAGATATGCAATTTCACCATGACTTTCAGTATACTGCTTTTCAATATTATGATGAGAAAGAATCTCATTCACCGTCTTGAGAACACCAGGAACATTCTGATGAACATAAAGAACACGAGCCTTGTCGCTATCATCCGAAGGTGATGAGCGTAAAGAAACTTCAGGGAAGTTAACAGCGCCATTAGTAGAACCTTCATTGACATATCTCGAAAGCTTATCACCAACCTCAATACTAATGCTAGCTTGAGCTTCGGATGTGCTGCCACCGATATGAGGTGTGAGAATAATATTAGAAAGCTGACAAAGGCTAGAAGCCCAATCATTCAAAGAATCATTAAACAAGCCAACACCATTTTTAGCAGGCTCATTAGGATAAACATCAAGGGCAGCTCCGGCAAGCTTGCCACTATTCTTAGCCGCAATAAGTGCAGGAATATCGACAACGTGTCCTCTAGAAGCATTGATCAAGTAGGATCCCTCTTTCATAACATCAAACTGAGCAGTTGAAATCATTTTGAAAGTTTCTGGAAGCTGAGGAACATGGAGAGTAACGAAATCAGCTTGACGCAAGAGAGCTTCAAGAGTGGGTACTTGCTTGGCTGAGCCAAGAGGCATAATGGTGATAACATCATAATAAATGACAGTCATACCCATAGCTTCAGCTAAAACAGAAAGTTGAGAACCAATATGTCCATAACCCACAATACCAAGAGTTTTTCCACGGATTTCATAGCATCTTGCAGAAACCTTGTTCCAAGTTCCAGCATGCATCTCAATGGATCGGTCACCAAGTTGACGAGCAAGAGTGATAATCTCAGCAATTACAAGCTCAGCAACAGAGCGAGAATTAGAGAATGGAGAGTTAAAAACAGCGATACCTTTAGAAGCAGCAAAATCAAGAGCAACTTGATTGGTTCCAATGCAAAAGCATCCAATAACGATAAGATTTTGAGCTGCCTTCAAGACCTTTTCGTTAAGTTGTGTCTTGGAGCGAATACCAACAACATGAACGTCCTTAATTTTTTCAATAAGCTCGTCTTCAGGAAGAGAGGATTTGTAAAATTCAACTTGGTAACCTTGAGACTTAAAAGCCTCAACCGCATTTTGATGAACATTCTCCAAAAGAAGAACCTTGATATCAGTGGTAGAAAATGGTTTCAAAGCCTTTTGTTCCCTAGTGCCAGTATATGAAAGTCTGCGGCGGCCAAATGAGCCAGAAGGTGAACCAACATAACTTCCTTGAGCAGGAGAAGTAGAAACAACGTTAATTGGGCTGGACATAATAATAAGTTAATCGATAGATATGTGGGTGTTTAGAGATAATAGAAAAGATTTTAAACCAAATGCTGGTCTTTTATAGTTTAATCTATGAAATTTTCAACCAGACAAAAAAATTTTTATGCTTACCTTAAGACTTATTGCTTACTAAATAATATATGAATAATATTGACCTAACCCTGATATGACGTTTGGTACAAAATGAGTCATGAATTGGCACATGATGCGATGATTGACCGAGAAAACTTTTCAAAATATTATTATCCCACAGGTCATTACGCTACAAAACGTGATTTACAACATACAACCATTTACTTCTGTTAAATTAACTGTTTAAATTCTAAACTATTAAAATGAATGTTAACTAAAAACATGAAACATAATATCTAGTCTATTTTCCTACTTTAAACGACAATATATCATTATGACCACTAGTTATCTCGTCGGTTTCTGAGATTTTAATTCCTGGATAGGTTTCAATTGCTGAAATTGGAACATCGCCCATAATTTTTCGTGCGGCACTACCAGCAGTCGTGTTTTCTTTCAACAAAACGCATTCACGAAAATCTAACTTTGAAAAGTTTTTAACTGGAAAAACTGGTATAAGTCCTAAAACTTCGGCCGACGCTTGTAGAGTCTCCATGACACCTGTACTTCCAAATCGATATAAAACAGTGTCTTTAATATGCTCGATTTGGTTTTTTAACTTTTCATCTAAAGGTTTCAGACCACATCCTGCGCCCAGATCTTCGTAGGTGTCGACAAACTCTGTACCAGGCTCATATTTGATGTATCCCTGTTTTTGAAGTTTTCGTAAAAACACCTCAGTTAAAGCAGAACTTAAAACTACTTTGGCGTTAGGAAATTTCCTTAAAATTTTTGAAATATTTTTGTCCGCATCAGGATGATCAATCTTGTTTAAAGAAAGAACCGTTGGAAACTTTTCTGCCACAAAAGCTTTAACAACAGTAAATACATCGTCCATGGTCCAATCTTCTAAGGGACCAATTGGCTGTTCGATTCTTTTAAGTGCTCTTGCCACCAAATTTGCTGTGCTTCCGTAGCCACTGAATTGATTTTGTAATGTATCAATAATTGATGATTTTGTAGCTGTATGGCGGCGCTTAATTGAACCCCACCTCCCTTTTAAATTATTAAATACCCAAAGACGGATTTCATCAACTAACCATTCAATATCTGCTATAGGTGAGTATCCTCTAGTAGCCTTTCCTTCAGCATCTGTGGTTCCTGAAACATCAACAACATGTATTAAACAATCTGCGTGGCGTAAATCATCAAGAAATTTATTTCCAAGACCACGGCCTTCGTGTGCACCAGGAACTAATCCAGCAACATCAAGAAGCATAATAGGTACATAACGTTTTCCATCTTTACACCAACCATAATTTGGCTTACAGGTACCCACCTTATCAGGAAATCGGCTACAAGCACAGTCAACTTTTAAATATCCTGTATCAACATCATTAGTTAAAATAGCCCTATAGAACATATTTTTATCATACCAGTTGCCTTATTGGGATCAATGGTGGTAAATGGAAAGGCCCCAGTTTTTGCTTGAGCATCTGTCAAACCTTTCTATGGAGTTAGAAATAGAAAAAAAAAAATCCTAATGCATACTGTTTAATCTATATAATTTGATGTTAGAAATTAATAAAAAAAAATTCTCTCTGAACTTACGTTGTAGATTTCCCACTTGAAGGCTTTCCGACAATTCCAATTAAAGGGTCTCTAGGCATTTTCTTATAGCTTTCTAAGATAAAAAAAAAAAAAACTAATAATTCATGTTAAGTATAAAACTTAGTAACGTAACACAAAAAAATTTGGTAGCTAACTAACTTCAATATCTATGCTACTCACTAAAACATACCTAAGCATAATAGCGTGGAAGACTGTAAACCGCGAATATATTATCATCAACCTTTATTAATTCACTATACGTTATCATGCGACAATTTCAAAGATTTCAAAAAAGATTTTTTTCTTCCATAACGGAAATACCATCTGTTCCTCATTTGAAAAGCAAAACCAATGATTATCTCCCTCCTGAAGCACTTTTATTCTCTGATAAAGTGATATTTAAGCAGAAAATAACAACGGGGGCGTTAATATCTTTATTTGCTTCTCAGAAAAATTTAAATATTCCAGCTAATTTATTGAATCAGCAATGGGAGAAATCAATCGAATTAATTAATCAAAGATCTCCACTATACATTCCAGGTGAAAAATTAAGCATTTTACATCATAAAAATTGGATAATGGAAGTATTAGAAAGCACATTACATCCATTTATAAAATTTGGATCACCACTTCAAGATGACATTTTACGGGACCAACTTAAATATCGCGTTTATAAGAATCTCATTGATTCTCGAACATATTTTATTGAAAAGCCTATTATAAAATTTCTTCAAAAACTCCAAGTTGGAAATATACCGGTTGGATTAATTGCGAATTCATTTCCTCAGTTTGAGTCAATTATTGAAGGCATAGAGCAACGTATCAAAACCAAAAAACCCTTATTATCAACACCTAATAAACATTTTTTGCCATTTGTTAATGCCGCTGAAAATGGAATTGCAAAACCTGATCCTAAAATATTTTTAGAAATACTCAAAAAAATGAGCTTAAAATCACCTGAAAATATCTACTATGTTGGTGTTGATCCACTTTTAGACTATGCACCTTCACGAACTCTTGGAATTAAATCGGTTTTATTGACAAGTAATTTTAGTAAACCTATGACTGATATAAAGTATCTTTCCCCAAGACTCTGCCGAGAAAAAACTAGTTTTAGAATTGCAGATATTCAAGAGCTTGAAAGAGTTGTTCTTCCAAAGGAAATATATAAAAAACCTTACCGTTATAGGAAATAAAACTGATAAAAATTTGCAAGAGAAGCAGTACCATTTATTTTTTTTCATTTTTTTCTTTTAATTATACTTTTTAAATTTTTCCTCTGTTCATAACTATAGATAAAGAGTATGGATGAGTACCTTCAGATTTGTGTCGATAGTGATATTTTTTATCAATTCCCTTTTCTGGTTTTAAGCTCGATTTCAACTTTGAATGTCTCATAATTTCTTTAGATTCTGTTAATTCATGTTCAATTGCTTTAAGGTTTGCGGTAGAGTAAAAGTTTTTTCTTCCAAGTTGAGAAATGTAATTATTTTCTAAAGGCAGCATCCTTTTTCTTAATTCATGAATTGATTTATCTAAAGCTAGTTCAATCGCGCAACGATTTCGTATTAAAGACATTTTGGGCCACAAAGCCCTTTGTCCTCTAAGATGGGCTTCAAGAAATTTTTCTTTGGTAGGATTTTTGAATAAATCTTTTAAATCACCAAGGCTGATTTCAGGAAGAATCGTTATATCACCTGCATATTGTTGAGAAATGACTGCCCTAAGTTTAGATGAAAGGTTTTGAAATAATCCTAATTCATGAGTTACAAGTAAAAAATGAGAAATTTCATCAGTCATATAATTCTGAGCCTTAGTCATTGTTATGAGAATTTCATGAAAAAAACTATTGCTTTCTTTCATATTTTCCACAACAGACTTTAATAGTGTGGTAGCTTTCATTATTGGTGCAACATGTGGGTTAACCTGGCAAGCAATAAAATGATTAACATTGAATAGCTCAGAAAGACGAGCTAAAGGAATATCATTATCTACTGAACCGTCAATGTATTTTAAAGGAGATGGACTCCATTGGCGTATATCACCAGTAGTATAATCTTTTGATAAAAGAACGTAAGAAGGAAAAACAAATGGAACTGAACAGCTTGCACAAACTGCAGACCATATTAATACATTTGGTGAAGTTAAATAATTTAAAATTCGGGCTGATTCATAAATACTAGCTGGTGAAACAGTAACATTAAGAATTTTTCGTGTTCTGTTATAAGCTTCTTGGAATGTAATATTTCCTAATAACCCCTGGAGAGTATTTGCTAGATATTTATTATCAAGAACAGTACCATACTTTAAAAATCTGGCAAATCTGACATTGATAGTTTCTTCTTTCCCAGTCTCTTCAAAAATATCGAATTTTTCCTCAATTAAAGTATCAAAAAGTTCGTCAATTTCATGATCAAGATGAATGCACAAAATACTAGCAAATATAGACCCCGCCGATGAACCAGAAACAATACGAGGTAAAAGGTTATTGTGAAGAAGCTCCCTCATGACACCGACATGAATTAGTCCTAAGATACTTCCACCAGAAAGAACGAGGGCTGTTCGGCCAAAATTCTTACGTGTTTGAACTAAAGTATCAAGTATTTGAAGGTCTGCCAAAATGCCCTGTTTTCCATATTCAAGTAAGGTTTGAAGGCATTGTTCACATTCCAAAATGTAGTCTTCTATGATTTTTTTGGTTCCTGTATGAGAATAATTATAAAGTCTAAAATCCCCCATGTTTCCGAGATTCCGTTCAAACTGAGTACGTATCATAAACAGAAGACGACTTAAATCTCCAGACTGTCGACATTGATAAAATTCTTCAGTTCGGTGTTTTATTAATTTGTAGTCGTAAATTGAGGACTCATCTTGATTTTTCCATTTATCGTAACCATTTATATAATCAAGTTGTTCCGATGCCTCTCTCCATTGTTTGAAAGTGTTTGCACGTCGTTGTTGCTGTTTTAAACCCTCATCCGCAGTAAATGTATCTTGCAATAGAAAACAATCATTCAACTTTTTTAGAAAAAAATCCAGATTTGATATTATCATTAATTATATTGGCAAAATAAAATATTTGGGTATACAAAAAGGTAATTATTCATTTTAAGATAATTTAATTATCTAAAACTAAGTTTTAAAATACTTAACTAAAAGTATCTAATCTAATATATTCAACTCTAATTATGCTTGCAAAATAGGTGAGGGGTAGTTACTGAAAAGAATGATTGCATGTGAAAAATTATAGGTTACCCGGCATATAGCCCTAATTACGAAGCTTACTAATAAAAAAATTTATTATTATAAAAGGGGAGAAATTTTTCCTTTATTTTAGTTTCTTTCTCTTCACACATAAGCAGGAGTTTAGCATCTTCGTATATGGCCCTTGCCTTTTACCAGAGCCATCCGGGTGTTAACTCTTTAAATGCTATTATTATAGTTTTTGGAATTTTTTGACTAGTTTTTTTTAACATGTCTAACTTTTTACGTTAAATATGTGGTGTTCATATCTTTAATGTAAAATTTTTTTTTTTTTAGTTCTTGCAAAAACATTTTTAGGTTTCTGGGGTTTTGGACTATCTTTGATTACCTGGCAGTCTTTTAAGTTAATTTTCAATGTACCTGCCATATTAATAGGCTTTGTAGAAGGTGTTGTGCCTTTGGATAGTATTGCTTTTTGTTTAATTGCAGCGGAAATTTGCTTTTGTAGAATGTGCTCTTGAACATTGTCTTCAGATTCGTCATCTTTCTTTTTACTTAGAGTATTCTTTATTTCTAAAGCTCTAGGTGAATTGTCAATCCATGCAATACACAAACCGTCTTTCTCTGTTTCTTCAACCCTACATAAACCAATTTCATCTAGGTGTTTAGCGAATTGGGAAAGCGTGGCCCATTTTGTTGCATTCATATGTATATGATTCTTATTGGCAATATACTCCTGATAAAAACGATTAACGTTGATGAGTTTCTCTTGATGAGCTGATTTTAATAGACGGATAAAATCATTTTGAAAATCCCTGGAATATTCAGAAATTTTTCCGTTGAAATTTTCTCCAGCAACTAAAATTTGTCGAAGATGCGATTCACTTTGTGTATGACATTTAAATCCATTTTCATCCCGACACTGTTTTTCACATACTTGACAATACCATTTTAATTTTTGAAGGCCTTTTGCCTTCATCTTATTTGCAACATACTTTGGGGTTCCTACTTCCGCTTTCCCCATTTTTAAACAGTTATCTTGTAAATTTTTAGTGAATCAAATGTGATTCAGAAAAAATTCCTATTACACAATCAAAATTATGTAGGTTTAAATGAAAAATAGGAAGAAAAGGAAAAATGTCTAGGTGTGTTATTATCTACTACTAAATTAGTATGTTGAGTCAAAAAAAAATATGTTACATTTTGCCACTGATGGTGTTACAACTAATTAGACTTATAAGTCTATTCCAAAAATTTAAATATCGCCACTTGACTTTTTGGCATTTAAATAACTTCTCACCACCAAAATTTCAAACCCATCAATACCTTTTGTATAAATCGAATTCCACATTACTAGAAACGCAATTAAACCTTTGTGATATATATTATTATGGCTCTTGTTTCAGCTGCTCCGGTACTCGCTCTACTTGAGGAGCCTGACTACAATCTTAAGGAATATGCTCTCAAATCTTTAGATGAAAATGTTGGACAACTATGGGCTGAAATTGCAGACAACATTTCTCAAATGTAAGTTATAAAATCAAATATTAAACTCCATATTAACTTTTTTCAGTGAAGAATTATATGAAGACCCTAAATTTCCTTCTCAAAAACTAGCTGCTTTGGTAGCATCGAAAGTAAGTGTTTCTTTACATCTATAAGAGGTGGTTACTAACATTCGATATTAAAGGTTTATTATAATTTAGGGGAATTTGAAACCTCAATGAAATATGCACTTGTTGCAGGTGATTATTTTGATATAAATCAAAAGTCTGAATATGTTGAAACAATTGTTTCTAAATGTATCAATCATTACATTTCTTTGGCTCAAGGTATTCACGATTGGTCAAATAAAGAAAAAAACTCCTCCGACCAAAGCTCTTTGACTATAGATCCTGCTTTAACTGCAATTGTTGAAAAAATGCTGCAACGCTGTGTTAAAGATTCCGACTTTAATCTAGCAATTGGCGTTGCGCTTGATTCTAGAAGACTTGATGTCATTGAAGATATTATTGAATCTAACCTTCAAAATCAAGAAGAAGCATTGGATCTGATCAACTATGTTTTGGATTGTTCAATTAATCTTGTAAATGTTCGCGAGTTTCGAAACAAAGTCTTAAGAAGCTTGGTTCCGCTTATCACTAGCTTAAAAGAACCTGATTATTTTGCAGTATCAAAAATTATTGTTCAACTTAATGATTCAAGCATTGCAATTGATTTATTTAATGATCTTTTGAAAGATGCATCTAATGAAGATAAGAGACTTATTGCTTATCAGGTTGCTTTTGATCTTGTGGCCTCTGCTTCTCAAGAACTTCTTGAAAATGTTCATTCTCAATTTGAAAAACAGACTGGATCTGAGGAATATGCAAAACTTACTAAAATTCTATCAGGAATTCCTACATGTGATTATAATTTAACATTTTTAAAAAAACACATGAATACAGATATGTCTATTTTGAAAAAGACAAAAACCTTTTTGGATGGCCGCAACTCAATATTCCATTCAGCAGTTACATTTGAAAATGCATTTCTTCATGCTGGCACTACAACTGACACTTTTTTCCGAACAGACTTGGAGTGGCTTGGTAAGGCAACTAACTGGACGAAATTTTCGGCTACTGCGGCTCTTGGTGTTATTCATCAGGGAAATCTGACTCAAGCCCGCAGAATTCTTAATCCTTATTTTCCTGGTACTCCTCATGGCTCTTGTTACACACAAGGAGGTAGTCTTTATGCTCTTGGCATTATCTTTGCAGGTCATGGACGTGAAGTGATTGACTATCTTTGTACTCAAGTTGTTGATGGTAGTAGTATTCAGGGTCATGAGGGAGAAGTAGTTTTACATGGTGCTGCTCTGGGTCTTGGTGTAGCTGCTATGGGATCTGGAAATATTGACATTTACGAAAAACTTCGAACCGTTTTATATTCGGATTCTGCTATTGCAGGTGAAGCCACTGGATTAGCTATGGGTCTAGTTATGCTTGGATCGGCTTCGGAGACATCTGTTAATGAAATGCTTCAATATGCGCATGAGACTCAGCATGAAAAAATTATCAGAAGCTTGGCACTTGGAATTGCTTTGCTCATGTATGGTAAAGAAGAAGCAGCTGATGCCTTAATTGAACAGCTTATTTCAGAACAAGACCCCATTCTGAGATATGGTGGTGCTTTCACAATTGCACTTGCTTATGCGGGTACTGGAAACAACAAAGCCATAAAACAGTTGCTTCATATTGCTGTTTCCGATGCTAGTGATGATGTTCGTCGTGCCTCTGTCATTGGCTTAGGGTTTATTTTACTAAGAAACCCCACAGCTGTTCCTAGAATGGTTGAACTTTTGTCTGAATCACATAATCCTCACGTCAGATATGGAACCGCTTTGGCATTAGGAATATCATGTGCTGGCACTGGTTTGAAAGAAGCTGTAGATGTTCTTGAGCCCATGATGAAAGATTCAGTTGATTTTGTTCGCCAAGGCGCTTTGATTTCTATTGCTATGATTTTAATACAGCAAAATGAGAGAACATTTCCTGGTGTGAAGGCAATTAATGAAACCTTTGCCAGTGTGATTCAAAACAAGCATGAAGATTCTATGGCCAAGTTTGGAGCTGCTCTTGCGCAAGGTATTATTGATGCTGGTGGAAGAAATGTTACAATTTCACTTCAGCATAGCCAAACCAATAATCTTAATATGAAAGCCATTGTAGGGTTGGCAATTTTCACACAATATTGGTACTGGTTTCCTCTTACTCACTTTCTTTCCTTATCATTTACTCCCACTTCTATAGTCGGAGTTAAAGAGGATCTTTTTGTCCCCTTATTTGGGTTCCATAATAGTGCTAAGCCTCGTTTATTTGCTTATCCCCCTAAGGTTGAGGAAACTAGTGAGAAGAAGCCTATCAAGGTTGAGACAGCTGTTCTTTCGACAACAAATCGTGCAAAGACAAGAGCTCGTAAAACTTCAAAGGCTACCGCCAAGCTCTCGGAGGACTCAAGAAAAGATGATACAGACGAAAAGATGGAGACCGATGATACTAAAAAGTCTCTTTCGAGTGAGGAATCTTCAAAAGAAGCAGAAAAGTCTGTGAACTCAAGTCGCCGTTCAAATAGGTTAGATAATATGTCCCGCGTTGTTCCAGCTCAATTGAAGTTTATTTCATTTGAGGAAAACTCGCGATATGTCCCAGTTAGAAGACTTCGTGAATCTGGAGGTGTCATATTAGTTAAAGACTTGACTCCTGATGAGCCAACAGAACTGATTGTCACGGTACGACAGAAGTCTGAGGAAGAAAGTAGTGAAGCTCCTCTACCTAATCCTTTTATTTACGATGATGAAGATGAAAGTCAAGAAAAGTGAATAGAAATTTAGAAGGATGGAAGGATAATTAATGTTGCCTTATAAATTTACTAATAAATATACTCTATGTTAAAGAAATCTTCCTAGTGCGGGACCAAGTGCGTTCTTCTCTTTTCGTAATTTTTCGACCCTTTGTAATTTTTGTTTTTGAAGATATTTATCTCTCGCAAGAACCTTTTGAACTTTTGCATTCCGACTATCAGTAGATTTAAACCCAGTATTCAAGTTGGTGTTTAGAGTTGGTGCATCGTGACCTAATTCTTGAGCTTCAGCTCTTTCTGATGCTTTGATTCTAATAGTATCCACTGAAGATGCAAGTTTGCCAATCGATGTTGGGTCGAGAACAATCATTTCTGGCTGAAGCTTGTTTAGAAGTTCACGCACCTCATTTTCGCGACGACCTTCTCTAGAAGCATTCATGAATGGATTAACTTCAAGGCCATCAAAGTTAGCCTCACCAGAGCCAGGAATGATCAATGAAGATACTCCTTTAGCGTGACCAACTCCTAAAATATCTTCAAACGGACAAAATCGAACATTTGCAACTTTGGAGCCAGGAAACGAATGATTCATGTATGGAGGGTTCGATTTACTACCAGTGGTAAATACATCTTTCCATACTTGAACATGAGACGAAAACCCTACACCTAAAAGGCCAGATTCAGAAATATGTAAGGAAGTCGCAGGTGTTGGTGAGTAAACAGAATTGACATGTTCCTTAAAATTCCTTATATCCCAAATTTTAACAGTCTTGTCGCTTGAAGCGCAAGCCATATACTTCCCTTCACGGTCAACTGCCAGTGATCTAATAGGGCCTCTACTTGCGAGAAGCTTTATTAAAGGGGATTTTACTGTTGGAGACCATAGAGTAACAGTTCCATTACCGTGACCCAAATGAAGTATAGCGTTATAAGGATTTTGAGTAAATGATTGTGTGGGACCTAACCGGGTCTTATGATCAGCAACCAGCTTTCCAGTAGAAACATCCTGGTATTTTAAACATCCCGTATTACCAACTGAAGCTAAAAGAAAATGAAAAGGAAGGTATTCTAACGCTGTAACATCAATGTGGTCTTTCAGCTTATGAACTTCAGTTCCAACACTATCATAAATAAAAACATATTTTTTTTGTGCAGCTGCGTAAAATTGGTTATCGCCTTGAAGCCACTTTCCGGCACGAACACTTTCTCCAACGTTAATTTCAGATTCTAGTTTTCCTTGTTTCCAATCAAAAGACGCTATATGCCCTTTTGAACCACATATCAACAGATGGTTTCCCGTACGAGAATAATCAACCTTATATGGTCCTAAATCATTGAGCTGAAGATCAAAAGATTTTCGTGTTGTTTGGATATCAACGTTATCTTTTATGTCTTTTTGACTAATTTTATAAGTTTTTTCAAGATCATTTTCGGTTTCTAGGTATCCCTTGTCTTCTAAAAGCATAAACTCTTCTACACGAGCGGCGGATAACGCAGCCTCTTTAAATTTCTCTTCTTCATGATGAAGTTTATTTTTCAGATGATGGCTCTTCACTTTCTAAAATATGTTAAATCATAACAATTCAAATATATATAACAAAATACAATAGTTACCTTCAAATTACGAGGTTTTCCTCGTTCATACTTCTCTAACGACGGATTCTTTTTCGGGTATTTTTTTTCTGAAGTTGCCATTTTTACTCCTGAATGAACAACTTGGATCGTGGTACTTGAGTAAATATTACCAAAATAAAAAAAATAAAATAAAACGAAGACACTAATATTAACATCTTAAAAAATTTTTTTAATGTTAATCACGTGATATAAAACTTATATTTGATTTGAAGTATTGTTTAATTATAAATAAAGCACAAGTCTTAAGTTTATTTTTTCTCACTTGAAATTTACAAGGCCCTCTTCTTTTTTATTTCTGGTTCTTTTATCTACAAACAAGTTCTTCTACATCAACCAGCACAACAAGCTTAAGATCAGTTGCGAAAATGTCTTGGCGTCAAAGAAAAATACCCCTATCTATCTACAGAGGAGGAACCTCTAGAGCACTGTTTTTTCATAAAAAAGATATCCCTGTAGATCCAGTTCTCCGTGATAAAGTTTTGAAGAGAGCTATGGGAACACCGGATCCTGATCAAATCGATGGTTTGGGATCAGGTGTAAGCACACGGTCTAAGGTGGCTATAATTTCAAAATCAAACAATCCTGGAGTTGACATTGAATACACATTTGCACAAATAGGTATAGCAGATGATACTGTGGATTACGATGCCAACTGTGGAAACATATCGTCCGCGGTAGGTCCTTTTTCTATTGATGAAGGGCTTGTTAGTACATTCCTACCTGGAAAAACAATTAATGGTGGAATCAATACTCAGTTAGTTAGAATATTTAATACGGGAACCCAAAAAATGATATATTCACATGTTCCTATCAATTCTGAAGGAATAGTTCAATTTGAAGGAGATTTTAAGGTTGATGGTGTTCCAGGTAATGGCGCCCCAATTTTGATAGATTGGAAAGATACCGTTGGAGCTTCGAGAAACTTAGGGCCATTACCAACTGGAAATCCTATCAATTTCATTAATGTCCAAGGAGTTGATATCCCAGCAACAATCTGTGATGTTGGAAATATTGCGGTTTTTGCAAAAGCATCCGATTTTGGCTTGACGGGATCTGAGAGTAGACAAGAAATTGACAATAACCTGGATATTGATAGAATGTTGAGAATATTTCGATCTAAGGCTGCCGAGCTTGTAGGAATGACTGATGATTGGAAGAAAGTTGTGGATGAAACTCCATTCACTCCATTTATTGTTTTACTTTCTTCTGTATCTGAAAGTACTCCAGAGATGGACATTCAAGCGCGCTTAATATTAAAAAACCATTGTCATCCGTCATTGGCAGCTAGTGGAGCTATCTGTATTGCAGCATGCAGTCGAATACCTGGAACTGTACTAAACAACATGATTTCTAAAGAATCACTTTTAAAAGATCATATCAAAATTTCTCATCTAAAAGGAAGTTTAACAGTGTGGGTAGAGACTGGAGAATCGCAAACATCGAAAAACACACATTTTGAAGTACTTGCAATTGGAAGAACTGCTCGAAAAATATTAGATGGATACGTCTATATACCTGAGACTGTTTGGGAAAGTTAGCTTCAAAATATTTTTTTTTTCTTGGAATTTTCCACGAAATAAACTTTTTTTTGTTAATTGCTTATTGTGCTCTAAAAAAAAACTGTAAATTTAATTTGCGAATTTATCAATTGTGCTTTCAAAAGTTCTGTAGAAAAACTAAAAATGTACTCTTGTTAGTATATGTAGCTAAAATTACTCTCTTAAAAAAATATATAGGGCTAGGGCATCTGATTTAACAGCCATACGAATATGTACATATATAACTTCTCCTACCAAATTTAATATTTTGATTTTTTTTTCTTTCAAATAGGCTAAACTAAACTTTTAACAGCAGATTTTTAATATAAAAAATTGACTGATCCATCTAATTAAAAGCCCAAACAAAAATGCAAGCACCTGTTGTTGTTATGAGTAAGTTTGATATTGTTTTTTTAGATAAAAATTTGTTCAACTAACTTCTTAAGATGCCGGTGGCGAACGACAGACTGGACGAAAGGCCCAGGTGTCAAATATTACTGCAGCAAAAGCGTACGTATCAACTACAAACATTTGTTTCTATAATTTGCTAATCATGAAATGAAAATAGTGTTGCTGATATTATTCGGACATGTCTTGGCCCTAAAGCTATGCTCAAAATGCTGCTTGATCCTATGGGCGGAATTGTTCTTACCAACGATGGCCATGCAATTCTTCGTGAAATTGAGGTTGCTCATCCAGCTGCCAAAAGCATGATTGAGTTAAGCAGAACCCAGGACGAAGAAGTTGGTGATGGAACGACAACTGTTATTATTCTTGCTGGTGAGATTTTGGCTCAAACGTTTCCATATGTCGAGAGAAACATTCATCCTGTTATTATTATTTCAGCTCTTAAGGAAGCTTTGAAAGATGCACTTGAGATTATTCATGATATTTCCAAACCTATTGATACCAATGATGAATCTCAGATGATCAGCCTTATTCGATCATCTATTGGAACAAAATTTGTTTCTAGATGGAGTAACCTTATGTGCAAGTTAGCTTTGGACGCTGTCAAAACTGTTGCTATCGAAAACAATGATCGCAAAGAGATTGATATTAAAAGATATGCCCGTATTGAAAAGATCCCCGGTGGTGAAATCGAGGAATCTAAGGTTTTGGATGGTGTTATGCTAAACAAAGATATTACACATCCTAAAATGAGACGACGAATAGAAAACCCAAGAATTATTTTGTTGGATTGCCCGCTAGAGTACAAGAAGGGTGAATCACAAACCAACATTGAGATTACAAAAGAAGAGGATTGGACACGAATTTTAGAAATTGAGGAGGAGCAAATAAAAACTATGTGTGAAACCATCCTTTCATTTAATCCTGATATTGTTATTACTGAAAAAGGTGTTTCTGATTTGGCTCAACACTACCTACTCAAAGGAAACGTATCAGCCCTTCGACGCGTTAGAAAAATGGATAACAATAGAATTGCTAGAGCTACAGGTGCTACTATTGTTAACCGTGTGGAAGATCTTCGTGAATCTGATATCGGTACAAGATGCGGATTATTTAATATTGAACTTATTGGTGATGAATACTACACATTTCTTACGAAGTGCCAAGATCCTCATGCCTGCACCGTTCTTCTGCGTGGCCCTTCCAAAGATATCCTTAATGAGATTGAGCGCAACCTTCAAGACGCTATGTCGGTGGCCCGTAATGTTTTTTTTGCTCCTCGTTTATCTCCAGGTGGTGGTGCTACCGAGATGGCTATTAGTGTTCGCTTGGCTGAAAAGGCCAAAACCATTGAGGGAGTTGCCCAGTGGCCTTATAGAGCTGTTTCAGATGCTATGGAAGTTATCCCACGAACACTTGTCCAAAATTGCGGTGCAAACCCTGTACGCATTTTAAGTTCTCTGAGAGCGAAGCATGCTCAAGGTGGTTATACTTTTGGTGTCGATGGTGAAAATGGAAAAGTAGTTGATATGAATGATTACGGAATTTGGGAGCCAGAGGCAATTAAATTGCAGTCGATAAAAACAGCAATTGAAAGTGCCAGCTTGTTGTTGCGTGTTGACGATATTGTTAGTGGTGTCCGCAAAAGCGAATCTTGACAACTTTAGTTTAATTATGTTTAAATACAATTTGTACTATAAATATTTACGTAAATATCAATTATTGATCTTCGTCATTTGTATTTTCTTGCTGCGGTTGCGGCTCAAATCCCAAGCCCTCTACAAGGCGTAAAAGTTCTTCCATTTCTTCATTTGAAAATCGTTGATCACATTCCTCAATAACATTGTAAAGTACAGGCAAAGACTGAGGTGTAATGTTGATTAGCTGAAGGACTTCTGCTTTTTCCAGTTCAAACCTTTTAATTTCATTAACAAAGGTATTTATTGAATCTGTACTTTGTGGGTGAGCACCATTTCCTGCTGGCCTGTCTCTCAAGTATGCATGCAACTAAAACAATTCAATAAAACGAGAGTTAGGTATTTCAATATGTCATGTAAATTTCACGATTTATTATACCTCTATCAAAATAGTTTCTAAGTTTTCGGATTTTGGACCGGATTTAACATTTTGCTTCAAATCGGCTTGGACTCGACTTTGCTTAATACTATCGAGATGTTTTAAAACCTCAAAATCTAGTAATAGGGAGTTACGCTCTTCTTCTATCTATAATTTTTATTAGAAAATATTTAAAAACTAGCACTCTTATTGCCATCGCACCTTCATTTCGTTATTGGAGATTCAAATAAACACTTGAGATAATTTAGCTACAGGCGATTACCCGGAAAATACGGGTTCGAACCAATGTATTTCTATAGAGTAATTAAATATTAAAAATATTACATAATAAAATGAGCCCTAACAACTATTAGGGCTTATTATGTGACTTTGGTTTCCAAATTTAGTTTGTAACAAGCAAATTTGTCATAAACCCACAAGGCATATCTTCTTCTCCAAGATTGCGGGATGTAATCAAAATTTTCTATCAAATTTCATTTTTAGAATCTTTTCTGTCTACACCTCAACCTCATAGCAGCCAGGGATAGTTCAACATGCCTCTTGTCGTCACAGAAAAGGGAAATTTCCAACACATTCTTCGGTATGTCGTTATTTGGAATTTGGTTTTAGAGCTACTTGCGTGGATATATGGGAATTTAAAATTTTTCTAACAATTTTTTTAGTCTTCTCGGCACTAACGTCGATGGTAGAGTCAAGATCATGTACGCCTTGACCACCATTAGAGGTGTCGGTCGCCGCTATGCTAACTTGGTTTGCAAGAAGGCTGATGTCGATATGTCTAAGCGTGCTGGTGAGCTTACTGTTGAAGAGCTCGAGAGAATTGTCACCATTATTCAAAACCCTGCTCAATATAAGATTCCTGCTTGGTTCTTGAACAGACAAAGAGACTTCTACGACGGCAAGGATTCTCACCTTCTTGTTAACCAGCTTGACAACAAGCTTCGTGAGGATTTGGAGCGTCTTAAGAAGATCCGTGCTCACAGAGGTCTTCGTCACTACTGGGGCTTCCGTGTTAGAGGTCAACACACTAAGACTACTGGTCGCCGTGGTAAGCAGGTCAGCTCTGCTGGTAAGAAATAAATTTCTTAATTGCTTTTCTTATTACATAAAAATTAATGAATATACGGTAAAATTTGATTCTCACCTTTTGATTTATTTATCTTAATGCTCATGTTTAAATTTTTTTAATGTTTATTTGTAAACCGTTGATGTAGATATATAAAGTTATCACGTGAATTTTTATTTTTTATTTTATGTACATAAAAAATTTCATCAGTGATTATATTTTTTGCCACTATCATACTCTTTTGACCATTTAAAAACGACATAAAAGTAACAATAAACCAAAGTTCTACATATGGGTAATATAATGTCTGCAAGTTTTGCTCCAGAGTGCACAGATGCAAAAAAGGCATATGATAATTGTTTTAATGAGTGGTACAGCGAAAGTAAGTCACAAATAATGATAAATAATCCTAGTTCTAATTATTTTTTTGTATAGAATTCTTGAAGGCTAAATCTGTAAGCTTTATTATCTTAACATATAGTTTTTTTTCTGACTGTTTAGGTAACTAATGAGTGCGAAGATACCTGGCGGGAATATGAATCCTGCATTCATGTATGTTAAGCTATTTGCTCCATCATCTACATGTTGCTAACGTATATTATAGACTGCTTTAGAGAAAAAAGGTATAAAAACAATGTTAAACGATGCTCGAAAAGATGCCCCATTTGAAAAGGGGGGAATCAGCCAAGCTCATGAAACTACTCCGGATAATTCTAAGGTTGAAGCGACGTCAAAATAAGATTATTTGAACAATTGTATATATTAAAACTAAAAAAAAAATGAAGTCAAACTGATAAAGTTACAATTTCTGAAGTCTGTGTCCTTTTTTAACTATTCTGCTTTTATCAATACCTGAAACATTTGGAGTACCTGCAAACATCATAACATTTGCAAGTTCTGTTTCAAAAATTGTTTCCATAAGTTCTACACCTTTTTGGCCGTTATATAGAAGTCCATATAGTACTGGTCTTCCCACCCAAACAAAATCAGCACCAAGAGCTAATGCTTTAAATGCATCGGAGGCGCGTCTAATACCACCATCAAAATGTATAGGAACTTTTCCATTTGCAGCAGCAACTACTTCTGGTAACGAGTCCAAGCTTGCTAAGGTAGAATCTAATTGTCTTCCTCCATGGTTGGAGACCCAAATCCCATCTACACCAGCATTAATAGCATCTTTTGTATCTTCTGCGGTCGCTACCCCTTTGACCCATATTTCCATTTTTGTAATAGAACGAAGCCAAGGAATAGTAGAGCTCCATGTAAGGGTTGGATCTAAAGCATTGGAGGTCTTAATTTCTTCTTTTTTAGAATCATCCAAAACAGCCTTTCTAGCAATCGAGTCTGGAGAAACAGGATTGTCAATAGCACCATCTCTAGATTCAAAGTTCCCCAATTTAACGTAAGAAGGCAACTTGAAATTGTTGTAATTGTCGGCTGGTCTCATACCAACAACAGGTGTATCTACCGTAAGTGCAATTGCTTTATACCCAGCTTTTTCAGCCCGTTCAACTAGCTTTTTTGTAGTTTCTCTATTTTGAAAAACATAAAGCTGCAGTACAGCAACATTTTCTCCTCCCGCTTGCTTAACTTCTTCAAGAGACTTAGTAGAGTAGGAAGAAAGCGCCATTAACCAATTATGAGATTTTGCAGCTTTAGCGGTTGCTATTTCACCTTCTTCTGTTGCCAATTGATGAAAGCCAGATGGAGCAAAACCAATTGGGAATGAGTATTTTTTTCCAAAAATTTCTTTGGGTCTCATATCTATGTTAGAGACATCTGTCATAACTTTGGTTCTAATTCTATATTCATCAAAAACACTTATATTTTCTGCCAACGTAAACTCTTCTGATGCACCACCTGCCCAAAATTCACGAACCTGTTTTGTTGCTAAGGGAAGAGAGGCGCGTTCCAGATCTTTAATAGAAATGATTTTTGCTGGAGGACTTTGGTATTTAGTCATTTTTAACGGATATCAACAAATAAAGTATCATATAAAAATTATTGATTGAAGATAAAGTAACCAAATTTCATGGTTTATATACTTTTGACAAAAGCGGGGTATTATGTGGGGGTAGAATAAAATATATTTGTTTAATTTCATGACAAGAAGATAAAACAACAAAATGAAAAAATAAAAATCCTTAAATCGAATATTATATCGGTTATAGATGGGATATCTAATTGAACATCAGATTCTTTTGATATCTAGGGCATGTTTAATGTTATTTATATTTAAACTAATTAGTTTATCTAACAGGCGAATTGTCTTTAAAATTAATTAGCTTATAAACTTTTATTGACTGCATAGTGTACAAATTAAATAAGTCATATAACCTATAACTTATTACCTACATTTTATAAAAATTTAAAAGGCCGGGTAACAGTATTAATATCTTTTGGATTCTTAAGCTTGCTCAAACCACCAGTAAATTTGACACAAAATTTTTACTTTCAAATCATTATCTTACACACAGCCGTCAATATGCTTAATTTATTCACTCGACCAAAAGCCTCGATCTTTAGGGCCACTTTAACCTCTCCATCTTCATTATTGACACCTATTGCCACTCCTTTTATTCACCAATCACCAAATGTTATTTCTTCACGAACCCTTTTGAAAACACACAAAGGTGCTGCGAAACGATGGAAAAAAACTGGCAATGGCGGATTCAAGCGTGTAAGTCTATTCTTTTTTTTTTTTTTTTTTTTTTTGGAAAGAATCAACTAATTAATATATATTTTATTTTCCAGGGGAAGGCAGGCCATAATCATGGTAATGTGGATTGGAGTCGGAGCGTTGTTAACAATGTTTCAGGAACCGCTTATGCTAAGGGTTCGGGATATGGAAATCACTTGAAGAAACTTAACAGACTTTTACCGAATGCTTAGAGTAGATAAATTCAACGTTGAAAAGATTGTACATAGTAATAAAGATTATGAGTTGTGGTTTATTTTATTTATTTATTTAATTTTTTTTTTGGTGTGCCTACATTGCCAATAAAAACCTTTGCTCTAGCTAATAAATTTTTTTTTTTTTTTACCAATTTCTTATAAAATTGAAAATTTAAAAATGCCTTTAATCGAGGATTTAGGATCTATTAAAGTGACTGGAAGTGCTCGATACTATTCATACACAGCAACTTCTCTTCCATCAACTCCATCTATCTCAAACTCTTCTGGTACATCTCGAGGCAAAAGATCAACAGCCTTAGATCGCAACAGATTTACAGATAGTGCTACTAGACAGCGTGCCATTAAAAGAAGAATCGCGGAACTTGAAAGAGAAAATTATAACGAACAACATTTGAGGTTTGATATTCCTCGCATCGACATTCAAAGCCAGACAGGGGGTTACACTTCAGAAAATAATAAAAGACGACAAGCAAGATCTCATACTAATAGATCTGGGGCCACACCTGCTACTCGAAGGATACTTGCTTCCAGAAAAACATTATCTAATTTATTAGATGATGATCATATTTCTGCCCAATCATTATCAAATTTAGTAACAAAACCTGCTAAATATCCAGTAAAGCACTTATGCAGTATATGTGGTTTTCAAGGGATTTACGTTTGTATGAAATGCGGGTTAAGATACTGTAGCTTAAAATGTGATTCTACTCATAAAGAAACCAGATGTTTAAAAATGTATGGTCATTAAGATGTTACTCGACTTTGTATTTCACGCTTCCACTCATGATAATCTTCAATTCTTGAGACGTTGGTAAACGACATATTACCGGAAATCTAAAAAAAAGTTAATCAAACATTATCAATTTTAAACTTATTGACATACCATATTTCCAATTCCACTTGAGTACTTTTTGTACTCCTTTTTGAAAATAATTCTTTTAGAGTTGGGATTTGTTACTTTTTTTATCCAACTTTGATCATTAATAATGCTGGCAGCCCACTTGATCCATTCATCTAAACGCAATTGGTCCACTTTTGTAAGAAATATTAATTTAGAATATACGTGTTGTGTTTTTCCTTCAATGATTGCAGGCTGTGCTTTTGAGACAACAATCACAATTATTCCACATAAAAGTCCCCATTTATCTTTCACCAAATTGTTGTATATACGGTAGCTTTTTAAAATTGCAGACGTAACGTTACTAGCGATTCCTAATTGAACACAAAGGCTAACAACTTGTTGTTTCGTTGGATCACTTGCTTTGTTTCCACCTTTGACCAAACTTGTCTTCGTTACTCGTTTGTTTTTCACATTTGTTTCTTTAGTAGAAACAGTATCGTTATCTAAGGAGGAAAATTCAAAAGAATTCGGAAATGGTTGATTATTTGTTTTAGAAGGAGATACAGTAACAACGCCTTCAACAATCGGTATATATTTTTTTTTAGGAGAGTTGGGGGCCCGATGTTTTTTTGGGGAGTTTAATTTGACCAAAGGTTCTGAAAGAATTTCATTGGGAAACAATGTATTTCTAAAATGATTTGCCAGTGTTTTGAACCTGGAAGGAGGTAATGATACTCTTTGAGCATTAGGGATTTGTCCGTGCATTACATCTTGAACCCTTCTTTCAACTTTCTCAAAAGCCAACAAAGCACAAATCATTGAACGAGCACTTTCTTCATCTGGTTTCAAGTGTGGTATTAAGTATTTAGAGCGAGATAAAAGGAGTTCTAACTCACTTTTAAGTGAGTCAGGAAACTTGCTTGAAAACCCAGGAAATATATTACTAAGAGCCTGAATGGCTTCGTTTGTATTGCTCATGTTTTGTTGTTAATAGAAGTAATCATATGGTTGAAATGTTAAAAACGAAGGGCTGAGGTTTTGTTTACAGGATTAACATAATAATAATACCACGTGACCAAAAAAAAATTTTAACGGGTAATTTTTTTTCTCAAAATAAAAAAATTTATTCGAACAAGATTTTCTATCATCTCTTGACTTGATTCTTACAGGTCATACTCCAATTTTAAGCATTTACTGCCGCTACCACACAATGGGAAAAACGGAGGACAAGAAACCTGATTTTCTTGAGCAAGATTTTTTGCTTGAAAAGCTAGATCGTATTCGTTCTCAGGAAAATTCGAAGCTTCCAAACCAAAAGCAGGTATGTATTAATATTTTTCATTATTAATTTAACACTGACATTAAGTTTTAAGCTTGCTATTATTCTCTCCGCTGTTGAAGAAAATTTAGATGAAGAGAAGACAGATCACAGTCCTACAGCGTATTTTGTTTCTTTTCTTGGTCTTTTAGAACAGGGGGAATCTGCCGGCAATAAAGATTTAGTGACATCTTCACTTTATTTTCTTGATCTGATTTCACCTTACGCTCCTCAGAACCTACTTCAAGCGAAGTTTACCCAGATTCTCATTAAACTTTCGCCAGTATTGACTGATTCAAATGCTGATGCCCCTATTCTTAAATCATCTATTGGAATCTTAGAAACTTTGCTTCGGGTTCAAGATTCAACCGCATGGTCAATTTCCGCATCTGAAGCTTCACCAAAAAGAGGTTTGATTGGATTGATGGCATTTGCACTGGATCCACGCCCAAAAGTAAGGAAGAGAGCACTTGAGGCTGTTTTTAATATTCTCAGTCATCCCTCCGATTCATCTCAAATTCATCTGGGAGGTTCCGTTTGTGCGGAAAATGCTTTGAAATCGGTTTCTACATTATATTCTGATTTTCAAAAGGGCACTAATAAATCAGATTTATTGGGGAATCAAGGGAATACAATTGTTGCGCAACTAATTCATTCTCTTCAGCTTTGTAAGACTGTTATTTCTTGCTCTTGCTGGCCATTGTCTTTAGTGGAACCTCTATGTCTAGTTTTGTTAGGAATTTCTAGATCAACTGAAAAATATCTTATTTCTTCAGCATTTGATGTATTTGAAGCCTTATTTAAGGGTATGTCTGGAGAAGATAGTGCTTCCAAGCTTTATACTGTTCTTGAATCTATTTTTGACTTGAGACCTAATATAGAGGATCAGGCTCTTGCTTCATCTTGGTTTTTAGTAGTATCAACTGCTGTGGAAACATATACTTCAACAAACCCATTTGAATCATTTTATTTACTTCCAAAGGTCTTCCATTTGGTCTCAGAGTTTTTTAATTCTGAAAATAACAACATTCAGTCATCTGCCGCTCAGTGCCTTATTGCCATCTTTGAAAACGGAATTTCCCAAAAAGTTCTTGCAAGTGTTGAGTCTGGTGCTGATGCTGATGCTGATGGAAAGATAAATAAAACTTTATCTCAAATTTCGGAAGGTATTTTTCAATTACTTAATGTTAGATATCAGGGATCATGGAAAGATATTATGATGGTAGTAGTATCATTGTCCAATTCTTTAATGTGGCTTTCTGATCCATACTTGATTAATTGCTATAAAGTAATTGGGACACTTAGAAGCACCGATGCTATATCAGATGGGTGGCAAGAAGCTGAACAAGTTATTGGAAGTGCAATTAAAAATATTGGCCCTGCTAAAACTTTGGAATTATTTCCTTTAAACCTTGACGGAGAGGAAAAACCTACAAGAACATGGATTCTTCCATTACTTCGTGAAAATGTTGGTTGTTCTGATTTGGGGTTTTTCAAAAGTTATTTCATTGGACTGTCTGGTCAATTGGAGGCATTAGTGGCAAACCTAGAAAATAATCAACCAAACAAAAATTCCACTGCTATTGCAACAAAAGTCAAAGTATATGAAACTTTGATTGATCAAATCTGGTCTATTTTCCCTAGTTTTTGCGATCTTCCTTTAGACCTTAGAGATTCTTTTGATGAAGAACTTGCAAAACTTCTTATGAATGTGGTTTATAACTATACAACTTTACGGGGCTACATTTTTTCTGGCTTAAAATTATTAGTTGAAAGCAATCAAAACTATCTCACCGGTGCTTTAAATGATAATTATCAACTTCTTAAAAAATTTCCTAAGAATGAGGCTGCAAGAAACATTGAATACCTATCCACGTTTTCTCTTAACATGTTGGCAAGTCTGTTCAATATTTTTGCTGTGACACCTATTGATTCTCGTACGCAGCTTTTAGAATGCTCTAAAGCTTATCTTTCTATCATTTCAAAGAAGGATCTTGAAATCACTTTCAATAGGGTATCAACCGCCTTAGGCGATGCCTTAAAGAATCCATTAGCCGGAGCTGACAAGGAAAATGACATACCCCCAACCAGCGCCACTATGCTGGATTTAATTATGCAAATGATCAGCTTTCTTCCTCAAGATTCTTTTAATCCTCTAATGACTATATTTGTTACCGTCTCTAAAAACTACACGGATCCATTACTTCAGAAACGTATATATCGCATGTTTTTAGTTATTTCCGAAACTGAGAATGGGAAAACTTTAATCACATCTCACATTGAAGATATTGCTCAGCTATTTTTACAAACATCCGACCAGGTTCAAACTACTGCCAGAGGCCCCCGTCTCAATGCATTGGCTTGCTTCATTGAATTACTTTCCCCAAACCTCTTATTTTTTATTCCCTCAATAATTTCTGAAGTAATAATTGCTACCAAAGATTTGAATGAAAAGACCCGAGAATCAGCATTTAATCTTTTAGTTCAAATGGGCAACAAGATGAAAGCTGGAGGCATCATTGATCGATCCAAAATACCTGGAATGCCTTCTGATGCTGATAATGTTTCTGCTTCTTTGGAAGAATATATTACTATCATTGCTGCTGGTTTATCTGACACTACTACACACACACAAGCAGCAACTATTCTGGCTCTTAGTAGAGTTGTGTTTGAGTTCAAAGAATCTTTAAACTTACAGCTTCTTCAAGAGTTAACAGGAATGATTGAATTGTTTTTGGAAAACAGAAATAGAGAAATTGCAGATGCAACACTTGGATTTGTTAAAGTTGCAGTTGTTTCTTTGCCAAAAGACGTCGTCGAACCAAATCTTAAGAATCTTATTGTTCATTTGCTAGGCTGGTATCGCGAGCACAGTTCTCATTTTAGAACAAAAATTAAGCATCTTATAGAAAGGCTTTTACGTGTATTTGGCTTTGAAAAAATATCTCAAAACTTCCCCGAGGAAGACTTAAAATTTCTTAATAACATTCGCAAATCAAAAGAAAGAGCCAAACGCAAAAAGTCAAATTTGATTGCGGAAAAACTTGAAAATGAAACTGATAGCCATAGAAATCGCAAACATTTTGCCAAGATGGCTAAGTTTGAGTCAGAGTTCGATCGGGCATTATATGGAAGTAGTTCTGAAGACGAGGGAAGTGATGTGGAAATGGATGAAAAACCAAAGGATGCTAAGAAGAATAAAAATGATCAAAGATTTATTGTTGAAAACAAGGATGTGCCCTTGGATCTTCTAGATCAGCAAACTCTTGCTCATATCACGTCAACACGACCAATGAAACAGAAGTTGTCTATTCCTGATAAAAAGAAGTTTAAGAAGGATGCTGAAGGAAGGTTAGTCATTAAGAATTTAGATGAAAAAGATGATGATCCATTGGCTAGCATTAACAACTCACTTAATGCATATGAGGATGCTATTAAAAGTGGGCCAGTCAGGGACAGCAGGGGCATGTATCGTTATAAGCGTGGTAGACAAAATATGGATGATGGTGATGATATGAGTGATGATGAGAAACCTTTGAAAACCAAACTCAATCCAAAACAGGCTACTGGAAAGTCAAATAGAGGGTTCAAAGGAACATCGTCCAAGAAAAAAAATACACCAGGTCATAGAAGATTTTACAATTAAGGTTGATACATATAGGGTTAAGTAAATTGAAGTAAGACGTTAAGATAAATAATTTGTAGGTGATGGGTGACTAAGCTTATCTATGATAGTGGCGTAAGGAGGTTTACCACCACCATTTCTTATTTCTTATAAACGTATGTTTTAAATCATCTTGTAAACTTAAAATTTCAGCTTTCGCAAGATTTATTCATACACTTGATTTTAATTATTTGCAACATTGACTACATATACTACATAATTATCCGTGAAGATTGCAAATTGTTTAGTCAGAGTTCCTTTTTGTTTTCATTGGTAACTCTCTATTTTAGCATCGTTTTTGAAATACCCCACAATATTTATCATGGCTCCTCCATGGCTACCGCAGAACATACAAAAAAAGGTATTCCAATATATTTTAAGCCGTCTTCAAATATTTTCCAATATAAACCACGATAATATTGATGTTTCTTTTGAAGTAACTCAGACGCCGTTGTCTTTGTCACTAAAAGATGTTGAACTCGACACTGAGAAGCTATCAGTTTTATCAGGATTGTATGTGCGCCATGGAAAAATTAGTAGCCTTGATCTTAAGCTTGCAGTTTTAGGAGGAATTCGAATTGATGGATCTGGAATCAAATTAATAGCATCGCTATCAGAAAAAATATTAAATGATAAAGAAGAAATAACATCTCTTCTAGCACGAACTACAGCTGATTTAGCTAGCAGCATTTTAATATCTAATGACGATGGAAAAAATCTTACAGATTCGATAACTTCCTCTCACATTGGCGATTCTGGATCTTTTTTTTCAGAATCAACATTTTCCGAGAATAGTTTTAGTACTGGATACGGATTAGGAGATTTTTCAGGATTTTATACTAAAGTTGCTGATGCCGCTATCTCTCAACTGAATGTCGTTTTAAGAGATATTAATGTCAGACTTATATTAGAAGATGTGACACTTGATATTGTTATAAACACTTTCAAATTAAGCACAAATGAAGATGGATTACGTCAAGTTTCTATTTCAGATTTTGAGTGGATTCTTATATCATCAAATGAACAAACATCCTTTCAAAGAGTTGAAAATTTAAATAAGCGGAAGAGTAAAGATATTCTTAAAAGTGTTTATTATGAAACTAATAAAAGCGAACAAAATCTCTCTGAAAGTATGCTATTCTCGCACACCGATGCGAGTAGCCTTTATATGAGTGCTGTTTCTTCGAGCTTAAGTAAACCTGTTTTCAACGAATCGAAACCAAAACCACGATTATTATGGTGTGAATCTTTACTTTTAAGTTTTTCAGGATTAGATTTCTCTTCATTAATTATTGAACTTGGACGAATAAATATTTCATTAAGGGAATTTCCTCAAGTTCTTATACCACTGTTAAAATTTTTAGAAAATCGTCCCAATGATTTTCAAAAAAAACCAAAACCAGATGATAGGAAAAACGAATCAACAAGAAAAAGATATGATTCAACTAAAACTGATGATGAGAATCCCAAATTTAACGTTTCAAGATTGCAAGTTGTTAGAGTTGAAATCAGTATTAATTCCTCAATGCTTCCTCATGGAATATTTGAAGATGAGTCGAACATTAAATTCGTTTTTGAAAAAATTGATTACCAGTCAAAAAATGGTTTGGAATTTTTTTTTGATATTGGCCGCATATCATTGATGAGATCTGGAACTTCTCTTATAAAATTTCACCACGTTGACAGCCAAAAAAATAATCGCAGTGACGTTTCAGGGCATATATTTTCTGATTCTATAACGTCATCAAAGGTAATTAAATTTGCAATGCCCTTTGACGCCATTATATCTTTAACAACAGAAGATATATTATTATTCCAAAAGTGTTTAAATTCTTTTAAATCGACATTTTCTGCAATAAATGATCTTCCATCATCAGATAGCTCCGCATCTAAAACCCAGTTAAAATTTGTTGGCCAAACAAGTTTAATTAAAATTTCTTTAAAGATTGTTGAAACAGATATCAAGACTTTAATATTTCCAATATCTTTTGATGAAACTGGAACGATTTCTACTAAAAAAGCCATTGTAGATATTAACTCGAACAATCACATTGAGCTTCATGATTTAATTTATAATTTTCGAAATTCTAGCTCACCTTCTGGAGTTTCAATTCAATCAATTCATGTTAAATGCAATATTAAGGAATTATCTCTTATTAGGGATGACTTTTTCACCCAAAAGCAGGAATTTGATAAATCACATCTTTCTTATCAAACATTGTCAACAAAATCTGAAAAGCCAGTTAAGGGGATACAAAAAGGTGTTGTGTTTTCAATTTCAATTAAATATATCGAGCTTCAAATAACATTGCCTTCTAAGATTCAAACTTTAACAATTGATATCGGAAGACTAATATTTCAAACTTCTATTAATGGAAATCATTTGCTATCAATTTTTTCTTTACATGTTTCTAGAGATATGTGTGATGTCGAAGAGAAATTAGGCTACTTAAGCATAGTACATAATGCTTGCGATCAATTTCAAGTAAGTTTTTTTTTATTAAATACCTCATTAAATTCTAACAATCAAGAATACACCCCTAGTGAAAGTTAGAATGGGTCAAGACGGAGTTCCACAGAAAATTCTTTTATCTGGTATTGCATTAGAATATCACCCCAAGTTACTCGATTTATTTCAGAAGTCGGAAGTAAATGCAGATTCAGTAGTTCATGAACAGGACGACTTAATGTCATCTATATCAACTGTTATCAACAAATCTATTCAGATACCTGTGATTTTAAATGACTGTATAATTGGATTATCGCCTTTGCATTTACCCTCTCACGGTGTATTTCTGATTGAAAAAGGAATAACCAACATTTCTATTAAACCTTTTGGAACCATTTCAGTGAATTCTAAAATTCACTTAGGGTCATTATATCTTATCGATGATATTAGAGCTCAAAGAAAAGTCCCGAAACAACAGGATGACAATGTTAATTCTTCCAAAGGATTTGAAGCTTATTCATCATCTATAAGATTAAAAACCAAACTTGTTTCTCAAGGTTATTCTCAGTTATCTATGGCAAAAAATGTTTCTATTGATGTTGGATTAAACTTATCTGGTCCTTCTCGAGTTTCTCTTTCAGTATTTGTTGAAAGTATACACATGAAATCTTCTGCTGATTCCACCCATAATTTAATTCAATTGTTTAATGATTTAAAGCCTGAACTGGAACTTCCTCCTTTTGAAGAGCGATATCAAATCAATCCACACATCAACAAGGATATTTTTAACGAAATTGAAAAAACCACCTTTTCTGTGGGCCAACAAGATATGAACAGTGGAAATTTTGATTTAAATGCAGATTTCATCTGTGATGATGTCCCTGCTAACCTGGAGTTTGTTGAAAGTTATTATGCGGAACATTCTTCTCGTTCTCAGTGGACATCTTCTCCATCTGGGTCTTTAACAACAAACTATACAAATACCGATATTCTTCTTGAACAAGATTTAAGCGAACTGGCTTCTCAAAATAGTACAATTAACCCATCAAAAGTTGTTGAGTTTAACAATCGAGAAAATCGAAAACTTGGTAGTTTTGAACAAAGAACTCAATCTCATGATCCAACCCTTAACATCACAGAAGATCATTTTGGAAAACCTGGTATATTAAGAGAACATCTGAAAAGTGTTTCTTCTACGCATTCTGCAGATTTTCAACCTCATATTCAACCTAAGGAGCATTTTGAGTCTAACATAAATATTTTACCGCAATCTGATGATGCTTCTAGAACTTATGATGATGAATTCAAATTTAATAACCCAAACATAGCTATTTCATTTGATGTCAAGTCTTTTGTTTGGGATCTGCATGATGGATTCGATTGGGAATACACAAGAGATATCATTACTGTAGCAGTTTACCAGGTTGAAGAAGAAGTAAAGGAAGTAAAGGAAGAAAAAAAAAGACAGAGATCAATTGGCATAGCTAATAAAAATATGCAGAATTTAGATTTGAACGCAAAAGGCTCGTTTAATCAGTTTACCAATTCGGGAGAGCAGAACACAGAAATCGACCAAGATGAAGTTGTTGGCGGGTTCTTATTTAATTCCATATACATTGGAATGTCTACTCATCAAGATTCATCTGATCTTAGAAGGAGGATTAACGAGGAATTGAATGACGAGGTTTACAGCGATACAGCTAGCCAAATGTCGTATGATAAAAAGAATGTCAACTCTAATGGTCACAATTTTGACAGCAAAAAAGAAATTCGTCGAAAAAATACTAAAACTCCTCTTATGCTGAAACGCTCCAAACATCATAAAGTTCAAATAATATTAAAGGGTATTTCTGGAACTATAAATATTTTTTCTAGTATCAATGATTCACTTTCGGAAAGCAATTTAGAATTATCTGAGTACGATGGCGATAAAGCGATGATTCTAAATCAAATTATCTTAAAAATAAGGGACATTGAAATTTTAGACAATGTGCAAACTTCTACTTGGAACAAGTTTTTGACTTATATGAGAAGTGCAGGGGAGCGTGAGGCAGATGCTAATATGGTCAAATTGCAGATGGAAAATGTTAAACCTATCCCAAATATTCCAACTTCGGAAATAATATTACATGTTCAAGTCTTGCCTTTACGATTGCACGTTGATCAAGATACTTTGGATTTTATTACTAGGTTTTTTGAATTCAAAGATGATCGTTTTGATAATCTTATTGACCCTTCTTTGGTGGAACTTCCTTTTATTCAAAAAGTTGATGTGCGAGATATACCTGTCAAACTTGATTATAAACCAAAAAAAGTTGATTATGCTGGTTTAAGATCAGGTCATACTACAGAATTCATGAACTTCTTTATTCTTGATGAGGCAGAAATGGTACTTCGCCACACTACACTTTATGGGATTACCGGATTTCCTCGAATGGGTAAAGAATTAAACAACATTTGGATGCCTGACATAAAAAAAAACCAACTTGGAGATGTTCTTTCAGGTTTAGCACCCGTAAGATCGTTAGTTAAAATTGGCAGTGGAATTCGAGACTTAGTTATCGTACCAGTTCGCGAATATAAGAAAGACGGACGAGTAGTCAGAAGTATTCAGAAGAGTGCTTGGCAATTTGCACGCAATACTTCTAGTGAAATTGTGAAATTTGGTGCCAAAATTGCAGTGGGTACTCAAACCATGTTGGAAAATGCTGAGAAGGCGATGGGTGGATCAGGATCTGCTGGAAGACTTAATCCCCAGTTTTCAGGTATCAACTCGGCTGACAGTGTTGAATATAATATAGAAGATTCTAAAGACCCTGATTACAATTTTCAGGCAGCTACTTCTAATCAGTCGGTTCGTTTTGTTTCGACATCACTGTCTAACCCGCCTGTTTTGAAATCTGAGCAAAATATCGATGCTCATCGAAAGGCACCTGTGATTAGTTTATATGCTGATCAACCGCGAGATGTAAAACAGGGGCTACAATCTGCGTTCAATAGTCTAGGGAGAAATTTGTCAATTGCTAAAAATGCTGTTGTTGAAATCAAAACAGAGGCAGTTCGTTCAGGGAGTGCACAAGGTGCTGCAATTGCTGTTGTAAAAGCTGCGCCTATTGCTATAATTCGACCCATGATCGGTGCAACTGAAGCTGTCAGTCGAACCTTATTAGGTGTAACTAATCAAATGGATCCAGATCAGTTGCGTGATATTGAAGAAAAATACAGAAGTCAAACATTTTCTGATTCTACAGATAAAATGTAAAAAAAAACTCTCATTAGCATGTAAATTTTTTAACCTCATGATGTTTTCATTAATTTGTTATATGAAATATTTGGCTTAATTTGATTTCCACATTTCTTGACTTTCATTGTCTATCTCTTTCATTTTTTCGGCAACAATATCAAGTTTTTCGATAGTTTTAGAAACATGTTTATATATCGAATCGAAGTGTTGTTGATTAAAAAGATTATTACGTAACGATTCAATATCATTTTGCTCCCATAAACTTTGGTACTGACCTTTATCTATTCTTTTGTCACCAAGAGACATGGATTTGATAAGCTCGAGCTGAGAAATTTGTAAATCAGCTAAAACTTTTGCATGCATTTCCCCAAAAAAAGATGTGTTAGCTTCAGTTTCATTCGCTGCCACCTCAACTTCATCTAAAACATCAAGTTCAGCCCACATTCTATCATGCTGGTCTACTACTGGTTTTACTGATGATATACCATATTGTTGCTGTAACGCTTGAACAGTAGCCTGAGTTTGCTGTGGTTGAATTGGTGGCATTGTCATAATGCTACCTGGTCTACTTGCCCCATTAGCGACTGCAGATGGTTGAAAATAAGAGTTATGAGTAGATGTGGGAATCAATCGACTGTTTCTAATTAATGAATCACCTGTTTCAACGGGAAATAATCTTTCACCGGTTTTATATTGACTTTTGCCATTATTTGGTGTATATAAGTAATAAGGCTTAGGGGAATCTGGCTCAGAATCAGAATTCATTATGTAAATAATTTCAAAAAAAAATAAAAAAAAATTAATAATAGTTAAGAGTTTAAATTGTACAAATTTTTATTAGAATGGTTTAATGGGACTACTCAAAACTGATAAATTTCTAAAACAAAGTTTAAACGAAAACCCCTAACCCCCCATAAATATTTTTTTAACTATTACTTTAAAGTAAATTAATTAACAACATAAAAAATGGAATCAATAGGAATATTGAGAATTATGAAAAAAAGAGTACATATTTAATTTAATAATCAAGTCAGAAATAATGTCGGTAGCTTCGTCAAAAAGAGGTAGCAAAAAAAATGTTAGCGCTTCAACAGAAAGAAAGAAAGCTAACGCTAAAATAGAAAAGATTGTTAACGAAAAAAATAACAAATCTAAAGGAAATACGTTATCACGAACATGGTCAATACAGCAAGAAACTACTCTTTTCAAGGCGATATGTCGTTTTAAACCTGCAGGTAAACACAAACATTTTCGGATGGTTTCTATTTATCAAATGGTGAATAACCCTTCAATCACACCTGCATCTTCCCTTCTTTCAATAAAAGATATATGGCAAAAATTAGCTACATTATACGATTTAGATGGTTTAGATGAACTTGAAGATTCTAGTAGTTTTATGGCAGAAGAAGAAAAATTATCTGAAGAATCGTCCTCTGTCCCTTATTTTGGATCATTAGGTGGTGAGCTTGGCGATGGAAGTTATCTTCAAGATTTCTATTTACCTTGGGATGATTTTTCCAATTTAATTATTGAACGAGCAGTTTCTAATGAAAGCGAATCTTCTGACGAAAATGAAGGTCAGCGAAGTGAAAATGAAAACGCGAGTAGCGAAGAAGTTCACCGGAACTCTTCTAAAAAACGAAGACGCTCTCAAAGTTCTGAAAGCCAGCCTCATGTTAGTGAGGCTTCGGAAATTGAAAACGATGGTATGCATTTTCTTTTTGAACTTATTTCTGAAGTTATTTTCTAATTAATTTGAAATCAAAGAGGGTGAACCTGAAAAAAAACAAGCTCCTATTAATCGAGCAAAAAGAAGCCGGACAAAAAAACAATCTATTGTCCAAATACCAGCTCGAACTACAAGAAGTACCCGTCAAAGAGCCGCAGCGGCAGCCGTAGCTGCAGCGGCAGCGGCAGCTGTAGCCATTACCACTGGAGTTAAATCTAAAGCTACAACTGTACCTGAGATAGCACACGCCGAAGAAGAAGAAGAAACTGGAACAGAACAAAGTGAAAGAGAAGGGAGTGCACCAGTTGAAAGCACGACTATACCTACGAGATCTACAGGAAGAGTCAAGAGAACCAGAAACACCAAAGTATCCCCAAAGTCTAAGACCCCAGCTGTACCTATCAGAAGAAGTACTCGGCGAAAATAATATTTTACAAGTAATGATCAATTAAATTTTTTATAAAAAGTCAACTCAAACAGCAAGTGAATATCCTCAATATTTTATGTTTTCTTCTTCTTGCTAGGACGTCCATTTTTCTCACGGCGTTGTTCTTTAAGAGCACGAGCTTTGCGCATTTGATCGACTGATTGGAGTTCTGATTCACCGTTAAAAATTGGTTGTTTTCCTTTAACACGAATTCCCTTTTCAAGAGCGGCCTTGACTCTTTTTCTTTGTTGGTGATAATCGTCTCGGGCTTTATCGGCAAGTTTTGGAGCTTGTATTTTATTATGTTTGTAAATGGGCTTCCCATTTGCACCTGTTGCAACAGACGAGCCAGGCGTAATATATGAATTGGGACCATTTGAAGATTCAAGTGATCCAACACGCAAATTTCCAGTCTTATGTGCTTGTTTCCAGGAATCAAAGCGACCCGAACGATAAGAAGCGGGAATTTTTGTACCATTTTCGCCTCTAATATATTTAATGGATTGCCCATCGGCTGATGAACTACCGGCATTAATATATTTCCCTCGTTTTTTATCCCATCTCATTCCTTGTTTTTGAATAAAATCTTTTCCTTCATCTACTAAATCAAATGTGGCAGCACGGGCAGCATCCCCAAAAAATTTCCCGTTGTTTCCAGATATACTGTATGCTCTTTCTTCGGCGACAGATGATGGCGCATAATGTGACAGATAAAAGTTGGGATCTTTAAAATCATTCTTATGTTTTACCTTTTTTGAATGAGAGTCCTTGACTTCGGTAAAAATATTTAATATATCTTTCTCAGTAGCAAGTTTTTGGTTAGCTGATGCTTTCTTCTTCGATTTTTCGTCATTATCATTATCCTTGAACAACTCTGCATCCATTGAATGAACCAACCCAGCTTCTTTTTCTTTTGAAATAATTTTCTTCTTTTCAAGTGATCGTGCTTGAATTGGAGCAAGTTGTTTTCGTCTTCGGGCCATTAATTCTGCTGTACTGCCATATTGAGTTTTTTTAAATTCAAAAACAGTGTCTTTAACTTTTCGATTAGCAAGACGCTGCAAAAATTGATCTCGTTGAACTTCCGATGATTCATTTCCAAAAATCGGATGTCGGCCATCCCATTTTTCAGAAGAAAGAATTTCTTTGCTTCGTTTAGAACTTTCTTGAGAAGCATTTCCTCGGGTTTTAAGGTAAAGCTTTTCACCCCTATTAGCAACATCTCTCATATTCTGAAGATCATAGTTTCTTTTAATAACACTATCAACCTCCTCCATCGATTGCTCTAAACCTTCCCTTGGAAATGATCCAATAACCAATCTTTCAGTGTAATTAATTCTTTCTTGGGGTTGCGTTTGGAATGGAAGAAGAACTTTTCTTCCAAGAAACAGCTCTAAATCCAAAAGATAAGGAATATCAGATTCCCTAATCAGTGAATATGCCCATCCACGCCGGCCAGCACGCGCTGTTCTTCCAACTCTATGAACAAATACTTTAGGACTCGAAGGCAAACTATAGTTGATAACATTAGCAAGTACAGGGATATCAATACCACGAGCGGCAACGTCTGTCACAACTAAAACTGTTGTTTTTCCAGCTCTAAATCGATAAAGTTGTTGCTTTCGCGCAGCTTGATCAAGAGTACCATAAATATATGATACTGCGTAGCCTAGATCTTTTAAAATTCCAGCAATATATTCAACGTGATGTTTTGTAGGAGTGAATACAATAGTAGAGTATGGTGAAGGAAGTTCGTTAGCAGGAGGTAATTTCGTTTTGTGCTCAAACCTCTTATTTTTTCCATTTCCAAATTTTCCAGAATAGTTATTATCATCATCGTCATCATCGGCTTCAGCAAGATATTTTAGCTGTTCTTCACTTGCCAGTGGCATTTTAATTACTGATTGTAATAAATATGCCAATGCTGCTTCTCTCTCGCCATCTTTAATAGTAAAATATGCCATCTCTAGTTCTTCGGATATTTTTGTCTCAGCATCTAGACGAACAAGGACAGGGTCTTGGAGACCAGCTTTTGCAAATTCAACAAGAGAAGTTGGAAGGGTAGCAGAAAAAAGAAGTGTTTGACGGGAAGAGGATAAAGATGCTATAATTTCATTGAGCTGTTCAGCAAATCCGAGTTCAAACAATCTATCTGCTTCATCAAAAACAATGTACTCAATAGAACGTAAATCAAGCTGCATTTCAACTTTCAAATGCAAAAATCTGCCTGGTGTAGCTATGATTATATCAGGGTTAGACATTATTCTTGAAAATTGATCCTCTAGAGAATATCCTCCAACAATCAATGCAGTTCGAAGATCTGTCCCTCGGGAAAAATCTTTTACAACCCGCATGGTTTGTTCCGCCAATTCTCTACTTGGAGATAAAATCACAGCTCGAGCTCCAACTCGAGCTGAGTGTACTTTAAGTTTTTCGATCATAGGGAGCACAAAGGCTGCTGTCTTTCCGGAACCTGTTCTGGCCATACCAACCACATCCCGACCCTCCATTACTACTGGGATTGTTTTTCTTTGAATCGGAGTTGCCATCTTGTAACCTTTACGGGCAACATTAGCGCAAATTGTTTTTGATAACCCCATTCCACGAAAAGAGTATATGCTCTTTTTTTTTGAACCACCAGGTACTGCTCCAAGTTTAGCAAAGAAAGCATCGTCATCATCAAGTGATTTATCGGTTCCCTTAACAATATTTTCTTCATCAGAAATATATTCTTCATCAGAAATCTCTAAACTCGGAAAACTATCTAGCTCTTTGTTTTTCTCGATTTGATGAGGTTTATTACCTGAATCGTTATCGCTTTCATCTTCAGATGAATCAATGATTTCATCCTGATAATATTCTTCGTTGTCTAAAGAGCTATCCTCGCTATCACTTGAATCATTAATATCAAGTCCAATGGATTTCGAAATATCAATTTCTTGTTCACTGTCCGACATTATTAATTTTGATGTTATCTCTAAATTAATCAAGTTGGGAGTTCGGGGAAAAAAAAATTTTCTTTTCCCTAAATGAGAAAAGGATTGAATTTCACATTTAAAATTACATAATATATTATGTAATTTATAGTAATTGCAATTATAATTAATTAATTTATAACTTAAGTTAAGTTAACCTCTAAACTAATTTGACTTAATAGTAATATCGGTGTCTCTACCAAACTTCTTAATTATTTTTAGAAGTTTTTAAGTAATTTGCGAAATGGATTTGAAAAAGGAAGATAAAATAGTATCAAATTTAGGCATTCCTTCTTCTTTTGGGAAGACATACAGTGAAGATGAAAAAGATGCTACTATAAGACTTAAACATGCAACAAGAGAACAATATAAATTGATAAAAACAAAACAGCAAAAAAAAACTGAGTTGTTAAAGAATATAAAAGAAAGTCAAAGTGATAATTCTGATGATGATGACGAATTTGATGATGACGAGTTTAATATTGATAGCATCCCTGTGTCTCATGAGCTCATTCTTTCTGGAGAACATAAAAAGTTAGTTTCTTCAATATCTTTGGATCCATCTGGGGCGCGGTTGCTTACAGCATCGTATGATTCAACATTTAAACTATGGGATTTCAATACCATGGATATAAATAGCCATCATCCATTTCGGTCTGTCGAACCTTTGGAAACTTATCAGCTTCATAGTGCTTTGTTTTCTCCCAACGGAAAGCAAATATTAGCGATTCCTCGCTATACCAAACCCAAATTATATGATAGAGATGGTATTGAAATTGCAGAGTTTTCCTCAGGAGATATGTATCTTGTAGATATGAAAAATACCAAAGGTCATACCGCAGAAATAACTTCTGGAGCTTGGAATCCAATGTCAGGTGATTTGTTTGCCACATCTTCTAACGACTCCACAGTAAGAGTATGGGACGTTAATAACACTCGAAGTCAAAGAGATGTTATTGTGGTTCGATCAAAAGGAAGTCGTGGAAATAAAGTCCGCGTTGCCTGTGTGACTTGGTTCAAAAATGATTTAACTATACCACCTATTATTGCAGGGACTGATGATGGTTCGATCGGATTATGGGATACAAGAAATGAAAGCACTAGACCATCTCATTTTATAGAAAGTGCGCATTCAGCCTCTGTAACAGCAATTGTTCAACGACCTCTAAGTCAAACCTTTGCTACTAGAGGTTTTGATGGTGTTATTAATTTATGGGATTCGCGTCAATTAAAATCTCCAGTCCTTTCAAGAAGTGGTGTTAAAACAGCTTCTGAAGATGGTAATGACATTATTTTCGACCCTAGACCGTCAACTCTAGGACAATATTTATTAGTTGGCAGCTTCGAAGGAAAAGTTCATGTACTTGATACATCGGATTTGAGTACGTTAATGGTGATAGAAGATTTGGTATCATCATCTGATCATAAATCTTTTATTAGTAGCATTTCATGGCATCAAGGGCTAAACCAAATTATTACAGGTAGCTCGAATGGTCAAATTAACGTTCTTTTTTCACCAAGTACATCACATAAAGGTGCTCTCACATCAATAGAAAAAGTGCCAAGACGAAAATATGTTGACGATGGAAACTTAGGGACAGTTAATATATCAGCTGCTGGACTGGAGGCAGATATAACACAAGCTCGTGAAAAGCAAGAAGAACGTTTAAGAATTAACAAAACTCGTGAACATGAGGATTTATCTAATCCATTTAAATCAAAAGGAAACTATCGTTCTAATAGAAGTGATTCAGTTTCCTTTGATAAAACTCAAAACAAGGGCACAGTATGGAACATTCCAAACCAATCCTATGTCAGAGAGAACGTTCATTTAAGTGAATTGATTCATGAAGACCCTAGAGAAGCTCTATTAAAATACGCTGAAAAAGCTGAAAAAACACCTGTATTTTTCAAAGAATCGGATTACAGTAAAAGGCCTTTAGCTGAAACAGAATCAGAAGACAAAATTAAAGTAAAGAAACGGAAAAATAAATAGAATTAAAAGTTTAGGGAAGTAGATTTTTCAAATAAATCATAATTACGTTTAAAATGTTATAAATGTAACCAGTTCAATTGTTTTAATAAAAAAAATCATTATTAGTATTTTTTTAGCTAAATTTTTAGATTCAGTTTATGGGATAGATTTTTCCAAGAATTTGAAAACTTCTTCTATTTCTTCAGGACTAGCTGTGTGAAGCATTCCTTCGTATTGATGCCATTCTAACTTTGATCTGTGAAGGGTATTTTTGAGAAAATCTCTAGACATTTGACCAGAAGAAAACTTGACAACTTGATCAGCAGTCCCATGACCAAGAAAATAAGGTGTGTCAATATTAGCATCGGATTTCTGAGCTGCTATTTTTTCATGAATAGGTAAATAGCCGGATAAACCAATAACGCCACCCAATGGCTTGTCATAAACAACTGACGTCCCAAGGGAGATAGCGCAGCCCTGAGAAAATCCACCAATTACAATTCTATTAGAAGGAAGACCGTCTTGAATTTCTTCATTAATGACTTGCTTTAGGCGATCAATACTTGCAAATATTCCTTCTTCATCTTGTTGCCCCATAACATTGTTAAGCGCTTTGATGTCGTACCAAGCAGGCATCACCATACCATAATTAAGGGTAACCGGCTGGTTAGGTGCCTCAGCAAAAACAAATTTGACATGTTTTAAACGGCCTTGTCGGGCAGCTTCTTGAGCGAAAAATACCCAGCCGGCGGGAGAATCACCAAGCCCATGAAGAAAGATTACTGTGGCAGTATGAGCGGCTTTTGCTGGAACTCTGATTCCTGGATATACCATATTTTCCTTGTTAGATTTGCTTTTAAGTGTAGTTTTCTTTTTCTTTTTAGATTTAGATTTAGATTTTCTGTTCTTCTTTAAGTTAGCTGATTTAGTTTCAATCGGCGCAACAGTTGAGGCAGAAGCAATAATAGGTTTTCTAATAACTTCACCAATCGAAGTATATGATATAACAGAAGATAAAGAGCTTTTCTGATTCAGAAATAGAATCCAGAAGGATATAATAAAAACAAGTGCAATAAATAAAAGTCTAAAGTTAATTCGATAAAGTCCCATTGATGTTTGGTGGGAGGGTAACTTAATAAACTATCGGCCACACAAAAATATAAAATTGCTCTTCTTATTATTAAAAAAGTTGAATATAATTATATTAATAATGTATGTCTAAGGATACACCAGTATCAATTTCTCATCCAAAAGTTATTGATTTTGATTTAGATTATACTCCTTAGCGTAAGTAGAGTAGGCAAAGAAATAATTTAAAATAAAAAAAAAAAAAATAATAATAATAATAATAATCATCGCCTTTTTATGTGTTAGGTTTGGAGTTGATAAATGTGTAGTCATTTTTAGTAAGACTTAACATGTTCACCATCCATTAATCATATTACTAAAATTACTTACCACCTTGTTAGCGGTAAACTGGATTTATTTATTCTATGGTTAATTTTATTATTTCTTATCTATTTAGTCATGCTGTGATAGACACGTTTATCCACTTGTAAAGCCAGCTCTGGGTTCATAGTGCCCCTGATTTAACGTTAATGCTCAAACTTTGATTATGCTGTAATTACAGCTTCACGTACTTCGACTCCTAACATTACTCAAGACATGTTAGAGCTTCTTCAGATTCCAATTTCATCCACACCTGGTTTTTGGTAGAATACGATTGATCAAGAAATTAAAATCCTTACTGGTGTACATGAAAAGTATCTCTATTTAATAGATTAACCGATCGGATGTCTGTCTAATAAAATGTAACCTAACAATTCGTTAAGTAGCTAATAAGCTACTTAACTAATTATCTACTTAGCTAAGCCTAACAGGTTGTAGCATTGTGAATGCTACAAATCATTACAAAGCAAAATGCGGTCAAGTTTTGAAAGCATTACTGTAAGATACATATTCTCAAAGATTATTTCCAAATTTACACTAAAATTTACACCAAAAAATAAAAACAATAAAGATTTTCCACATATATTACTAAGCCAAATTTTAACCGATTCGAAATATTGATAAATACAATTTATCCTTGAATAAAAACTAACAAAAAATACAATTTAAAAGGTTATTTAAAAAAAGACATTAAAAAATAAATCTATCAAAGAAACAAAATAAAACAGTGTTTTAAAAAAAACTCCAATTTATCTAAGTCATAGTAATCTTTACCGGCTAGAATGTAGCTTAGGGGACTCATAATTGGTATGGTTTTCATGATCTGGTACATGCTTCATTTCAGCTAAAAGTTCTGCTGGTGGTATAGTTTCAGCCATATCCATCTCTGAAACACGACTATTGGCTGGTATGTATCCCTCTTGTCGTCGTCTTAAATATGCTATGCCTAATCCAAGTGCCATAATTATAAATGTCAATCCTATAGCAATAGCTAGAGATATTAAAATTACAAATACTTTTTTCATGTGTTTTTTGACTGTAGGATTGCCAAAAACTAGTTTCTGTTGTGTGAAAAAAGAATTTATTGCTCCGGAAGTTCCATCCTTATTAGCAGTAAGAAATACAGGAGTGATACTCTCGCCATCAAACATAGCAGATGATACACTGCCAAAATCTTGTACAATAATATTTCCAGATAATAGAAGAACCTCATTCTCAAAAAGAAGAGAATTAGTATTATGAGAAGTTTCCACTTGTAATAAAGCCAAATCACTTATTATTGTCCCGTTTTGTAATTGGGTGTCAATTCGAGACCAAGTACTGCCATTCCAGTAAGTAATATAAGAATCTTTTGTACTTGTATCAATTCCTGCTGCAAAAACTGAGTCCAAATCATTCGATTTTAAAACAATACTGCTAACGGGACCAGGAAGACCTGTGGATTGCTCTCCATATGTCGTATAAGATCGAGAATTGAAGTCATATGAAGCTAAATATATGCTAGTGTTATTTAACGTCAAATCACCAGCAAGTACAACAATATCATTCCCTAGAAATATCATTGATGTCACTTCACCTCCAAGACCTGGGGTAGGGCTTTGCCAACGAGTGCTCTCTAAATCATAGATACACATAGCACTACAAGAAAGACTTCCAGCAAGTTGGAAACCACCCGCAACAATTAGAAGGTTTGAATTTGGTTGTTTTGTAATACTATTGACAACACCAGTACCTCCGCTAAGACCTGGAGGTTGAGTCTGTGTATATGACCTAGCAAAAAGATCGTAAAAAACAAGTCCTGAAACAGTATTGCTGTTTACTGTTCCAGTTATCAGTCCACCAGCATATAAGATATTGCCAGAAACATAAAGTGAGTAGAATGTAGAAGAATTTTCAATAGTGTTATTTGGGAGACCATAAACTTGATCATCTTCGGTAGTCATAACCAAATTAGAATAAATAAGATTATCATTAGCTTTAACATTGAAATGGCCACCCATAATAGAAAAAGATGAATTAGCAAAAGTTCCAGTATAAAGAGTATTTCCATCAGTAGATGGAAGAACAGATCGACGTTTAAGAGTTGTATTTTCTTCGGTGGAGTTGGAGGCACCATTGCTAGTGATAAATGTAAAAGGCATAGGTCTCAGGTTGAACTGAGCATCGGTGTAGGAAGCACCAGAGGAAAGAGAAGTCAATACTCGTAAGTAACCAGTATAATAATTTGTATCGTTGAAATATGAAGAGGCTGTTACACGGCCTTGAATAAAAATGGTGTTGAATGTTGATTCCGAAATCCAAGCATCTTGGTCTGTAACCCAGATAGGCAGTGTCCCATCAGAAAGATCATAAGTTGTATTTGCTGACTTAATTTGAGAAAAGTTGCCCTCTAAAACATATACATCAGTTCCATTAAGGTTAAAAAGGGATGCTCTTAAAACAGGGCCATTTGTACCATTTCCTAAAGAAGAAAATGTTCCGCTCAAGGTATCTAAAAAAGTTGCGTAATTGAATGAGCTTGATTCCGATGAATTTCCCAAGTTAGTAAAGTTTCCTAATACTAAAGTTGTATCATTGTTGACATGAACAAGATTTGTCACGATATTATTAAGTCCAAAATCTTGAAAAGGAATAGCACCAGCACTATTTGCAGAATTATCGATTTTGAAAATATTATAACCTAGTGACTCAGAAGATATATTGCCAGCAACATAAATAGAAGAGGCGTTGGCAAGAGACAACGCGTAAATTTCTGAGTCCTTGCTGAGAAGTGAACCAACCTGATTGATTGTCGTATTACCAACTGGGGAGTACGAGTTTGTAGTGAAATTTGATGGCGAATATTCAAAAATATTTCTAATAGTCAATCCCTTCTCAACAGATACAAGGATTGTTTGAAGACGGTCAGCAACAAAAGTGACAGGAACTTGTTGATCTAGTATGGGTTGAACTGTAATTTTAGGACGATAGTTCGATGTTATCTTTTCCATTGTACCATTGTAAATCAGATCATACTTGTCGTAATAATTTGTCTCATAAAGAATGACAGTGGATATGGGTAAATTTGTTCCTGGCTCAATAGTGACATTCACACCGCCTCTAGTGACACAAGTTCCATCTTGAACACAACCCGGTGTGTAAAGTTTAATAGTATAATTTCCAGAAACTGTAATGTTAGGCTCGTAAATTACTGCAACTTCCGAAAGCTGATTTTGGTCAGTAATATAAGAAGTGACATAAGTGGACGCACTAACACTGGGAGATTGAAATGATCCTTTAAGTTTGGTTGTCGGAGTAAAAAGCGATGCCTGACCACATTCAATTTGATAATTAAAACTATCATTAGCGAAAGTATAAGAATCTATAGTCTGTTAGAGCAAATCAACAAATTCTTTTCAAACCTAATATTACTCACCTCGTTGAAATAGTTCAATTCCTGAAAGACCTGCATAGGAGCCATATGAATCAAGCATTTCAATTTGAATCGTATTAGTACCAACGACATTTACAAAAGTAAAATCAACATATTCTTGTTCTGAATAATGAGGAAGAGGACACCATGCATCACAATAAACGACAGAGTTAGAAGACTGATTGACATATGTCAAATTCATGATGCTATTTGAAGGGAATGACAAAACACGAAATAGGCTAAGACCATTATTAGAATCATCAAGGTTATAAAGACGAATGGAAGTTGGGTTTAAATAAAAAGGCCATTCAGCGCTCCACGATCCTACACGGTCAGCTGACATTTCCCAATTAGATTGAGAGCCCGATGGGCAAATTATGGAACGTGGATTTGAATCTTCGGCAGAGCCATCTGCGTATATTGTTGCCGGAGTAAAAGAGATGCGTTGAATTTCAATAGTTTCAGGGTTTTCAGATGATGAATTGGAAATAAGAGACTCATTAGCAAGACCGGAAAATTTTCCTCCAAAAATAATAGTAGATTGTTCAGCAGAAGGATCTGTAGAAATAATAGAATTGATAATACTTCCATTAGGAAAACCGCCAAAAGCAGGAAGGTCCCAGCTTTGCGAGTTAAGGTCATAAACTGCAGTACCAGTAGCGTTTTGAAAGAAAAAGTTACCTCCAAGATATAGAAATTTATTTTGAGTATCACAGAATAGTGTATAAATATTTGAAGTATTGCTACTTTGAAAAAGATTTTCTGAGTTGGGTATTATGTCTAGTTCTGTGGATGAAACATTAAACTGTGCGAGACCAATTGATGTTTTTACCGAACCAAAAGAAGAAAAGTTCCCTTGAAAAAAGATAAGATCATCAATTTGGCAAGAAGTATAAATATGGCCATTACAGGTATTAATCGTATAATAATACTGTCCATCAACTTGCGCTATAATGGAATCAAAAAAAGTATTATTTAAAGTTTGTTCAGACTGTTGGCCTACAAATTGATACTTTGAGATACCCTCATAACGGCCCACAATACCCATAGATCCCATAGATCCTGATATTGTAGGGATTTGAACTTGTTGGATATCAATCTGGGCATCGACTGGAAGTGTTGTTGAAGCAAGCACAGTAATTAAAGAACAAAAAAGTGTCGAAATTGAGGGCTGCCTGCTTCGAACATGGCTTGATCGTGAATGTTTTGTTGAATGCCGGTTGTGATTAAAGATGTGTTTTAAGCGCATTATTAAAGAAAATTAATGCATAAATTGACTGGTAGATGTAAGGTTGTTATTATAAAATATAAAATGAAAGAAAATTTTGAGAAAGAGAAAAAAAATAAAAAAAAACGCGTTAGAAATAAAGAATGGTGTATTTTATCAAGTTAGATTAGAGTAAGGAGATTTTTTTTTTAGAAAAACGAGCGGTTGTTGTTATGAGACGCCTTCCCCCTTAGTTACAAAAAGAATGTAGGAACAGGAGGCAGTGTGTGTAGTGTGCAAATTTTGAATGGATGATCAAACCCCTAAATTTTCCATTTATAAATGAATACTTTTTAAATAATTAAAATAATTAAACCTCACTCGATAAAGAATGATCGGTTCGAAGTTTGAATCAATATATTGTCTCCTATATGAAAAAAAAAAGAGGAAGAAGGAAAGTATTCCTTTTTTTCTTTTTTTTTTTTTTTTGCAATTTTGAGAAGCGCCCTTTCTGTTTTTGGTTTCTCACTTGTTTTCTAATTTTGGACTGCGCGAGCACGCGTTATTATGACGTGTAACAGATTTTTTTCTAATGAGAAAATTTCAAAGTAACTTCAAAAATGCTGCAACAATTATTCAATAATTGGATAACCAAGGTTACACTGTTTTTACTGTCAGCGTGCAAGTTTGTCTTATTATCTATAAAAAACTTATGCGATCTTCATTTTTGAATAAATGATGCACCGTTTCTCAATTATATTTAGAACACGGTGAACTTTAACGATATTGCAAGACAAATTCATTTCGGTTAAACATAAGCAAAAAAAGCTTAATTTTGATATATTAAAAGAGATATACAAGCGATTAAAAATAATTATTATAAATATAAAAAATTAGGTGGTAGAATTAAATTTGGCGTATAACTTCTTGTGTTGTTCAAGTTGTTTTTGGTATTTTTTGCGCTGGCTCTTAGAAACTTCTGTTCCATCTTTTTGAACAGATGGAATACCGCTTTCGTCCCATTGGACAATATCTGCCAAATTTTTAAACAAGTCCTCAGGTTTGATTTGGGCAAGAGCTTCTTGTTCTTTTCGTTTAGCTTCTTCCAACTTCATCTGTGCTGCTTTTTTAGCAATTTTAGCAATTTCTCGTTGCTCTTTCTCTTCCCGCTGTTTGATAAGTTCCTGCTGTTCCCCATTATCTAAAAACTTAATCAAGGCTGGCCCTTCAGGGCGGTCATCTAATGAAACACCAAGGTTTACAAGATCGAAGTTACGAACGCGATCAGTTGCAGATAAAAACTCAGAATATGGTGCTTTGTCAATAGCTTTTTTGCGAACCTCATCTCTAAATGTAGATAAAGTTCTAACATATGGCAAAACAACTTCTTCTGTAGATATTCCTTCACTTCCTGAAGTCTGGTCTCCAGTCGTCCAGCCCAAACCATTAGGATTGACCGAAAATCCTAAAATGCGGAAAATGGATGTAATCCATATAGCAGTTGTTTCCAAAACTTCGGCTCTGTAATTTTGGCCAACCTTTCCTAGGTATACATTTGTTTGTTGAACGAGTTTTTCAATTGCAGCAAGAGCAATAGGCACAGAGAAATTATCCGCAAAAGCATTATGAACAGCAGTCTTAGTTTCAAAAAGATTTTCGTAAAGTTCTTTTTCATCTGTTGTTACTTTTTTCGAAATATTGGCGCCACTTTCAACTGCATTATTATTTTCGCGAACAAGCGCTTTGGCACGATCAAAAAATTTGGAAATAGTTGATTCATAAGCTTTAACTTCAGATAAGTTAGTTTTGAGATCTAACGGATAATTCCATTGTTGAAGAGAAAATGCAAGACGTAGCTGGCGAGGGGTGAACTTCTCTAAGGCCTCCTTAATAGTGATGAAGTTTTTTAAACTTTTACTCATCTTTTGGCCTTCAATGTGCAAATGACCAGTATGCAAAAAATAATTTACCCATTGGTCATTGTCAAAGTAAGCTTCAGACTGAGCAAGTTCATTATCATGATGTGGAAAAGCGAGATCAATTCCACCAGTGTGAATATCTAACTTCTCTCCAAGTACTTCAGATGCCATCACTGAACATTCAATATGCCAACCAGGACGACCTTTTCCCCAAGGGCAATTCCATGCTGGCTCGCCAGGTTTACTAGCCTTCCAAAGTGCAAAATCGGCGCGTGATTTTTTCCCGGATGCAATACCATCTTTAATAGAAAGAGAACCCTCACCCTCATCAATCAAATCCTGCTTGTCTCTGTTCCAGGGCTGTAATTTGGCATAAACGTGTTTTCCACTCTTTTCAAATGCACTAGTATCAAAATAAACAGAACCGTCGCTTGTTTGGTATGCAAATCCATTATCAATAATTTTTTTAACAAAAGCAATGTTTTCAGGAATATACTCAGAAACACGGGTAGTGACATTGGAAGGCAAAACATTTAATAAGCGCATATCATCATCAAACTTCTTTTCCCAATAAGCTGCTAGATCTCTAAAAATAGCGGGATCTGTAACTTTTGACCCCTCTTTAGCATCCAAATAAGGTGAAAGAATTGGCTTTAGCTTTTCCAAAAAATCCTCAATAGAAAGGCTTTTGTAATTTGTGAGAGCAGCCTCACCCTCAGTAGCAGCCTGTAAGTGCATGGAAAACTTGGGATCTTGTGACGATACATTAGAAATTTTTTCCGGGGTCGCCAATGCTTCCTTTTTCCAGTTTGAAAAATCGCTGAGGTTTGTAGGAACATTGTGTTTTTCCAAGTTGGCAGAAACGTATTCTTTCCAAGCTTTGGTGGTCTCATCAATAAGATTATTACCAATAAATGAATCCTCCAAATGGTCCTGTTTAAATTTGTCAAAAAGGTAAACCTGTCTAGCTTTAATAATAATTTTGTCATCAATATCCGTAACATTTTGCACAAAGAAAACATTGTATCCAAAATAGTCTTGAAGAAGTCTACGATTGATATCAATAGAAACATAATTTCGTGCATGTCCCAAATGAGATGAATCGTAAACAGTGGGGCCGCAAGAATACCACGTAACCTTGTCCGGAGAAACAGGGTAGAAATAGTCGTTACATCGAGTAAGAGAGTTGTAAACTTTGAGATGAGCCTTAGTATTAGCTGGGGTGGGATCAGGTTGATTCCATTTAGGCTGTGCTGTGTTAGGCGTAGTCGATGTCATTGTAGATGAAAATCGTAAAAAAGAATTGTCTGGAGAAATGGAAATAGTTTGTTTAACAACAGTGAGTTTTGATTTAGGGTTTAAAATTCTAGCCCTCAGTAAAGACATGGAGGAGAGAAAAAAGCCAGGGAAGGGCGAGTATTTAAGCAATTAAGGGATAAGGTAAAGTCAAAAAATCAGTTAAATCACAGCTAAAGAAGAAAATATTTGGTGGTGTTGAAATTTTTTTTTGCTGGTTGGTGATGGAATTTCGATTCGAAATTACGAGAAAATTAAAGAAGGATTCAAATACTGTCACTTAGCGTGTAACAAATACCCATACCCATGAGCAATTGGCTTTAGCCTGGTAAATACTGTGTTATTGTTTCAGTTTCGCAACTCATCATTAGCGTTCAATTATTTTAAAAAAGAATTTGAATTTGTTATATATAATTTATATAAATAATATTCTTGCATATCTTGTTAGAGAAAAAAACAAGAAAAGTTTCATGAAATGTTACCCGTTATTCTTCTTGATCATAATTATGTACTATAATACAAAATTGCATATTGCATACAGTACAGAAATTAATTGTTGAAACTAAGTCGTGGGTATTATGTGAATAGGAGGTTGCGTGCTTTATTGTAATGTAACAGCTTTTGTAACACATGCAAATTTTCTCTTATAATTAGAAAAAAAAATAATCTTGAGATCCTTTCTCTTTCTTTCTTTCTCTTTTCCGACTGATCATTAACAAACCCATTAATTTTTTTCAACTGTTTTGTTTTCTCCTTTTTCTTCGCTTTGTCCTTTTGTCTTTCTACATTTCTAGAGGGAATTATAAGAAAACGAACGAAGATCTTATTAAATGCACTTCGCACCTCAGAGTCTATATTGTACTTTCTCAACCATGAACAGTTTTTCTCAGAAACTCTTCTGTACTTTGATTATTGATTTTTTTCTCATACTCCGATCTTAAATTTTTTTTCTCGTTTATTTTAATTAAATACTTGAGTCATCTTGAAGACTCTCACTTGTTTTATTTAATTAACATTTTTTTATCATTTACGACAAGTGAAATACCAAATTAACTATCTTAACAATCATTTACACAACTTTCATATTTTATTCATACCTATATATCTAAAGGGTGTATTGGATAAAGATGAATAACCGAAATCAATCCTCTAACTCAGCCAGTGAAGAAACTGTTTACTCTGGAAAACGAAACGCCATTCCTTCCAGATCCTATTCGGTATCTTCTATGTCCTCCGACTCGATTCCTTTTGAAGCCCTTCAAGCTCACTATGATTCCGATAATGAATCTGATGTTACACCACATCCAATAAATTCCGATGTTGTTAATTCAGAAAGTGATAGTGATAGTGATAGTGATAGTGATAGTGATAAGGATGGTGATGAGGGCCGATCGGCTCAATTCCCCATAGGAACTAGAAATAGTTGCCTACCATCTATTAAAAAGGCTCAAAAATTTTATAAGCACCAAAATCGTAAGCAATCAGCAGATAATGACCAAAAAAGTAAAATCAACTACTCTTCCATTTACGGTATTTCTTCGACTGATTATTCAACTACCGATCTGAACCCCGATAACATTGAAGATTTAAATGACATTGCTGTCCTTGATGGTGCCTATACTATTAGTGATAATGTTAACAGCTCTCAAAAAAGGGTTACTGTTGACGTTCCAGTCACGCCAGTCACTCCAGTCGTTCAATCCAATACAAACTCTCCAGCTGCATTTAGTGCCCCGATTCATTCCAGTGATAATGACGCCGATGCTAATTATAATAATAGCGAAGAAGAGATTGACAATGTCAATCAAGAAATTGAAGATCGCGCATCTATAAATGGTGATGATAACGCTGAAGATGATGATGATTTTGGCCTAATGGGTAATGGTATCGATACTATTGTAAGTGACTCTGAAAATAATTCGATCAATGGTACTGATGATTCAGATGAGTCTGATGACTCTGATGACTCTGATGACTCTGATGACTCTGACATATCTGATTCCGATTCTGATGACGGATTTCAATACAGAAAAAAGGCTAAACTTAAGACAGAGCTCAAGCCTCCCCCCAAATTAGAAATCCCTAAACTTTTGGATCCTTCTACATTTCGAATATCTACAGCGTCTTCTGCTGATTCTGGATATACTTCTTTTCCCACTAATTCTCTTAAATTAACGTCTTCATTTGATGATGACGATGATGATAATGATAATGATGATGATGATGATAATATAAGTGATTTAAGTGTGATGAGTGAAACTGAACTTGATGCCCTGGAGGCGTCAATAAGCCAATTTAGAAGACGCAGGGATTCTGTTGTTGATCAGTCGTTGGACGATAGGACTTTATTTCCTCGCTCGGCTATTCCTGATCCCATTAACGAAGAAAATGAAAGTGACTCACCACTGGATTTTTATAATAAAGATGATGATGATAGACTTTTAGCAGTAATTGGATCAGGTTTTGAGTCAAGTACTGCCGAGGCTGATCAGGATTCTGATGACGAAGATGAAGATGAAGAAGAAGAAGAAGAAGAAGAAGAATATGATGATGATGATAATGATCCATTTGAAACTGGGACGATTGAAAATAGAATCATTGGTCAAGAAGATCTTTTTTACGATGACAGTGATGAAGATATTGATGATTTTGCTATTGAACAAGAGGAAGAACGTGCTTTAGTCGAAGAGGTTGAGCAGAGTGGTGATTTAAGTATCCCTCCTTCTCCGGTTTTTCTTGGATATGAGTCTGATGAGGATGATGAATTCGATTCGGATCTATCGTTTAATGAAGATGTATTTTTATCGCGAACTATTGAGGAAAGCATTCAACAGTCGTCATTAAAAAAACGGTCTGAAGAAGCTACAGATGATGATGATTATCTTTGGTCATATTTTTTTACATCTGATGAAGGAGACTCTACTGACGAAGAGAATGGCATGAAAAATAGAGATCAAGAAATTACTATTGGGATTACGGGTTTGAATGATGAAGTATATACTCATGAGATGACTGACTACTCAGGTGAATCAACTGATGAAGATGAAACTATACCTAAAAACACTAACAAAAATCCCACATCTCGTCCTACAGAAATTCTTTCATCGTCAAATACAGTCACTCGTCCTCCTGTTTTGGGTTCATGGGTTATGAGTACCGAAAGACCCTATGGCATCATTGATGGAAGAACAACTCGAACTCTCAGCCCCCAAGATTCAAATTTGATTTTTCCTACTGGTGTTGATGGGTCTCGAAAAAGGTCCTTTAATTCAATTTCTATGGAGTCACCTTTAGCCCACCGCAAGAAATCAACTGATATTGTATTTGGAGATCAGAATTCATTTGCTGGTTCAAATGGATCTTCAGCAAAGGCAAATGACATTATTAAAAGTCTAGATGCCATTATTACTTCCGATGCAACAATTTCATTAAAAAATGGGAAGAAAGAAGGGAAGGATGATGATAGTGATTCAGACCTAAGTGTCTTGGCACTTGATGATTTCATTTATACAAGCGAGCTAGATGATGAAGATGACCCCCCAACTCAAAATGGATCAAATTATGAGACTCTTTATGGGCGACTTTCAAAAAGAGATATTCCACTTTCTGCTTTTCGGAATCGAGGAATGTCTGTGGTTTACGAACAACCATCTTTGCAAAATACTGCTTCGGTTGCAACGCCTGCTCCACATAGTAATCCTTCACATCTTCGAACTCGCAGAAGCTCCACTGTTTCAATTAATGCCGGCGTATCTTCGACGTCCATTTCTCGGCGCAATTCCACTATAAAGTCGCGACGCAGTAGCTCTGTTGTTTCTGCAAATGGTTTTGATGGAAACTTGTTTGCTGGTTTAGTGTTGCCAGCCCGCCCTTCAGGAAAAGTTTCCGAAAAACTCGGGAAAACAAGCAGTAATAATGGAAGCATTGATAAGAAAAAGAAAAAAAATGATGATGAAGTTGGTAACTTGTTGGCATCAGCTGCTGCGGCTGCTGCTGCTGCATCTGCTACTTCTGCACCTGAAAACTCATCTTTTATTTCTTCACTTCCACAAGATGTAAATAAAGGATTTACATCTACTCTTAAAAACCGTAAAAAGAAAAGGAGAAGAGTTGGTAATAAGCCTAGGCTTGTTCTTGAGGGTATGAGTATTGATCAAAAAAGCAATAGTACTCACAAAGATCAAGGGAATCTTGATATGGAAGTCGATTTGTTGGCTACAACTGATCTTGTAGATGAGTTAGTTAATTTGGGAGCATTGAGCCCTCTCTTTGGAGGAATCGCATAGTGTAAAAAACTTTTCACATAATTTTTTTTTATAATTTTTAGTGTTGTTTTTACAAATGATTAAAAATAGTTTTTTTTAATGAAGTTTTTTAAAAATAAGATTAACAACGGCTATTAATAATAGAGATTTAAAAAATAAATTGACAAAAACATTTAGAAATTTTTTAAAAAAAATATGAAAGTAGAGTAAAATAAAGTAAAAAATGATACCATTACAATAATAACTGGCATTTTAATTTTAAAAAAACTCTCCAGTAACCTTTTGATTTTGGTAGATTAAAAGTCTAGTTAACATTACTTTAAAAAGAAAACCTGAAGTATTCATTCAATCCTTCAAATCAAATTGAAAAAAGCCACATCATTTAATTTTTTTATTATTTTTTATGAGTATTTAATTAGACAATAGGAGTCAGTCTACTAGAAAGTTGTAATTGGGTTTTAACGGTATTAGCAAGGTAAACAACCATGAGAACATCTTGAAGATGAGAATTGAAAAGCTTCTCCAAGTTCTCCTTAGAAATCGAAGGAACAAGTGCAAGGTTCTTATGAAGAAACTTGCCAATAGCAACTGAAGCAGGGCTAGGCTGGCCATTTTTATTTGCTTCAATGATTTCATTAACATAAGCACTGACACGGTCGAGCATGTCAAGAACCTTGACAAGGGTAGCTTCAAGAGCTTGGATATCGTTGACGAGAGAAATAGAACGTGAAGGCTCATCACGGGCCTTGGCAATAGCATCAAGGCCAGAACGTTCGACTTCAGAAAAGCGAATTTCATTAGGGATGGGGACGAAAAAGAGAGAGCCACGCGACTTTTCGTTGACGATGCCAACCGGGGAAGAGACATAAGTGCGGACGGAGATATCTTTGGGGAACTGCGACTTGGTCTTGTCGGAGCCATCTGCTGCAGCCTCAGCTTCGGCAGATGCAGCAGTCAGGGTTTCATAAGTGGAAACGGTAAGGTGGATAGGAGTTTGGGAAATAATGCCATTGTCGGAGGCAGAAAAGAAGTCATGCATAAGGCCTGACAGGTTGTCGAGCTCTGAAGAAGTGGTATACCAGCCCACAATAGCATCGCGAGAGTATGCGCGGCGGTGAAGGTTATACATGGTGCGCAGGTAGTCGACGTCTATGGTGATTTGGTTGTTGATTTCGTCGTGTGGAACAGCGAAAGATGATCTGACCTCGATCTCGGATCCATCGTCGGAGCGAACACCGAGGAGAACACCGATAACTCTGTTAGGGGCGTTTCCATTACGCAAGGCATGGTCTAATATTTGAAAAACAGCCTATTAAGAAATAAAAAGGTGGCAAAACATGGTCAGTAAAAGGCAGAGGTTTAAAATTTTTGAAGCACTATACATACCTGTGCTTGAACGAGGACATTAGAAGGGGCTCCGGCTGGCGAAGGACGGGGGACATATAAAAACGAATCGCTCATTTTAAAATTTATTTTTATATATTTATGTTTAATAAAGAGTGATCAGCAACGTTTCGGTCTGAGCGTCGACGAGATCGAAAAAAAAAATAGAGTGAAATGGATATATGTTCAATATTGAGAACCCGTTCAACTTGCCCCAAAGCAGGTGGTGAAAAATTTTTGAACGATGGCAGAAAGATTATTACAAAAAGTTAAATGTAACTACTTCGTTACTAGATTCTCAGGTTTACTGTTATGTGTGAACATTTGAGAATAAATTATTGATGCGGCTCAAATTTGGTGATATGAAAAAGATTATCTTTTTCACATCGACTAAAACGAGAAGAAATAATGATTCCAATTGCATGATTATGCTATTGTTAAAGCTTAAAATGCGAACCTAACTATTCATTGGTTTGTGAAAAATCTAAGAAATAAATTTAACAGATAGAATCCTAGTTCCATGATAAAATAACACTGAATTTAACTCATTTGTTGATTATGATTGAATAATTTAAAATATGGGTAAAAAAATGAACGAGAACTAGGACAAAAGTTTACTTTGAAAACAAGTTGGCGTTAGAAATTTAAAATAAAATAAAATAAAATAAAATAAAAAAAGAGTGCAAAATTGAATTTCTAGACAATTCATATGATGATTGGGATACATTGGTATTAAAAATAATGAATTAAATTTTTTTTTAGAGAGAACCTTAAAGAAACAGATAATTGAGAGTTGATGATTTGGGTACTAATTGTGCCTGTTGAAGGAGCATGTTAGAAGGATTGAATGATAATTAGTGGCAAATCTTAAATATGGAAACAAGATTATTTAGTTAAAGAATAATCCAATACTAGGTATTATTGACAGAAGAATACCAGCATAGTTAATATTATTTAGTATTGTAGAATAAAAAAAAAAGTTTAAACTACCTTACTGGTATCCGCCCATAATCGGTTAATTATGGATTTTAAAAGTCGTTCTGAAGTGATAAGCTTATGAAACAAAGAATTTGTATGTGGGCATATGTGTGATGAGGTGGAAAGCGTTTTTTTCAACTGGAGAAAACTTATTTATGGGTTTTGGATGAATGATTGTTATTGAGTTTTAAGACATGACAAAAATGGTGAAGACGATTAAAATTACCGTTAGACGAGTTCTAAATTATCCTGTTTTTTTTTTTTTTTTTTCATGATCATGAATAAAGACTGGATAAGTAATAACTTTACATTCCGACATTAATCAGGTCAGACAGAGAGTACGGACCGAGAAATTGAAAAAATTTAAAGGCAAAAGTAAAAGAAAAAGAAAAAGAAAAACCAGGTAGAGACGGCTGAGCGGCGTAAGACGGGAGAAGTAGCAGCGGCTGGTATGTAACTCGGATACTTCCAAAAGAGGATAAAATTGAAGAGAGTACCGAGAATACGGAGGAAGCATATACATAAATAGAAAAAAAAAAAATGATGATGACTAATGATTGACTAATGATAAAAAGAGCCGATTCATTGCATTTGATGTTTTTTTTTGTTAGAGACTTAAAAATACAAATTTTAACAAAAAGAAGATGAGCCTGTAGTTAAGATTTTTATACGAGTTGTTTTTAAAACAATAATTGGGTGAAATTTTTTAAGAGAAGTAAAACTAGGTTAAGTGTATGGAAATGATAGACCCGTTTGAAATAATGCCAGAACTAGGGCTTTGAAAAAAAAAATAGCTCAGAACCAAATGCGAGCAGATATATATACGTTATTCACGATATGAAAAAAAAATTAAATAATTATTTAATTTTTTTTTACTTGTTTATAAACAAGTATTGATTTTGGAATAGACAAAAAATAAAATAAAAAAAGTTGTACAAAATATGGTGGGAAACAGCAATTACAATTCACAAAAAGAAGCAGGACAAAATCATTTCGGGAAGTTGAGATTCCAAAAGTAGAAGTGGATAAAGAAACCATTCTAAATTTGCAAAAAGCCGTTGTAACCCAAACAAGTATGTTAACAAAATACATTTAAAATTCAAAAAAAACAGGGGCAACCCAATGTGAAGTGGGATATTTGAACATGTACCGTACAAAAAGGAGGGGCAAAAGAAGAAAGATGTTTAGACACATCGATTAAGCTGCTGCTGTTACTATACAAGCCATTAGCCTCGGAGGTATTGGTTACTAAAACGGTAGACAATGTTCAGCAGTGTGAATTTTATCAAGATGGACAACAGTTTTTTTATTTTTATTTTGTACAAGCAAAACTATAAAGGTGTATTTATATAGCTATTCTAAAAGAGAAGCCGGTTAAAAGTCGGAAATTTCCATCAGTCGCAAGAAATGATGAAAATGAAAATGAAACCTTTTTTTTATTATTCTTTTTTCTAAAAAAGAAAAGAAATCGGGCACCGACCGGTTTAGAAAATGCAGCATTTTGGGTGGATGCATATTTATGTCAATGTTGTAAGCATAAGTGGTATCTTAGAGATGGGTTAGCTTTCGGCTGTAATTCATCCATGAAATACTCAAACACGGGTCTCAAAGTTTCAAAGAGATACAGTTAATATTCATAGTTATTTGTGAATTTCATTCCTCTCCCTCCCCCTAAAGAATTTAAATGTAATTTTTAAAAATTGAAATATATAAGTGAAATCATCAAAAAGGTTTATTTTAATTAGTGAAAAAGAAGTAGAATTAAGGACCCGAGGATATATTACATATAAATTTTCATGGAGCATAGAAAAAAAAACCCGGGGCATTGCGATAAAGGAACGCGACCAGCCACAAACGGGTGCTAGAGCGCCCGCCTATACAGGCAGCCCTCCAAAAAGTAATGGTTGGATAAGGGGGAGGAGGGAGAAGAATGGGTGAGAGGGAAAGAGGGAAGTGACACTTAGCATAGGAAAAAGCAGCAGCAACAACAACAGCAGCAGCAGCAGCAGCAGCAGCAGCAGCAGCAGCAGCAGCAGCTAGAAAGAGCAGCAATGATTGAGGAGGGAAGGATAAAAAATTAAAATAAAAGGCAGCAGTAGTATCAGCAGTATCAGCAGTAAGAAGAAGTTATGATAGTAAAGCCTGGTCAGCATTTTATGTAATATAATCGAAATCTATGAGAGTCAGGAGTAGAACGAAGTTGAAGATGATGAAAGCATTCCAAGTCTTTTTTGTTTTTTTTTTTGCAGCCAGTCCAGCCAACCCAGCCCAGTCCATGTTTTGTTGATATATTTGTTTTTGTTTTTTTCATTTTGGGGAGAATTTTTACGCACTCTGGAAATTATGTCATTGGATGCCTCTTATTATTAAAAAAAAAAATAAAAAAAAATAAAAACATGCGGCCAGCCCTATTTATTACCCGCTTGATTCAAGCAACACCAACAGAACAAAAAACAGGTATATATATTTGGACCTTTCCTCATCCCAAAATTCTTTTCTCTTTTTTTTTCCCTTTTCCCTTTTTTTCTCCTTTTTTTCTCCTTTTTTTTTTTTTGTTCTAATTCTTCTATAATAACTCCCCCGTGCTCCTTCTTCACGAACAATTTATCTAACCTCAATCATTTAATTTGTATGTGATTCTCTTTTGTTTTTTTTTGTTTTTTTTTAATTGTTTGGCTACAATAATGTATTTTTTTACATTCAACTTTAGTTTTGCGCGATTTTTTCCCCCTCCCAATACTAACATTATCTATAGATCCCAACTTCCCAGATTCATAAACCTTCACAATGTTGCCTCGTGGTGTTATTCTTGTTTTCTGCATCATCTTTGTTGTTTTCCTCATCGTCTTGGCTATCCAGTTGAGAAAGTGGATCATTAACCGTCGTGCTCTCAGAGAATACTAAGCACATTGCTAGTATTTCATGACTTTCTTTTACCCCAGCACTACACTTCAAGCCCCTTTCTTCTGCTTCACCTTCTGCCATTGACTATTCATTGACGACTCTCATCTTTGACTCGACATTTTTCTCCATTTTGTGTTTTATTTGCTTTATGCATCTAACTTTGACGTTTCATGTTTGGCAAATTTAATGCTTTACAAAAATGCATTCTCTGGATGCTTCTATTTTGCTTTTTGACCGATCGACTTAATGTATAATATATTTTTTTAATCATGATCGATTAATTGTTTTTGTTTTTCTATAGTAATTTGTATTTTTTTTCTCTTTACAATTTTTTTTTTTGAATTTCAAAATGTTGTAGAGCAATGTTGAGCCATATACTTATGGCTAATATTAATATAAGGAAATTAAAAGATAAGTGAAAATTTTTTTGTTTACATTTGAGCAGGGTGGTGGTTGGTTATTTGGTTGGTTGATAGGCCTTGCTGGCTTCTTAAAGGAGATAACAAGTTGTTGCATAGCAATATCCCTAACCCTTGGATAGTCTGCAACCCCCCACTCATGAAGACTTTTTACGCAAAAGGGGCTTTAGTTGATGCTTTCAGAGGGCCACAGCAATGAAAACAAAGGGATTCTAGGATTTCGGAATGCAATATTGATATTGAAATGGCATTTGTTTTTAGAACAATCTAAGAAAATAAAAATATATACATAAAATATAATATTTCAATGGGAGGTTCATTGAACTTGAAGAAATTTACTTTCTGTTTCCTATTCTGCGCAACTTTACCTTCAATAATCATGATTAAAACGATGTCTTGATTACAGGCCACGATCATTTGCAGTATGTTTATTTAAAAAAAAAAAAAAAAAAAAAACACGCAACAATAAGATGAAAAAAAAAAAAATTTTTTTTTTTGCGGTCATTTTATTTCAGCCTTTTGTGGAATGCTTACTCATCTCGATGGCATATCTAGAGTACATTTTGTCAGTGTAGATTAAAAGAATGATTGTTACTTGTGATAAACTTAACTGTGAATAAACCCTGAGATAGTTTAGAAATTAATTAACTTATAAGTTGAAGTCTGGGTCTGGTAGTAATTGAAACATTTGAAGATTAATTAATAATTAATAATGAAATTTATGACAATAAAGATACACAAACCTTTCATGTAATTACTCGATGAAATGAATTCTACGATATCACAGATATAATCATTTCTCATCTAATTCCCATTTGCTTTTATCATTTTAGGGGATTATTTATATTTTTCTATTCTTTAATCTATACAACTTGGATGCCCCGAGATGTTTCAATGTAAATTATAGGCTATATTCCTGTATCTTTCAAGTGGAGACGTTTGTTTATAAAGATAATGCTAATTGTTATTTTTTATGTCTGACTTTGTTGTGCACCTACTGTATATTACTGTTGATGGTTTTGTGTTTATTTTATTTTATTTTATTTTTTTATGGACTATGCATGAAAAAGATGGTCCGACCTGGAAAATAAAAATGGAGAAAATCAGTTTCCAGTTTGGGAGATCTTATTGAGGATAAAAAAAAAAGGAAGCAGAGTGGAGAAGCAGAACGGTCTGTGCTTTGGATATTATTCAAGTTGAAGATGGTTAAAAAAAAATTGATGATTTCACGTGGACGAAAATTCATTTCATTTCATTTCATGTTATTTTTCCTTTTTTTTCTTCTTCTTCTTCTTGTTCTTCTTCCAATATATAAAATATATTCCTCATCCTCTTTCAGTCATCTTTTATTTCCTAATTTTGAAAGTTCTTTAATTCTTTTTTAAAATTTTAACAAGAAAACTGATTAGTGAACCCTCCCACATTATACTTTTTTGGTTGGCTGGTTTTCTAGACATAATTATAATAAACAAGTCCACCGGATACAAAAACCTTAACAAGGCAATTGCATACTTTCTTGTGTGTCTTTTCTCATCGAATTTTTTTCCTTTTTCTTTTTTCCTTCTCTCCTTTTTCGTCATTACCACCAAAACAAGCAAAATTTAAAAAAAAATAAATAAATAAATAAAACCAAAATCTTGTTGTCCCGTGTTTTATTGTTTTGACTCAAAAAGAATAAACATTTTTTTTTCCCATATTTATTTATTTCAAATAAATATCTTTCTTCTACATCTTCATCTTTCTTATTTGGGTGCTCTTTGACGCGTTTTTTTTTTTTTTGAATTTTTTTTTTTCTATTCCATCTTTTTGTTTCTCTCTCCTCCATTAATTTTTCTTTCTTTTTGACAAAAAAAATTAACACCTTTTTTTTTATCCCCTCGTTTCCATTTCTCTTTCTCTCTCTCTCTTTAGCCACACACTTCTCCAATAGCATATTTGATATTTTTCGCGTGTCATCAAAAGTCTTAAACCTCTTTTTTTTTTTTTTTTTTATCTCAATATGGACCCTCAAGACCCCCAAGTTGCTCCCCAAAATGCAGGTGAGCCTGGCCCTGATATCACTTCCACATTACAAGAGGCTCCACTCGGCGGCCCAAATCAACAAATATCACAAGTAAAGCGTGAGCGTCTGATGGAAGAAGACGAAGACGACGAAGATGAACGCAAATCTGGCCGCGAACGAAGAAAAATTGAAATCAAATTTATCCCAGACAAGTCGCGTCGTCACATTACTTTTTCCAAGCGCAAGGCTGGTATCATGAAGAAGGCCTACGAACTCTCGGTCCTGACAGGAACCCAAGTTCTGCTACTGGTTGTTTCTGAAACTGGTCTAGTTTACACATTTACTACTCCTAAACTCCAACCACTTGTCACCGAGCCCGAGGGTAAAAACCTCATTCAAGCATGCCTCAATGCACCTGAAACCAGACCCAATGGCCACGACATGAATGTACCCATAACTGACCCGGCATTTGACCCCAACCAACAAGCTCAGCAACAGGCTCAGCAGGACGCGGTTGCTGCTGTTCAGCGACAGCAACAAGAGCACTTGCAAGCTCAAGCTCATGCTCACGCACAGTCTCAACAACAACCGCAGTCTCAACAGCCATCGCCATCAACTTTAGGCAACCAAGTCCCTCAACATTTGGGTTCTCCGGGCATGTCTAACCAGGGCCTTCCTCGTACATCCATGCCCCAAGCTCCTGTTCCTTTGCAACATGGTTTAGGTAACTATCTTCCTGATCAACAGTTTTCTTACATGCCACCAATCCAAGCACCTCCGCAGCAGCAACGATATATGAACCCGCACCAGAACCCTTCACCTGGTAACTGATATATAAATATAAGAAAAAAAAATATAACTTGATATGATAATTGAAATTCAATGTTGCTTTAAAAGTATACTATTTTTCTTTTTTTTGTTTGCCTGTTTTATATCTCTTATATATAGCGTATGTAATTTATCGCCAAAGTCGTGATATTTTTTTTTTTTTTTTTGGAGGGAGGAGATAGTTAGATACCCATCCACATACTCTTTCACACATAGGTCTATACACTCTCTTTCTCATTTACTCCAGTAGAGTTTTTAAAATTTTAATTTATTCAGGTGCCAACTAAAAGAATATTTACACTACACATTTAATATATTGGATTAGACTAAATTTCTGTTGTTTTTTTAGTGTTTCTTAATACTCTACCGCGTTTGGTAAATTTCTTGATACACTTATGCCATATATATATATATATATATATATATATATAAGCAATGCTTATCCATAATAGAAACGGTAAAAATATATAGAAAGAATTACCCGGCCGAAGAAACCTTTTCTAAAATTGTTTAACCACTATCGACAGAAAAAAAATTTTAAGACCCAAAGGCATTATTGATATATATATAGCTATATATAACCCGATGGAAAATAAAAAAATCTTAGGATAGGATAAAAACTTTGAAACAAAATATAAAGTAGACCAAATATTTTTTTAAAAAAAAAATTGCAGTAAAATAAAACTTATCGGTAATTTACTAGTAAACCATAATATACAAGAATCACTTAAGATAACTCCAAAATATTTATTTATTTAAGTGGATTGTTATAAAACAGCGGGGGGACATAAAATTCATCAAAAAAAACCAGAGACAAGGTAAACTTAGTTGCCCTTGGGAGCCTCCTTCCAAGAGACAGGAGCCTCCTCACCCATGGCGCTAATGATAGTGACAAGGAGCTCCTTGCCTTCATCAAAGGCGTCGTGAATCTCATTACCAAGGTCAGACTCAGGGAGCTTAACGTCATCCTTCATGGAGTTGTCGCTGGACATGAGGTTAAGGAAACCATCATCAATGTCAACGAGGGTGTACTCCTCACGACGGACATTGGGGACCTCCATGTTGTGGGTGGAAGGAGAGAGATCTTCAAGCTTCTTGCCAGTGAAGATATCAATAGCAACCAAGTGGACCTTGGCGTGACCGTGCTTACCAGTCTTAGAGGTAGACATGTCAACAATCTTGCAAGGGCGACCCTTAATCACAACGAAACCATTCTTGCGAAGGGCAGAGCACTGCATGGGGAAAGTAGCAGAGGCGCCAGCATTGGCAGTCTCAAAGGTGTGGTTCTGTATAAAAAAACAAAAATTGTAAATGGTTAGAAGTTGTTCATTTAGCTTTGTTGAAATAACTCTCAGATGTCAAGTATATTTCAAAGGTAAAGGAATAAAAAAATAACAGAATTCAACATACATCATCATCAGTAGACATTGTTATGGTTGCTTTATTGATTCTCTTGCAAAAAAGTGCTTGTGGTTTAAAAGAGAGGATAAGAAAGAGAAGAAGAAGAAAGAGAAGTAGGAAAAAAAAAAAAAAAAAAAAAGAGAAGAGAAGAGGAGAAGGGGGAAAAAATTAAAAATTCACACGATTGAAGGGTAAAAAATTTTTTTTTTGGGATTTTACCTAGTAACACAACACATCGCACCGCTTACACTATAAATTTTCTTTGCATTTCTTTTTTTTTTTTTTTTTTTTTTTTTTGTCAAAAGAAACTCCCAAAATAAAATAAGAAATAAATAAAATCAAATACAGTGCATGTAAATTGTAATTAAATAAAATAATGTAATATATTATATAATATATTAGTATATTATTTATTTTTGCTGAGTAATACCATCCATTAGATCAAATAAAAGCCTTCTCCGATACTCTGGGCATCTAAAAATCTAAAAATCTAAAAATCTAAAAATCTAAAAATCTAAAAATCTGAAAATCTGAAAATCTGAAAAACAATAAAACTAAAAACACAAATTGATATTCATAAAATTGTGGTGATAATGGTAATAAATAATTATCACCAACATCCCCTTAATTTCCCTCAAAAAACTTACTATTCCATCTGTTTCTTCACCCCACAATTCCATCATAGCTGATAAAGTATTTTGCTATTATTTGTAATCCTGAAAGCTTTTCTGCCTAAGCCGCTTCTTTCTGGGTCTTTCTCTCCTGCTGCTGCTTTATATTCCCCCTCCCCAAACCAGGACTACATAATCTCAATTGAATTACTTCATAAATGCTTGCCCACATTTATTTTTGTTAAGCAATATGTTTGCAATTTGCATACATGATATAAAATCCATTTACTTAACTTAAACTAATCTAATAACAAAACTTTCATGTCAGCCGGATATAATTACCCTACCTGTAGGCCTGGTTCTGAGAGTAATTTCAGGAACAGATACTTTTAACCCCGTGACTGTGTTTTAATATTATTTCACGTGATTTAAATCTTTATTTTTATTTTATTTTTTTATTTTATTTATTCAGCCAAGTTGCGTATGTAACAATGTACGTTTAACTTTTATTTGGTTACATACAAATTTTAAAATAATACAGTAGGTGATATGCTTAGTTTAAAAAAAAGTCAATCTCCCAAAATCAGCATTTTCGCACATGCAAGATATTCAAGAGGTTCTGATGAAAAAAGAATAAGAAAAAGAAAATACATTAAAAAGTATACATACATATATATATATATATATTTATATTATCAATCTTTATTACCAAAATAAATAAATTCTCAAATCAACATCTATTTGTAATGTTTAATTATTATAATTATTATAATTATTTCGATAATGATGACTATTTTATCATAATTATCATAATTAGATAACTATACTTTACCACGCTATTCGTGCCAGTTTCCAAATCTGGTTTCTTATTATTTCATATTAGAGTTTCACTAAAAACTTTTTAGCTGCATTTTAAGACTGTCGCATGCTTGTTGTATATTGCCAGCATTATATTGCGATTTTTTTTATTTTCTGTAGAGAAAGAGAAAAAAAAAATATCAGCAGAATTAAACGCTATTAATTGGACTCGTCTCAAATTTAGAAAAATTAAATAACCAAACGTTTCAAAATTCATTTTTTTTATCAATATTAATTTATTAGATTAGAATCTACCTTTTTCTTTTTGTCCCTTACAGTATTTGCCCTCTTTTTCTTTTCACATTTTAAATTATATATTGTTAATTTTTTTTTACTATCCTCTTTTTCACATCAAAATTAATTAATTTTTTCTTGTAAAATCTATTTTAAATTTATTATTACGAAACGTATCCTTGTGTCCATCTAAAAAAACGAAAAAAAAATCAACTTTTAAATGCCTCTAACGTTATCACAATGGGATTCACTGCTCTCAATGTGAAGAAGTCGATCTCCTCATCCTCCTCCTTATCGGTTTCCACAGAGCCATCTTCTTCATCCTCTTCGCCAACTCCAAGAACTCACGAAGAACCCCAAAACTTGACTTCACATCCCTCTACAGCTTTAGAGCAACAACAACAAGAACCACAGCAAATGGTAACGAAATCTTTTTCTTCAACAAACCAAAATATTTCTTTGATACAGCCGTTGTCATCAACACGTAGCTCCAAAGGAGTATATACTTCACTCAATAATACTCGTACAGATCCTTTCATTAAACCAATGACTCCATCTTCTGCTGCCGTTTTTTTAAATGCAAAACACAAAACCCAAAAGGGTTATCCTTCTGTACCAGATGCTTCCGTACTTGACCCTATTCCATTCTCTGTTCACACTGCTGCTACTCTTTCCTCCTCATCATCTACTTTATCTTCTTCTTCTCCAGTAGATTCTGCAGCTTCTTCTACCCCCAAATTAGTTACTCGACCTTACAATAGAACAAATAAATCTGTACCCAAAACACTCGGTAAAAAAGCAAAACCCATTTCCTTTGCATCAGAGAGTCACCCTGATAATTCACCATCCGAATTGGCAACTACACTCACCCCTGGGTCAGATAATTCTTCTTCCGCTAATTCTACCCCCATTCAATTTCAATTTAAAACTGGGAAGCGCAAGTACGAAAGGAGAGCACCACGAAAACCTGCACATTCTTCACCAAACTCTACTACCACTAATGCCACAAACGATAAAATTACGCGCCGGCAATCTTCAACATCAATGACTTCCAGTACAAGGCAAAGTCTACAATCTACTATAGATAACTCATTGAAATATAGCCCACAACCTGGCTCACAGCCACTTCCACCACCTCCATCACAAATACAACAACAAGTACAACAAGTACAACAAGTACAACAAGTGCAGCAACAGCAGCAACAGCAGCAACAGCAGCAACAGCAGCAACAGCAGCAACAGCAGCAACAGCAGCAACAGCAGCAACAGCAGCAACAGCAGCAACAGCAGCAACAGCAGCAACAGCAGCAACAGCAGCAACAGCAGCAACAGCAGCAACAGCAGCAACAGCAACAACAGCAGCAACAGCAACAACAGCAACAACAGCAACAACAGCAACAACAGCAACAACAGCAACAACAGCAACAACAGCAACAACAGCAAGCCATTCATACCCACTACCTTTATCCACAAATCAGAAGTAGAGCTAACCCACCATTGGATCTAACTGATGTAATTAAACCCAACGATTTCACTGAGTTGCCTCCTAAAACTCAACGCGTATTTAATATCCAAGATGCTCCAACATTTTCTCCCACACAAGCAGAATTTTCTGATCCATTGACTTACATTAACAAAATCTCGATTATTGGCCAAAAATATGGCATGGCTAAAATAATTCCACCACCAAATTGGAGGGCTGATTTTTCTCTAGACACTGAGGTATGTTGAGAAACTTTACCATATTCTATTTGTTTTTTCCCATAAAGTAAGCATGAAAAATAAACTTTCTAACCCTGTTTTAGATGTTTTGGTTTAAGGCTCGTCGCCAGCATCTCAACTCGGAGCTTGGCGGCTTTTTGGCCCGTATTCATTTTATTTCAAACCTACACTACTTCCACAAAATGAATGGCACGGCAATCGGTAAGATCCCAATGATTGATAAACGCACCTTAGATTTATATCATTTGCATATGTGTGTTCGTCTCCGTGGAGGGTTTGTGACTGTTTGCCGAAAAAAAATGTGGGCCCAGATTGGTCGTGAATTGGGTTACAATGGTAAAATCATGACATCTCTTTCCACTTCTCTCAAATCATCCTATCAAAAGTTTATCGCTCCTTATGACGACTTTTTAAAGCAGTCTGGAATACTTGCAACTAACCAAAATGGCCGTCATGATGAAGACATTACAAATAATGGTGTTTTTGTCGAGAATTTTTTGATTCTAAATAAAGATTACGACATGAATAATTATGCTGCTGTGATGAATGTTCTCCCCGGCGAAATGCCTGACCACCCGGAAAACACGATGCAATTTGTAAACGACTACCAACAGATGGTTTCCCGGAAAATGTCAGATGTCAAGGGCAGTGAAAATGGAGTGTTGAAAACATACCAATTCCCAAGTGGTGGTGTTCTTAAATTTTTCGTTTTTTATAATGAATACCTCACTGATCCATTTGGCAAAAATTTTGGCCTTGACCCCAAAAAGGATGCAGCCAAAATCACTGAATTTTACAAAAACGATGCGGAAAAAAATGGCCTAGAAAACACCCCTACAATCACATGCTCGCACACCCCAATCATTCGTTATAACAATGTCACCTGGAATGAAATCAAACAACCCAGCTCTTCTAATGATAAACTTAAAGAGGTCTTAGAAGATTGTGATATATCGTCTACAGACTGTCCAACATATAATCTGCGGCAGTTTCAACGCAAGGCTGATAGATTTTACGAAGTCTATTTTAACGGCAAAAATATACCAATAGGCTCATCTGACATGACACGTTCCGAAGAGATTGTTGAAAATGAGTATTGGAAAAACTTATCTAATAATAACACCCTTGAAGTTGAATATGGTGTTGACATCCATACTTCTATTCACGGTTCCCCATTTCCCCAACCAGAACGTGATGCGTCTAATCCAAATGTTCACAACCCCTGGAATCTAAATTCTTTGCCGTTTCACAAACACTCCTTGCTGAGGTTCATTGATATCCCATCTTTATCTTTGGTCCAACCATGGCTACAAATTGGAATGCTCTTTTCCTCGAAAAGTTGGAACTATTCCGATATATTTTCTCACTCGGTCTCTTACAACCATTTCGGCGCAAGCAGAACCTGGTATTCTGTCCCGGAACAGGATCATGAAAAAATGCGGAAACTTTTAGCATCAATAGCAGGCCCAAATACTGCCATCACTGGTCCGTCATTTTTATTTGAATTTAATCGAATCGTAACGCCAGAGACTCTCAAAGCTCATGGAATTCGATGCTATGCAATTGAACAGCGACCTGGCCAGTTTGTCATCAACTTCCCCAAGTCTTACTCTTGCCATTTCAATCATGGCTTCAATTTGATTGAGTCTGTTCAAACGTTACCAATCTATAATTGGATTCCCTACGGGCTTGATTCATTTCACCAATTTGGCAAATATCGTTTACGTCCACCTTTTTGCTTGGAGAAATTAATGCTAATTGCTCTTCAAGATAAAAATGAAGATATTACGGCAAGGTTTGTATATGTATATATATATATTTTTTTTTCGACATTGCTAATTTTTTTTTTAGAATACTTCCAACACTCTGCAAACTCATTGAAGAGGAAATGAAATTGAGAGAGGCTTTACTTAAAACTTTCCCACAAATTTATGTTGCCGCAGAAAATCATGACTTGAATGATTTTGCCTATGTCAGCACAATATCTAATCAATATTGTTACTTTTCAAGAGTAGTCAATGCCAAAAAGCAAAGCGTTCTCACAATAAATGAATTTTTTTCATTAGATCATAGCTCCAATGTTGGTGATTATACTTTTGTGATTCGCATTCCTGACAGGCATTTGGAATCCATTCTTCATCAAAAGAGCATCAACAGTGAAAATGTTGAAAATTGGAAGGAGAAATATCATACTCATTTGCGAGAGTCACCCAAGCCGGACTTGGAATATCTTCGCGATCTTCTTTTTGAAGGAAAACAATTCTTTGTTAATGTAAGCGAAGTGCCTGGTTTGGAAAAGTTTGTCATGAAAGCCGATCAATGGGTAAATAAAGCCCAAATGCTTTTGCGGGATTTTGAGCCAAAGCCTGGTAACAACTCCAGCTCCAACTCCAACACTGCAACACAGTTCGGTCCTTTTCAAAGGATTGAATTTTTGGAACAGCTAGCAAACGAACTTCCTGATATTCCGTTCCATTCTCCTGAAACAGAGCAAATCAAGTATTGGGCAACAAAAGTAACGGATTTTCTTGACAATATTGAAAAATCTGTACAAGAAAACTCTTCAGAAGATTACCAACATGGTGTTTTGGCACAAGCTGCCCAATTGGGTCTTCCTATTTCAAATTTGGATAGAATGATGAAAATTAAGAAATGGACTGATCTTGTTTCAAATGCTCATAAAATTTCTTCTGATGACAAAATTTTGAGCACTATTCAACATCTCTATCAGCAAGGTCTGGAGTTGCAAATTCCTTTACCTCTTCCAGCCGCTCTAGCAGCTTTAATCTCTAATGAAGACTTTGGACCAAAACAAAAGAAACAAGAAAATGATGCTGAAAATAATAATGCTGAAAAGAGTGATGAAAAGGTTCCAACAAAGCTCAAACCTGGGTTTGATGACAATGTTAACAAGTTTGAAAAGGAATGCACACCAGTTGTAGCTTCGGAATCTCCCAATTCAGCACCTTTGGCTTTCCCAACTAAAACCAAATCACATCCAACAAAGACACAAAGCGTTTCGCCTTTTAATACTCCCATTATTGGTGATATCAATGAAGATTTACCCCCATCAAAGGTTCTCGATACCATCGAAAAGAGATGTAAGTCTTCATCAATCCACAATAGACCATCTTATGGCGAAGTCAAGAGAATGATTGGAACCATCAAAGTTGGGGAAGATGATGCCTTACTGAAACGAGTTCTTCGGCTGCTTCAACGCGTCGAAGACTGGTATACGGAAGGAAGACAGTTATTTCAAACAGAATCACCCATGGCAATTCTTTTACCAGCTCTTCAATGGTACTGTGCTAATTCTTTCAATCTACAAGATAGAGTTGAAGCAATTGACAATTCAGAGAAGAGGGTGTGCTTGTGCCGTACTTCTCCAAGTAAAGTTGGCATGGTACAATGCAATACATGCAATGAATCCTTTCATGTTAAATGCTTGGGTTCACGAAAGTACATCACCAATCCCATTGAGTCAGGGGAGCAAAAGGATAAGTTTGTGTGTCCAGTATGCCAGCGGGTGGATGAATTTTCAGAAGGATCCGAAGATAAACATCCTAAATTTGGAAATTTATATATATCCAGTGTTGTTTTGATTCATTCTGACCTCACCCGGCCTAACAGCGATGAGTTTTCTCATTGGGCGCGACAAAAGAATCGCTTGCCTCTTCAACCAGACGAATTTTACAGTCTTACAACAACTCTTCAGTATATTGAGCGGTATCAGAAATATCTTCATGACGAACTTTTCATTGGAATTGATAACGGAATAGTGTCTCTCGAGGATGCACGTCTTCACTTACGCAAGGTTGAGGGTGGAATTATTTTATTGGAAGCAGAGCGCTCTATCTTAGCGGCTGCCGTTGAACGTCTTTCTGAAAAGAAAGATGATGGTAATACAGATAATAATTTCATTACGGATAGAATGGAAATTGATGTACCCCCTGTTGATGATACACCAAAAGCTCAATATTGGAACCGTAGGACTGTTGAAACCCCTATTGAGAAGGGAGGCTCTGACTCTGTTGAGGCTCGAAATGACATTCCCACATCACCCAAGAGTCAAAACGAACCAAGGCATTTAAGTAGTGGTTGCAATACTATTCCTTTGAAGAGTGAAATTGCAACAATTACAACTGTTCAGAATGATACTAGACAGGATACAGACTCGTTTCCTGGAAAATCTATTGAGCCAACTGACGAGTATCGTGCTGCAGAAAAAGATTCTAAAAAGCTCCATGATACTAGTGTGAATGTCCCGGATGTTGTAGGTGCCGATGAGCAACCTCAGAGACTGAGAAGCTTATCATTAGGAGATGACGATACACCATATGCCCCAATTATTCTCAAACGGCAGAGAGTCCCTGAGGAAACTTCTGATAATAGCGGAGATAGCGTCTGCCCTACGCCTAATCACAAATCACAGTCTTCAAACCAGGAAGTCGAGTCTGAATATGTGTTAAAACCTGAGGCTGAGCCAAGGGTTGAACATGGAAGCCGATTTGTAAATAGAGTAAAGGAGGAATATTTATTGAAAAACAGCTACGGGTCTGAAATCCCGGTCATCAAAGAAGGCGATTTTGATTTAGGAGAGAATCCCGAAGATAGTGAAATTGATTATGAGGAAGACTTTTCGGTCGAAGAAGAAGAGGCTAGGGGCAATGCCAAAGTTAATGAGGATTCAATTCAGGAAGAAGATTGTAGGCCAAACTCGCAGCCTAACCAGAAATACGAGGACGAATACGAGAAGACTTCCAATTACGAAGAGAAAATTGGTCACTCAAGAGTTCGATCCGAGGGAAATGGCTACAAGGAGCAGGTACAGGGCAAGGCTACAACACCCAAAAAATCAAAAGAGTCTGTAATTCCGATCAATGGCCAGTCTTCGATTTCCCTCACAGTGAGTAATCACGAGCCCTCCATTGTAACAACCCCGCGCAAACGCATTCGGCGCGATTCCAATGAACCGACGCTGGGTGATGAAGAAGATAGAACCAAAAAGATGCGGGTGACGGCGCCGGCGCTGTGATTTTTTTCAAACCAAGAGAAATAAAGAAGATTAAAAAAAATAATGGAATTAATGTTGATTTTATTTATGAAATATTTTTATATATATTTGGGGTAGTTTGAAGTATCAGATGGATCTGATTTGATAGAGTAGGAAAGCTTGATTGGGTATATTTAAGAGAAATGTTGACTTGGAGGATGCAACAAAAAAAAATGCGCGTCCCGGCATTTACCGGGCGCATTATCACCAAGAAGCAATCAGCACGCGCGTGAAAAATTTTTGTTTGTATGCCCGCTAACTTTTACGACCCGTTCCTTTTCGCAGCCACCAAATTGTTTGGTACAAGTCAAGACGACAGAAACATAACAACGACAGCAGCAACAGGAAAAAAAAAAATAATAATAATAAATAAATAAATAAATAAATAAATAAACCGGCTGGTAAATTTTATTTTTATAATTATTTTTATCAATTATTTTACTTTTTTTTTTTTTTTGCTTCTCCAGTTTCTTCCCGTTTGCTTGTTAACTGGCGCCATGTCTCTGATCAGAAGCCATCACCATCTCTCGCTGGCGCGCGCTTCTTGCCCAGTTTCAACCCCTCTTTTGCGTCAACTGGTAGCTCCAACCTCGTCGTCGTCACCTGGGCTCAGCAGGGGGTATGGGCCAACTATATCTACTTTTGGGGCTGATATAAAGACTCAGACCTTATATACTATTTCGAGCCAAAAGAAGCAGCTCAAGAATATGTTCATTGAGACTTCACCTTTAAAAGCACAAATACAGCCTCAGCAGCTTAAGCCACGAATACCACCACGAACTGTTACACAACTGCGCATTCGATTACCTCTGCTTTTTTCTTCTTCTCTGTCGGGCCATGCTGGGATTGGGGCCCGATTTTGTGAGGCAACAGTGGGCCATCGGATTCAGACGGCCCGGTTTTCCACCACCTCGCAGTGGATACGACGCGGCAGGGGTGTTCCAAGTCTAAGTTTGCCAGCGACACATTCACAACATCATCTCTTTTTTAGCACAACAGCAATGAACAACAACAGTAACACCAAGCCCACCGACGGCAACAAGCATAGCCATTCGCATGAAGGTTCCAACCACAATCATGTTCATGAACACAGTGACCAGGAACATGCTGCTAAGCCTCATACTCATTCACATGAGGAACCGCATTCGCACTCACACTCGCTCTTTGGACATTCGCACAGTCACTCTTCAGCCGATAGCGTTTTTGTTCAAGAACATGGTGGTTTAAAAAACCCAGCAATCCGTATCACTTGGATTGGATTACTTGCCAATCTTTCCATGGCTATCGGAAAGGGCATTGGCGGTATTGTTTTCCACTCTCAGGCACTACTAGCTGATTCGATTCACGCTCTATCAGATCTTATTTCAGATTTTCTGACTCTCGCCACCGTGTCTGTTGCTGCACGTCCCCCGACCCAAGATTTCCCTAATGGCTACGGTAAGATCGAGACCCTTGGTTCTTTGGGCGTATCAGCACTGCTCTTTCTCGCAGGTATTTCCATGGGTTGGAATGGCCTAATTTCTATTCTTCAGCAACTTCTTGGGGAAAATTACTTTTTAGATCTCATCACCCAGTTTGTAGGTCATGGCCATTCACACTCCCATATTGGTACCGTCGATCACGCAGCATCTGAAGCTATTGCTCATACTCACACACACTCCTCTGATGCTGCCTCTGCCGCCGCAACTGCCATTGCTGTTGCGCCGTCTGTTGATCTCAATGCCATGTGGCTCGCTCTTGCCTCCGTGGGTGTTAAAGAATGGCTTTTCCATGCTACAATGAAGGTTGCCAACTCTACAGGTTCTTCTGTGCTTGTTGCCAATGCCTGGCACCATCGCATCGACTCGCTCACTTCTATTGTGGCCGTTGCCACCATTGGTGGTTCTTATCTTTTTGGCCTTAACTGGCTTGATGCCCTGGGAGGTCTTCTCGTCTCCTGCGTTATCATCCGTGCTGGCTACCAAAATGGCTTCGCCGCAGCTCTCGAACTTGCTGATAGCAGTACTACCGTTCCACACGAGATTATTGAGACCAACACACATGCAGTCAAGACTGCTCTTACTCAGGCTACAGCTGAAGGGGCTATGAATCTTGGTGACTTTGACATCCACAAGATCCTTGTCATGTCATCCGGTCCAAATTATATTACTCAGGTCGAGCTCAAGACTGCCCCTAACACCAGCATTGCAAAGTCTGCAAATGTCACCACGTTTGTGGAAAGAGAGCTTCTTGCCCACGACCCCAGACTTAAACGTGTCACTGTCAAGTGCACCGATACCGAGTCTATCAAGCGTCTGCTAAGCGAACAAAAGGAAAAACATGCTTAGATAAATATTTTGTAAAATATATATTTAAAAATCAAATTACATAGAATTAAAGTGAACAAAAAATGGGGTTTCAAGCTTACGTACCGGTGCTAAGGAAGCCGAATCAAGACCCCCCTTTAGCAAAAACCTATTTTTAAATTTTTTTATTTGCCAGCCAACCAAAAAAAAAAAAAAATTATAAGATTCCTTATTTTTTTTATTTAAACATCGCAAATCAAGCAGCACCGCCTTTACAAATGATCAGACTGTCCAGCTTTTGTCTTTTTGTGGTTTTTATTTCGAATGTTTATGCCTCGTTATCGCCAGGTGTGAACACCGAGCCTACTCGATTTAGTCAGTACTTCTTAGATTCACATGACGCCGCATACCCTCTTAAAACCTATCCACTTTTCATTGGCAGTCATAAAGAGTAAGTGAAAGAAAGGAATTAATAAAAATGAGTATATATACAAATAGTTTAATTAAAAAACGCTGCTAATATTTTAAGAATCATATCGTTACGTGATGCTATTCCATATAATAAAGATGATCCACAAGCCTCTTCGATTTCAACTACCCAGCTTGATCAACACGTTATTGAAGACCAGCTCTATTCTATCCTCAGCGAATGTTCCTCTGATGCGCTGATCATTATCAACCAGCCTGGAATTGAAGCTGCAGACTTTGATGAGCATTTGGCATATGTACCACCACCATCTCTTGCTGCTGATGGATCTGAAACTAATGCTCCACACCCATTGTGGTCTAACTTTGTTCGTTACTTTAAGCGTGCTGGAACGTTTTTGCCATATCTCCACACGTCTTCTCCATTGGATTTAAAAAAACTTTCAAATTTTTACGTCACACACTGCGGTGCTGAAGAAGTTGTTGCCAATGCACGCAATCCTGCAGACCCCATATCGAAGTATATTGACACTCGCAAGCGTGTAATTCAGGTCTCTTTTGACCCAGTACCACCCCTTTCGGAAGAAAGCAGTAAAAATTTACGCAACAAGATCCTTGCTTACAATGATCATGTTCTTTCTCGAATCATTAATGTAGTGCCCTCGCCATTTGTTACAATAATCTACACTAGCATATCCAAGGCTGAGATTGCAACTAGCCCACCAGGACCCTACAGCAAATACCCAATAATTGAGGAGATTTTATTGAACTCAAAAGATCCAAAAAACCGTGATTCGTGGCGTGCGAATGAGCATAGACTGAAAAGCAAACCCGACGCCAAACGCGACTCTTCGGCTAGACGAAGATTGCCACTCATGCAAGAAAAACAAGAAAAGGAGCGTGCTCGGCGTGTGGCAGAAATGCAGGCACGTAAGAAACGTGATACCGGCCTGATTCAAGAGCGTCTGGACGCTTTTCTTAGCCCAGAGGCTATCGTTTCATGTGCCGTCGTTGTACTGTTTGTTTTTGTGCTTTACAAGATTGCTTGTCTGATGCGCTGGGTCGCATCAAGCTTTTTAGGATCGTCCACAGTAGATGAACCAGTTGAGAAAGTAAAATCATTAGAAAAAAGTTCAGCCACTGCAACTGGTGCAAAGACCACTAGTAGCATCAAATCATTTAAAAACACCTGAATAGAGTTGAATTAATTTGTGATGTTTTTTATTACAATTTTTTTTGTGTAACAAGATTCCCGCGTATTTATTTAGTATTTTTTTTAATACGCGTCGCCACCTGTAGATATCTTTTTTAAATCATCAACAAAATGCCTGACCGTTCAGATTACGCAATTCAAACACTAGGAAATGATACATACTCAAAGCTCAAACAGGTTAGTAGGTTGAAACGATTTGTCCATATAGTCTACTAACTTGCTATATAGTCTAGAGTTCTCATGGTTGGTGCCGGTGGCATTGGCTGTGAACTACTTAAGAATCTGGTTCTGCTAGGTTTGGGTGAAATCCATGTTGTAAGTAACTTCAATTCACAATTTTAACGTTATTCTAATAACTATAGGTCGACTTAGACACTGTTGATTTAAGCAACTTAAACCGCCAGTTTCTCTTTTCTCGAGAGCACATCAAACAGCCCAAGGCAGTTGTGGCTGCTCAAACTGCTTCCAAATTCAACCCTTCAGTCAAGATTGTTCCTCATTTTTCAGATATTAAAAACACTACACTTTTCCCCTTGAACTGGTTCCGTTCTTTTGACGTTGTTTACAACGCCCTTGATAATAAAGATGCACGAACCTATGTTAACCGAATGTGTCTAGTTACCAACACGCCACTTATTGAGAGTGGAACTGCAGGATACCTTGGCCAAACTCAGGTCATCATCAATGGTAAGACAGAGTGCTACGATTGCAGACCTAAACCCACACCTAAGTCTTTTGCTGTATGCACTATTCGTTCTACTCCTTCACAACCAGTTCATACTGTTGTTTGGGCCAAGAACTTCCTATACGCTCAACTGTTTGACGTTTCTGATGAGGATCATAGCGACGTTATTGATGAGACCACCAATGAAGAGAATGCTGAGGAAGTTGCGAATTTGAACAAGGAAGCAAACGAGCTTAAGGAATTGCATGCTGGCCTTTTAGAAGATGATTTTGCTAAAAAGGTTTTTGAAAAGGTTTTCACGACTGATATTGAAAGATTGGTATCAATCGATAGCATGTGGAAAATGCGAAAACCACCGACTCCTTTGTTTTACGATAAGCTTTTTGAAGAAATTACCAAGGAAGAAAAAGATATTAAATCATTGGCCGAAAAGGCTCTTAAAGCAGACCAAAATAATTGGACAATTGCCGAAGCGTTTGCAGTATACAAGGATGCTACAGACCGCCTCCAAAAACGTATCAAGGATAATGATGGCAAGCCCATTTCCTTTGATAAGGATGATGAAGATACTCTCGACTTTGTTGTTGCTACTGCCCAGCTTCGTTCCTATATTTTCCACATTCAAACCAAATCAAAGTTTGCATTCAAGCAGATTGCTGGAAACATTATTCCCGCTATTGCAACAACCAACGCAGTCATTGCAGGGCTATCAGTGTTACAGTCTATTAAAATTATTTCTGCTTTGGATTACTCTGACCGTAGCCACAAGTCCCTTGATGTTATTACAGACAAAGTCCTGAATGGTGTTTCAACAGTCTTCTTATCTGCAGAACCAACGGCCGTTTTCTCTCTTGAACGCACAACTAGCCCTGAACCTGAATGCATTGCATGCAGTGTTTCCCGTGCAATTATTTCTATTGATCTCAATAAGACTGTTTTGCGTGATATTGTTGAAACATTGCTTGACAAAAACTGGAGTTATTCGCCTGAAGTTTCGATGGTCACTTCTGATTTGATTTATGACCCTGATTTTGATGACAATTTGGATCGTACACTTGCTGATCTCGGAGTGAAACCCAGTGGCTCTATCACTGTTATGGATGAAGCTGACGAACATGATGACGAAGAAGGGTCTCGCGCAAACGTGGAGTTGTATTTTTTGCAAGCTGATGATGTGGATTCTCAGGAGATTCTTAAAGGCTTCCCCAAGATTACTTTTCACAAAAAGGTTGTTGAGAAGGAAAAAACTACTGAAGAGCAAGTTGCTGGGACAAAGCGAAAGCTTGAAGATGATGATAGTGGTAATGTGGCCAAGAAAATTAAATCTGTGAACCAAAAAGACGATGGAGTTATTGAAATAGATTTGAGCGATGACGATAACGATGGAATTATTGAAATCGAGGACGACGAAGTTGTTGTTCTTGACGATTAATATATATGGGGTTTATTCTAATTAAAATGTACAGAAGGAATTATAAGTATTTTTCATTCACTCTTTTTTTCTTTGGTTGTAGGAGGTGTAGGAGTATCTTCGCCTGAATCCATAAGGGCGACAGCTAATCCAACAAGCCAGAATGGCAGCCAAAAACCCACAATAATTCCCCAAGTCCAGACATCCATGCCGCGCCATGCCCACAGCAGGTTTTCAATAATCTGGTCGAGTGGGGCCACAAGACTGGCAAGAGAGCTTGGATCTAGTACTGTTGGCTTAGTGTTATTGCCAAGAGCGGCATTTGTGAGTGTAGAGATGACGACGAGCCAGATCCATGGCGATGTTAGGTACAGCGAGACAGCGGCACTTACAGGATACCGCGAGCTAATGTAGACGAGGGGGAAAGTTGCAGCACCCACAAGGATACTGAGAGAAAAGTTGAGCATTGAGAGGGTTGTGAGAATTAGGCCGTGGAAAATCATGGCATATGCACGGGTATAAGCTAGAACTGGTGCCGGGAGAAGTGGAATGTAGCGTGCATGGAAAAGTTCTAAAGCAGTAGGGGGTGTTGGGCCTTGAGCCGATTTCTTTTTCATTGAACGGGCAATCACTGCAAAAGTGATGATTGTGTGCATGGCTATTATAGCATGGGTGGAGAATACAACAGTGCTTGTGGAAAATGTATTGAGTGAGAGGTATCCTATGATGATGGAGGTAGCGTATATTATGGCAAGCAAAAGAGAAGGCGCAAGGACAGCAATTTGTGTGTATGTAGCGTTTTTCCAAAAATTGGAGATTAATTTAGAGGACCCGAGAGAAATCTTCGCTGTGGCAATGTTGTACGTGGCCATAAGGGGGTATGATATGGCGAGTGCAATTGCTGCCGGGAGGTATGTTCCAATGCTGACAAAATTGCGGGGGGAAAGCAAGAGGAAGAAAAAGAAGGACTGATGGAAGTGCTCGAGAAGATTGTTGATAGAACGCAAAGTGGATTCAGCCACACGGCCAAAAGTGGTGATGTCAGCGGGGCCCTTAGACCCTCGGGCACGGAGCGTGATTGCGTTGATTCTCCAGCCGCTAAAAGTCTCAGAGCCTGGGCCAGGACCCAAGCCAGCGGAAAGTTGTGCCAAAATTCCGCGAAAGAGGATTTTTGCACGGGTTATATAGTGAAGATAATTGACTGTGTTCATGTTTTGAACAACAGTTCTGAGATTTTCATGGCCGGCAATTAGGACAGCTGTGTTGAAGAGATCAAGGTTAGGAAGTTGACCATTGAGACCTTCGTATGTGATTTCAATTTCGTCAAAGTAATCTGATTTAGCAGGGTAGTCAAGAACAATTGCAGCTTCAATAGAGCCAGCAGTGTTTGCCATAGAAGTATGATAATCCGAGACCCAAGAGCGCATAGAAAAATGGGAATCTGAGGTGACGACAAAGATGATGTTTTTGGACCATACAGACCATTTTTTTAAGTAGCGAGCAAGCGCAGCAACAAGAGCCACACCGCCATCGTTATAATCTCCGTCTTTGTTAATACAAGGGGCAACAAGGACCATTGCTTCTGTATTTTCACCGCGTGGGGCATGAAGAATGCCGTAAACATTTGTTCCAGATTTGTTTTCTGCGCCGTAAGAAATGTCCCAGTTGTGGAAGGAAGTTTTGAGCCCAATGTCGTCAAACCAAGTACGCAAGGTTTGTGTACGCTCTTGAGGAGAAACATGCTCCAATTGATGAACTTCTTTACGGTAACCGCGCACAATATTCCATTCGGACTCGCGAAAGTATGTTTGGGCCTGAGCCGGTAGGAGAGCGTTTTCGGAAATGTATGTGTTTCTGTAGACTCCTTCCATAGGCAAGCTAAGCAAGATGGCAAAGCCTGCAAGAACAGAAAGAAAAGAGATATATGGGATTATGTGGATTGCTTTGTCAAGCAGCTTGAAGCGGACGTTTAGCCGCTGTATCAGGTCAAAGAGGCCCATTTTTGTGTATGTGAGTTGTTGGCGACCGTGATCTAGGAATGGAGGTTTAGTTAAGGACTGGTTTTGAACACCTTTCCAATATTTCTGGTGTAAGTTTTATATCATGTGATTTATTTAATACTTATTACTTGATTCGTTTGTTTTTGTACGCCGAAATTATTCCTGGAGATTTTGGTGACAGGAAACCACAGGCCGAGGACTTCCCCGGATTTTTTTTTTTGAAAACAAGTGGGGAGGAAAGTGAGAAATTATTTCAACATTTCAACACGTGGAAAAGAGTAGTTTTTCGGAAATGAGACGGTGGGTTAAAGATAAAAAGAAGTTTTTTTTTTTTTCAATTGAAAAGCTATGAGTTGAAAAAAGTTTCGGACAGGGTAGGGGGATGGTTTTTTCTGGGGAAAAGGACCGAAACTTTTCCAGAATTGAAAGATACAACGAATAAGTGCCGAAGAAATAATGATGACATTCAGATTGATTCCAAATTGAGAATTTTAGTTTTAGTTTTTTTTTTTTTTTTTACAAATTTTGAGAATTAAAAGAAGAAATAAGAAAGTGACCCCGGAAGATTGCAGAGATGGAGATGGGCACCATGACATCTTGGTGAAAATTTAAGATTGGTTTTTTAGAAAAATTTACAACATCTGGGATGGTTCCGTTGACGAAAATGTACAATTTGGTTCCATGGAAAATATGGCATTGATTTTTTTTTTTTTTGTATTTCTAAAGGAGCATGGATGATATTTTTTTTTTTTTTAATTTTGATAAGAAAAAATTTAAATAAAATTTAAATAAAATTTAAAACTACATTTTAACTATTTTTTTTTGTTTTTTTTTTTTGAAAGTGACTCACGAAAAATTAAATTAGGTAATCTTCATATATTAAGTAATCTTTTGATTATTACCTAATTATAGTTTCTTAGGTGGTCTCGACCAAATCCTTCCTTTTTTTCTCTGGCACATGCAACGCAACTCTCATTTTCTTTCCAAAATTCCACAACTTTTTCTTCCTATTTTAATTTTTGGGCCGCACAAGAGGAAACTAAGGGTTTTTTTTTTTTTTGGGGGGGGAAAGGACCGATACTTTTTACCTTTATCACCATTTACAACCAGATTAATAGAAGATGATGGTTGGAGGCCTTTCGCCTTTTTTATTTTTTATTTCCTACTTTCCTCCCCTCACGGGTCCTCGGCCCCATTTGTGCGTTTTTACGCAAATCACAACATGCATTTTCGCAGCTTTTTAATTTTTGAAACTATGGAGGAAGAAGGGACGAAAGAAGAAGACGATAATTTTATTTTTGTTTTGTTTTTTTTTACGACTCTCTTTGTCGAGAAAAAAGTGTAAATTTAAAAATGGCAAATGTGGAGAAAGAAATTACCAAATTATGAATACCCGGATTATCTTCAGCATACTTGTGTAAAAAAAAAAAAATTAAAATAAAATAAAGATGAATGACTCAGAAAATTGTTGAATATATCATAATACTCCGAAAATAACTTGAGGAAGAATGGACATTAAATGATGCACATTGAAAACTATATAAATCAAGTTAAATCTTGGATTTAATATCTTTTTTTTTTGTTCATCAATCTATTTCATTTCATTCTTATCATTACTATTCTTTCTGACTATTCTATTCAATTTCTTCAAAATGACCATTACTAAATTCTCTACTACCAAACTTCCCTCATTTTTGCTTGCTTCTTCTTCTCAGTTGCGCTATAGCATGGCTACCAGCTCTCCTTTGCATTTGCGCTGGATCAGCCACCAAGCTGTTGAGAAAAAGTCTTGGGATAAAACTCTTGCCGATATCAATACCCACAACGAGGCCGAGGAAGCTGATAGCCATCGTGCCATGCTGACTCGTGACCACCCAGGAGCTACTATGGCCCAGCTCAAAAGTGTTGAGGTTGCGCACCATGTCCCAGAAACTTGGACCGACGCCGCAGCCCAGAAAACCCTCCACCTTGTACGCTATGGTTTCGATCTGCTCACGGGTTACCACCACGTCCCCAAGGGCGAGGAAAATAACCCGAGATACATTATGACACGCGAAAAATGGCTTGAGCGGTTTGTTTTTTTGGAATCGGTGGCTGGTGTTCCTGGCATGGTTGGTGGTATGGTGCGCCATTTGCACTCTCTGCGATTACTGCGCCGCGACCGCGCGTGGATTGAAACCCTTTTAGATGAGGCTTATAATGAACGCATGCACTTGATTACATTTTTGTCAGTGTACCAGCCAGGATGGGCCATGCGTGGACTCTTGCTGTTGGCTCAAGGAACCTTTTTCAATCTCTTTTTTGTTGCGTATCTTATTATGCCCCGTGTGTGCCATCGGTTTGTCGGGTACCTCGAAGAAGAGGCTGTGGTGACATACTCCCGTTGCATTGAAGACATTGAGGCCGGCCGTCTCCCCGAGTGGAAAACAGAACCGGCCCCAAAGATTGCGAAAAAGTATTGGAAGATGGGTGAGGATGCTACCATGTTGGATCTTATTTACTATGTGCGTGCAGATGAGTCCAAGCACAGAGAAGTCAATCACACTTTTGGTAACTTGGACCAGAAGCTAGACCGCAACCCCTATGCTTTGCGCGTTGAAGATAATGAACAGCGCCCACAACCTGCAAGTGATTTCCGATACTCTAAGCCTGCTGGCTGGCGCCGCTCTGAGATTGCCGCTTAAAATATATATATAAAAAAAAAAGTTAAATAACAACCATATGACTTTTCTTCACTATTCTAATTTTATCTTATACTTCCTTCTTTAACCACATCAAAAAGTAGAACCTGCTAATAAACTGGCAGCACTGCGAGCATCAACTTGAGTAGGCTCATTATCAGCACTTGTGACAGTAGATTGCGGCGGGCGGTGTGAACTATTCTCATCCTCTTCTTCGTCATCATAAACCTCCTTTCCATCATCCACAATTGCCGAATCACTTGGGTGATCTTCCGAATCGTGGGGCAAAGGTGGCACGTAAAATGTGGATGCAGCAAGGCTTGGGTCGGCTACCAGGTCCTTTGCTCGTACCTTGCGGTCGCCACTCCAGGAATCACCGGATGCGCCCTGGCTTTGAACTTGCGAAGGCCGGCGGCGCGTAGGGTGCTGTTCGCGGCCAAGACGTGAGAGCCCACCATTTGCGTCTGCAGCACGCACATCATTACGGATGGATTCCCATGCACTGAGAGTACGTCGTTCGGCGTCAATTAGACGGATCGCATATTCAGCAATGTAGGAGCGCATATCGCTTTCAATGCGTGACGCCAATACCCGCTTTTCAATGAGCATGTTTTCGGTGACACGGCGGACTTTGTTTGTAAGCTGCTCTTCAGTATGAACTGCTTCATCAAGCAAAGAAATGGCCTCGTCGACCTTTTGTGGGTTAATATTTGTAGACCCACGCAGCTTAACTGCGGTTTGATGGCGGGACTTTGTAGATGCCTGTGCCTTAGCAAGCTCGCGCATTAAGAGGTGACGGTTTGTGAGGGCTTCCTTGGCCATGTAAGCGTCATTGATGACCCAATTAATGCCATCAGTAAGGGTAACAGCTTCAGTGGTAGCCTTGACCGCCTCAAGATCTCCAAGGGCGGTAACAGTTTTGCCGAGCTTGCGCCACATTGTGACCATGGTTGGGCTTTCAATTTCAGTTACTGAGAAGTTGTTGAGCTTGGCGCCAAAGTCATTGAGGGCAAGGCCCAAGTTACGGCGGGCCTTTGAAACTTTTTCAATTTTGGTGACAGTTTCTTGGCCTGTGATGTAAAGTTGTTTGATAACAGGGCGGAACTCTGCGAGCTCGAGTACTTCGTCATGGGGAGGTTGGAGTTGTTTAAGAGCCTTGCGGGCCATACCTGTGGCTGGGGGTTTCTTCTTGTAAACGGGGGAGTACTATTGAAATAAGAAAAAATGGTGGGTTAATATAATGCGAGAATAACGATGAAAGAATACATACACCAAAGTCGGACTCAATAAAGTGGACAAATTCCTCATCGCGAGCAAGAATGGGGTTGCTTGAGACCCTGTCTAGCCAGAGCTGCATATTTTTAATAATGCGGTGTTCGTCTTCTTCAGTTCCTGTACCAGCGGAAGTGGTTGAGGCTGGAACTGAAGGGACAAAGCACTCCGGGTTTGCATTATTGAGGTGGGCTCCAAACTTCACAAACTCATTATGAGTTCTGCGAATGTCCCTAAAGGTGGTTGTACGAAATCTGGGGAGTGTAGTCTATGTTTTTGAGGGAGTGATGGTTAGTCAGATACAAAATAGAATAGAATAGGATAGGATAGATGGATATTTGACATACATAGGCGTCAAACTTGAGAATAGGGTCTTTTTTGCCCTGACGCTCGAGAGCCGTGACTTTAAGGATTAGTTTGTACTTTTTCTTTGGAGCTTTTGATTGTGATGCAGGAGTAGCTGGTGTTGTAGTGGTAGAAGAAGAGGGGTCTTGTTGTTGTGAAGGTTGTTGTTGTTGGTTCTGTTGGTCTTGTTGGTCTTGTTGGTCTTGTTGGTCTTGTTGGTCTGGTTGGTCTGGTTGGTCTGGTTGGTCTGGTTGGTCTTGTTGGGGTTGTGCTGGGATATCGGAATCTAAAGAGGAAGGAACGTTTGTGGTTGATTCAGTGGAATCCGGATCGATTGATGAAGAAGAAACTATATTGCTATCAATGGAGCTAGAGTTATCTGAAATAGCTGGGATAGAGGAAGATGAAAAGGTTGAATATTGGTTAGTTGAAGTTGTTGTTTCGTCTGTGAGTTCTTCTTGTTTTGAGTGGGGGGTAAAGGATGGGGTTGGTTCTGGGGTAGGTTCTTTGTCGACAGCTTCTGCCCAAGCTGAGGTTGAAAGAGAGGATTCTTGAGCAAAAGGGTTTGAGTCAAGACCTGCTGGGTCATAAGGAATTGACGAAGACATGATGTTAAAGTTAATGGGGAGTTGTGAGATTTTGAGAAAATAAAGGTGGTTATATACGACGATAAGTGGTGGTGTTGGTGGTGGTGGTGGTAGTAATATTTAATGGTTGCATAAGCAAATTAAGAGTGTACGTAAGGCAACCAAGTCGTTTTTTTTTTTTTTTTTTTAATTTTCTTGGGAAAGAGGTTTTAAACTAATAGTTCAGATTGAGATGTGTTACATGAACATTTGTAACAAATATTGTAACATTCATTTGATTTTCTAAAAACTCTTTCGTGGCCATTTTAAGCCGTTTTGTTATTACAAACAACAAGGGGGAGAGGATTCTTATGATTATTGCGATGTCATATTCTTAATATATTAACAGAAGACAGCGTAAAGCTTGTTTTTTTTTTTTTTTTTTAATTACCCACTTCATTATATACGAGAAAAAAAAATCTACTTGAAAACACATCCTCTCAATTGATCAACAATGGCAGGAGACAAATACACGGTAATTTTGCCTACATATAACGAGCGCAAGAACTTGCCCATTATTACATGGCTTCTTGCAAAGACCTTTACTGAGAAGTGAGTTTGGATAAATCTTGAAAAAGAATGACATTAACCGTTTTTTATTATTATATAGCAACCTTGACTGGGAAGTCATTATTGTTGATGATAATTCACCTGACGGAACCCAAGAGGTTGCCAAACAACTGATCAAGGTTTATGGTGAGAACCGGATTCTGTTGAAGCCGCGTGCAGGCAAACTTGGTCTGGGGACTGCGTATGTGCACGGTTTACAATTTGCTACGGGCAATTTTGTAATCATCATGGATGCCGATTTCTCACACCACCCGAGCGCAATTCCTGAGTTTATTAAGCTGCAAAAGGCGCATGACTACGACATTGTAACTGGCACCCGGTATGCTGGTAATGGCGGAGTCTATGGATGGGACTTGAAGCGCAAACTTGTTTCTCGAGGTGCCAATTTCCTTGCGACTCTTGTTCTGCGGCCCAATGTGTCTGACTTGACAGGGTCGTACCGGTTGTACAAGAAGCCAGTGTTGGAGAAGATCATTGCTTCGACTAAGAGTAAGGGATATGTGTTCCAGATGGAGATGATGGTGCGTGCCCGATCATTTGGGTTTACTATCGGCGAAGTTCCGATTGCCTTTGTGGACCGGTTGTATGGCGAGAGCAAGCTTGGTGGGGATGAGATTGTCGGGTACTTGAAGGGTGTGTGGACATTGTTTACCACTGTGTAAGTTAATATAATAATAGTTGTAATAAATAAAAATTCCAAGTTGTTTTAATGTAATATATATAGGTGTAATAACTGATTGTGATTGTTATGGAGTTTATTTTATGTGTATATATAATAACAGATATTCGCGCAGGTACTAAGAGGAAAAGCGCGGGAAAAGTATGAAATTTGAAAAGTCCAAGGATCACTCGGGCGTACAGACCAGGACCAAATAGTCTATCCAACAATATATATATATATATATATATAAGCGCTACAGTTGGGCATGTGTTTACTATTATGCCGCATACGGTCTAATGATATAGGGAGCATAAGCCTTTCATAGAATATATAGAATATATAGAATATATAGAATACATAGAATACATACGGTCTAATGATATAGGGAGCATAAGCCTTTCATAGAATATATATATATTTTTTGATTTTTGTGTGAATAAAAGAGCACTTTGTTGATAGAGATTTATAAAAAAAAAAAAAAAAAAAAAGGCCGGACCCGGTTCTTGTTACTATTCATCAATGGAAAAAGAGCGCTTTTAGGAATTTTGTTTTAAGGCGAAAGGAGCGCATGGAACTAGGCAAGCGGAAAAGGGAGGAATAAAAAAAATGTGCTCAAAAACACAAAAATTAAAACAAGCCCTAATAATACAAATGCAGCTTTTGGTGATTATTGTTGAGGCTTGGAAACCCGAGACCCGGACTTACTGCTACGTGATTCGTGCCTTTCTTGATACATATATATAATAATCATTAATTAGGTCCATGGACTTTTATTTTTATTTTTATTTTTATTTTTATTTTTATTTTTATTTTTATTTTTATTTTTATTTTTATTTTTCAATTTCAATAATATATTTAATGAGAATAAAAAGATATCAATGAAAAAAAAAAAAAAATAAGAAGGTATAATGACGGAAACCCCGAACCCGGCCGGACAGTTGATTCAATCAATCATTGTTTGTCGATACATGGCCATGGACCAAATTTCTTTCTTCTTAAAGTGAGGCTTTATGGGCAAGGCTGTGAGCGGCATTTGTTGGTTGGTGGACTTGTGTGACATTACACTTTGCCCCTCCTTTTTCTTTTGTAACAAAATCAGAATGAAAGAACCCCGCCAACACCATTAAGCGATAAGCGTGTGTGTAGCTGTTGCCTTGCTTGTGTAAGTGGCTGTCTAGGCTGTCTAGGCTGTCTGGCTGGCTGGTTGGTTGGCTGCGTGTTTTTCTGAATGGTGGATAACCAACTTTTAATTAACAACAACAACAACATCAACATCAACAACAAAAACAACAACAAACGCGCGGGCGGCTCGGACGGGTCCTTTTGCATGCGCGTTTCTTATTGGGGAGAAATTATAAAAAAAAAAAATTCAATCAAAGATTTATTACTTTTTTTTTTTACAGTCAAAAATAGGTTTATTTCTTTCAATCAGGAACAAAAAAAGTCCTTCCAAAGCCCTTTAATGCCAACCAATATGCTATCCTGCCGCCTATCGGACCTTATTTTATTTTATTTTATTTTATTTTATTTTATTTTTATTTTTTTTTATTTTTTTTTATTTTTTTGTAGATTGACATAATGGAAAGGATTAATCAAAAAATTTTTTTTTCACAATCACAAAACATTTTTCAATATTGATGAATATGAATGAATTGAAAAAAAGGAATTGAAAAAATGAACTGTAGAAAAAGAATATATTTTATATCTAAATTGTTTATAAAGTTGCAATGCTTAAATTCTAAAATATCAAAAATCTTTAGAAGTTGAAATGATGAAGATATTGATATTGATATTGATATTGATATTGATATTGATATTGATATTGATATTGATATTGATATTGATATTGATGTTGATATTGATGGTGATGGTGATGGTGATGGTGATGTCAATTTTATATTTTAATCATCTTCATTATGGCATAAAGAGCCGTTTATGGTCTACAAATGTAAAACGTTTTCCCGCACACACAGAATATACATACTTTACATATAATAATAATTATTATAATATAATAATAATAATACTGTCCAACATTTATATTTAATTAATTATATATATATATATTTATTTATTTAGATTTATTTATTTATATATACTACCGTATTTCTACCTCTCCTTCTTTTTCTTACCCTTTCAACCTTTCCCTCTTTTTTTCTTTCTTTCTTTCTTCTTTTCTTCTACCTTCCAACCCATCTCATTCTCTCCATCTTTCCATCTTTCCATCTCTTTCTCTCCTACATAACACTTAATCTCTTATCTCATCATCCTTCCACCAGTCCAAAATGCTTGCCTCCAGAACTTCCTTCCTTAGAACTGCCGCTCAGACCCTTCGTGCTCAGACCCTCCGTGCTCAGGTATGTTTGTTAACTTGTGCGAATTAACTTGACTCAATTATCAACATCACTTGAATTATCAATCAAAGAAATACAATTGAAGGAACATTCTATTTGCTGTTATGGACCGCACTTTCATTTCATTGTGAAAAGTTAACTCAATGCTTTAAACCCCTCCGTTTGAAATAAACATCATTCAACTGTTGTTTCTAATAAACTCATCCACAAAACAACACCAATATATATTACCAAACGTTTTTTTCTTTTTTTTCAATTTCTACAATCTCTTTTTTTCCCCTAAAGAATCTCTTCAATATCATTGAGTTTTTTTTTTGTCTTATCGTTGATATGTTTTTTTTTGTCTTTTTTTTGCTGCCTAAAGCTGCTGCCACTGGCAGTGTTTATTTTGTGCTGCACACAAATTTCCTTTTTTTTTTTTATTTAAAAAACCGCACAGCAGCAGCCAACACAACAGCCAACCGCCAACAGCCAGCCACACACCGCGAACCCACCAGCAAATAGAATTCCTCCATCTCCCCTCTCCCCTAACCCTCTCCCTAATTAGCCGCTCTTTCCCGGAAACCCAATTTGTCTAACCATTGATTGTCATTTTCTATAGAGAACTTATGCTACCTCTGTCGCCTCCTTCCACGGTAAGAAGAATGCCAATGTAAGTTGTTATTTTTTTTTAATAACTCAAAAATTAATTTCTAATAAACATAATCTAGGGCAACTACACTGTCACTTTGATTGAAGGTGATGGTATCGGTATCGAAATCTCCGCCGCTGTCAAAGAAATCTACGCTGCCGCAAAGGTCCCCATTGAGTGGGAACCTGTCGATGTTACCCCTATTCTTGTCGACGGTAAGACCACCATCCCTAAGGACGCTGTCGACTCTGTCAAGAAGAACCTCGTTGCCCTCAAGGGCCCTCTCGCCACTCCCATTGGTAAGGGTCACGTCTCCCTCAACCTTACCCTCAGAAGAACTTTCAACCTCTTTGCCAACGTCAGACCTTGCAAGTCCGTTGTCGGCTACAAGACCCCCTACGAGAATGTTGACACCGTTCTGATTCGTGAGAACACCGAGGGTGAGTACTCTGGTATCGAGCACGTCGTTGTCCCCGGTGTCGTCCAGTCCATCAAGCTCATTACCAAGCCCGCCTCTGAGCGTGTCCTTAGATATGCCTTTGAGTACGCCAAGTCCATTGGCAAGACCAAAGTTCTCGTCGTCCACAAGGCTTCTATCATGAAGGTCTCTGATGGTCTCTTCCTTTCCACCGCCAATGAGCTCGCTGCTGAATACCCCGATATCGAGCTTTCTACCGAGCTTATTGACTCCACCTGTCTCCGTCTCGTTACTGACCCCGCCCCTTACAAGGAGTACGTCATGGTCATGCCCAACCTTTACGGTGATATTCTTTCTGACTTGTCTTCCGGTCTCATTGGTGGTCTCGGTCTCACCCCTTCGGGTAACATGGGTGACCAGGTCTCCATTTTTGAGGCTGTCCACGGTTCTGCCCCTGATATTGCCGGCAAGGGTCTTGCCAACCCCACTGCTCTTCTTCTTTCCTCCGTCATGATGTTGAGACACATGGGTCTTAACGACTCTGCCGTCAAGATTGAGAAGGCTGTTCTTGATACCATTGCCTCTGGCCCTGAGAACAGAACTGGTGATCTTAAGGGTTCTGCTTCTACCAAGAAGTTCACCGAGGAGGTCATCAAGAGATTGTAAGTTGTTAAGAAATGAAAAACGAAGAAAAAAAAAATTATAAAAACAAATCTTGCAACAAGACAGAAAATTGATGAGAGAGACCCCCTAAAAAAATAATAAAAATTATAAAAAAAACACAACCCCCCCCTGTTATGACAATTGGACTATAAAATCCACAGATACAAGTGATATTGTAATGATGAATGGAAATAAATTTAATAATTAATTATAATACCGCGTAATGAAAAACTTTGGAGTTTTGTTGAGCGATTATTTAATTTGAAAAAAAAAGACCTCAAATATTGGTCTTTATTTTGGGTCTGTGAAAAATTTAAACTTTTTTTTTTACTCCTCGGACCCGAGTGTTTTTTTTTTTTTTTAGAGATGACGATGCCATGCACATGGATTAAACCATAAGGCTGAATATCAACTTTAACCCATTTTGGTCTACACACGATATAAACAAATAATAAACAACTATCATCAACTCATTTCATTACTTAGTATCATCTCCAGTAGCAATAGTAGCCCCTCCTTCTTCCCCTTCTTTCCTGACTTGTCTCGTGGGACTTTGTTGATTTTCAGCCCCCCCGCTGCTGTCATGCTTCACAGGAGATGACGGCGACAATGACACCGCACTACTTTGGTTCTGCGGCATCATTCCTAACCCAAACAACGCCGCCGCGCTCGGTAGTCCATGATGGTGATGCTGTGGGGTCCCCGGTGGGTTACCGTTACCACCACCAGTGGATGACCGGATCACACTCAAGCACCGCCGTTTCGGCGCTGGCCCAGCTTCGCTCCCTCCCCGCATCATCATCCCGGTAACTGCCTCAGAAGGCTCACTGTGAGGCGGCTCAAACAGCGACGACGACGACGATGAAGGCTTGCCTGCTCGCCGGTTTCTCCGTGCAGCTTCCCCAGGAAACGCTCGCCGAAACCCAGCCGCTGCTGCAGCTTCTGAGCCTCCTCCTTTTACTGGCGACGTCAAAGGTGACAGCCCGGGTCTTTCATCATACTCAACCATTCCAGGAAAAGTCTCAGGGGCGGGGAGCGCGGGTAAGCCTGCATTCAATGCTTCTTTATTGACAGAGTCTACATGAGGACCCGTAAACCACCATCTGTTTCCGCCAAACAATGAGTGTCCTGATCCATGTTCGGATTCATTGTTGTTGCTGCTACCCATCGACACATTTTCCACTGCCGACTGCTGCTGTGCTGTTGAAGCACCTGGAACTTGGTCTCTTAATACGAGTAACGCTGCTGCTGCCGTAGGATGCGACGATTGGTCCATGTCCATATCCATATCCATTTCAATGGACCGACTGTTCTCAAGCTCTTGTTGCTCATGCTCATGAACATGATGATAATAAAACGCATCTGCTGAGCGCAGTCGCTTGTGTCCGGCAACCGAAGAACCCACCGTATGCACCGGCACTGGTTGCGAATGAAGATGTGTTTGTGGTTGCTGTGGCGGGAGATGCAATCTAATCATTGGTCGTCTAGTCCCTGTACTTCCCACAAGTCCACCATTACTTGCTGCTCCATTTATACCGGCTGAAGATGAAGACAACAAAGATGTAGACGTACTAGGATTTATGGCAGCCCCGTTGAACCCAGAATTGGCCTGTGCAAATGAATTGCCCTCCCAGGTGGGTTCATGAGGATACCGTTTGGTTAGAATTTCAAGCACAGCACCACGTAGCACTGGTTCTGCTGCAAGCTGGTGTGCAGTTCCAAGTCGTAGTGCCCTATTGCCTTTTTTGTTTTTTTCGTCATCGTTATCATTGTTGTCTTCAGTTTTTTTATTCTTTTCCCCATCTTCCACCTTACCTTCAGCTCTATTTTCCTCTTCTTCATCATTAATCTCTTCAGACTTGGAAAAGGACTCCGCATTGGGTAAATCATCAATAGGAGGGTATGCGCGAAAAGATGGTTTTTGGGCAGCAAGACTTGGTGCACTGCCTGACTCCTCAACCACAATACTCCCGTTCGACGAGGCACTAGTCTGGCTTCCAGTCTCGATGTCATCATCAGCTTGGTCCTCTTCATGGTTAGTTTCAACGTCATCATCTTCATCTTCATCTTCATCTTCATGTTGATCATTTTCGTTTTCTTCATCTTCCTCTTCTTCCTCCTCCTCTTCTTCTTCTTCATCATTATCTTCACCCTCTTTTTCCTCAACAAGTGCACGCACAGCCGCATCAAAATTACTCAAATCGTAGCTTCCACTACCACCAGACTCATATAATAGACTGTAAAGCTTGGTTGCTAGTCGATCGGCCAACCGCTGCATTCCAGGAAGCATACTGTATTTGACCCCCAGATGTTCTTGAATCTCATCAGTAACCATGTTACGATACATATTCACGTGGATACTCTTGCGAATCGACTCAATCGATTGCAACGGTGGAAGCTGAGCAATCTGTCCAATCGTCTCGTTCCGGATCTTGTTTGTGCATGCAATGTCGCCCTGAGGATAATCCTCCGGATCATTATACGAGTTGTAAGATCCATTAAATGCACTATCATCGCCAAAGAAATCATCTTCGTCCTCGTCTTCCTCGGGATTATAGTCTTCATCATTTTCATCATCATCTCCTTCCTCATCAAATGTATTGTCGTCGGGACCCAAAACCTCTTCAGTCTCTTCAATAAACTCGTCTTCTTCTTGTGTAAAAACACGCGATGCAAGCAAATCATCACCAAATCTCACATTTTTTTCCCGCCGCACAGCTGGTCGGTAATCATAATGCTCGTATGGAGTTTGCTTCAGAATGCCTCGCGTCGGGGCTTTGGCGCGCACAGGAGAAGCCTCACGGCTACTGTTGACGTCATCTGCATCAGCGTTGCTTGTATTTGCATCGTTTTCTTCGTTGGTTCCTGTATTGTTGTCGACCGTAGTGCTTTGGTTGGTGATGGTACCACTACCACTACCACAAATGTGGTCTTCACTGACTACCGGCCCTAATGTGTCTGTGGGTTTTAACGGACTACGAAACGTATCTGTTCCTCCTTCAAATTTGAATATTGAATCCCGTTGTTGTGGGTTTAGAGGTTGTTGATTATGCTGTTGTTGCTGAGCATCCATTCCACTTGCTTCCGGTGTAAGATCTGCACTCGTCATGCTGCTTGTGATGGAATCAAAAATGTTATTTCCATCTATTTGCTCAGATGCTTGAACCGGCGCTAGGGTTGCTCCTGTTCCTATTGTAGCCACTGATGCCGATGTCGATGCTGATGCTGATGCTGATGCTGATGATGCTGTTGGCCATAGAAGAGGACGTCTAAAAATGCCGGTGGAATGGGCTGGCTTTTGTGGTGTACTTTGAAACATAATGCTGTTGTAGTCCATCTGCATATCATTGGCTGCAAGAGGACTATTATCATTATTTGTATTCTCGAATATTCGCTTAGTCTTGACTGGGGTGGATGGTTCCCCGTCTATACTCATGTGAGAAGAAATAATGCCGTGTGTAGGTGGATCGTCGTTTTTGCGAGGAGACGAATGTCCCAGTGGAGGTGTAGTGGAATCCGGTACAATGGGAGGGATTTGGGAATTTGAGTATGCAGTGAGGGTAAATGATTGCGATGAAGGCGGTGTGGGCGAAATCCCAATAATTGGGGGAATTGCTGAGCTATTATTATTATTATTATTACTATTGCTGCTACTGCTACTGCTGTTAACTTCAAACAACGAGTGGGGTTTTGCTCGCGAAAGAGGGTTTGATGCCGCTCGAGAAAAAAAAGATGTAGATGGAATAACGGTTGTTTGCTGTGCAGTTGCTCTTGCTGGCCGCATTGAGAGCCCAGTATTGCCTCGGCCAAACCGATCCAAAGATTTAAGCTTGGGACTCCCGTCAGGTTTTGAAAATATGGATATGGTATGGTGATGCTTTTTGGAAGGAGAAGATGGGGATTTTATAGGTGACTCTGCCTCATCAGGTTCAGTTGAATCATTGCAAACCTGATTTGGGGACAAACGAGGAACAGTGGTTAAATTTTGCAAAGATGCTCCGATAAAGGATGCGGAAGGACTTAAAGGTAAGTTTAGGTGGTCTCTGTGGGACGGAGACTGTCTAGGAGAAGGCGTCGATTTAAGCTTGAGAGACGGACTCACGGGTGAATGATGTTGTGTTCGAGATTGCAACATAGAAAGTTGCTGTGTGCCATGCTTTTTGCTAGGACTGCTGCTGGAGGCATCGCCGGTGGTAGTAGTAGAAGTGTTCCCCACGTTGGTTATTGGTGAGGTTGAGCTCTGTTTGCGGGTATCGGCGGGCACTGCGGGCTCGCATACAGGATCTTGAATAGAATGATCTGATGGTTGTGATGCTTCGTTAAATGAAGAAGCGTTTCTTAAAACACGGTCGCCAACAAGTAATGTCATGGTTGATGAAGTGTGTGAGCAGGATGATGTTTGGATGGTTGTTGTATGCTTAAGATGATATGCTATTGATAAAGATAAGTGCTGCTTTTAGAAAAGCATTCGCGGACCTTTTTTTGTTACTAGTTGTAATAAACAAAACGTATTATATATGTTGATTGAAAGAATCTGTTTGTTTGTGTGTCACAGACGGGTTTGGGGGGGGTTTTAATATTAAGGATGTAGATTTCAATAATGGTGAAAAAAAAAAAAAGTTTTAAAAAGAACCACCACAAGGGAAATTTATTTAAGGAGCTTTTTTTTTTGAACAATCAGTTAACACATATCGGGAGGAGGAGTAAAAGGAAGAACACGCGTATGCAAAAAAAAAAAAAAAAAAAAAAAAAAAAGTACAACCCTAACATCAAATATTTTACTGGTTAGCTCGCGCTTAACCGTGTCAAAGTGGCGTTTGTAAATACAGGCGCAAACTTTACGTAAGTCTTAGGTAACGTCAGCAGATGTACAAGTCGCAAGCAGTAAGTTGTAACTTGTCACGTGGTTGAGTGGTTGAGTGGCAATTTAATTGCGTCAAACTTTAAACTTTCAGCTTTTGTTTTAATTAAACTTTTTTAAACTCGTTACTTTGGTTATTTTGGTTATTTTGGTTATTTTGGTTATTTTAATTTTTTTTCATTTTCACATAGACAATATACATAAACTTTCATTTTAGACAAAACCCTAACCTATTAAATCATTGATTTTTATTGAAAATAAAAACGAAGGCCTAGTCTCAAATAAAAGCTGACAGGCTTACCAGTTGTTATTGTTGTTGTTGTTGTTGCCGCCATAACCACCTTGGCCACCGCCATAACCACCTTGATTACCACCGTAGCCACCTTGGTTTCCTCCATGGTTATTGTTTCCACCATAGCCACCTTGGTTTCCTCCATGGTTATTGTTTCCACCATAGCCACCTTGGTTTCCTCCATGGTTATTGTTTCCACCGTAGCCACCTTGGTTTCCTCCGTAGCCACCTTGGTTTCCTCCATGGTTATTGTTTCCACCATAGCCACCTTGGTTTCCGCCATGGTTGTTACCATAGTTGTCATTATCATGTTTCTTGCCACCACCCATGAAATCACTGATCTTATCAGAGAAGCTACCATGGTGTCCGTTGTTATTATTATTGTTATTACTGTTATTATTATTATAATTGCCGTTATTGTTATTGTTATTATTCTTATTGTCATTCTTGTTTCCTCCCAAAAATCCGCTCACCATATCACCAAAACCTCCGTTGCCGCCATTGCCATGGTTGTTGTTGTTATTGTTATTATTGTTGTTGTTGTTATTATTGTGATTGCTGTTGCCTCCAAGTAATCCACTAACCATGCCACCAAGACCGCTGTCTTGCTTATTGTTATTATTTCCACCGGAGCCAAGGAAAGATGAAGCCAGACCGGCAATAGCACCAGCATTCAAGCCGCTGTTGCCACTATTGCCACTATTGCTATTATTCTTATTTCCACCGAGGTAATTCTTGAGAGCGGCCTTGGCAAGATCACCGCCTAAACTGCGATCTCCGGTCTGAGCTTCGTCAATGGATCCAGCAGCACCGGATTCATAGTTATGAGAGTTACTGTTAAAGTTGTCATTATCGTTGTTGTTGTTGTTGTTGTTGCCGCTGCCGCTGCCGCTGCTGCCGTAGTAATCGCTATTGGACATTTTTAATGTGTAAAAAAAATGAAAATTGTAGGAAAGAAGGTTAAAATAAAGAATGTAGATGAAAAAGTAAGAAAGTAAAAAGTATTAAAAAAAAAAAAAAAAAAGGAAGAAAAGGGAAGAAAGAAAGAAACTGCGTTCAATTTATACTTTTGGAGAATTCCAGAAAGGCTGTGATTCTTGTTGGTTTACGTTGACATTTCCACCGCCCACCGCGCCTCCAAAATTGAGCTTGCGCCTACCAGATGCTCAGCTCTACCACTTTTTAATACCAATGATATTAACTGGATACACCCAGAAGTACTTCTATTTAGAGACGAATTCTTTTCAATATCAATTGACTCGCTTGTAATACCACAACCATGACAGGTGAACCGTCACATGATATAATAATGGGCAAATCTTCTGATCTTGAGGTCTAGTATATTTAGTTATATTGATAGTACTAAGCCAATTATAATTACTAATTAGTATATTCTGTGCAAGTACGATCTCAAAACACGAGGAGTTTTTGGATCCGTCTCAAACACACAAAGTCTTGTATCCTGTGATTTAAACTTTTCTTTTGTAATATTTTTGTCTTTTCCTTTTTGGCAGTAGCAACAGAATTGCGCATAAGAAGTTTCTGTTTTTTTTTTTCTAAGTGACGCCTTCGTTTCGCCCTTCTTCAAAGCGTTGCTGTTTATTTTTGCTGAACGGTGGGGTTCATTAAAATAATCTCAAAGCTTACCAGTTTTGCACTATGGAAGGAGCGGATATGACCTTCCAAACCATGTTGAAGACACAGTGCTGATCAGCATGATCGATGAGTCGCTAATTGTATTTTTTTTTTAATAATTATTATAATAATATCTACTGTAAAAGCCCTCTTTGTAAATGGCAGTGTCGTGCAGCCAGAACTCAGCCCTATTAGCACTTCGCCACTTGCACAGGGTACCGGCACATTTATCACAAAGAACCTCATCATGCTCATCACACTCATCACGCTCATCGCTTACCAGCTTTAAAGTTTACTTCTTCCTTTAAAAATCATATATCAACATTCTGTTCTTTACTTGACACCTGGAAAAGTTTTCTTCGCTGCTCGTAATAGTGACAAAAAAAAAAATAATTTAAATAAATAATTTTACAATGCCGTCTTCCTCTGTACCACCAGACCCTTATGTAATTGCTGAGTGTGCAAGTGTGGGGATTTCCAGTACACAAGCTAAAAGTCTAAAACCTCCTCTTTCTTCTTGATGCCATTTGGATCTTCAAATGATATTTAAAGAAATTGGCAATTTATCTAAAAAAAAATAAATAAAAAATAAAAGTATTGATAAAATATAATTTAGAATATTTATTTGATAACAAATCTCATATCTCGTATGTCAACAGAATTTTCGCAAGGAATATCCTCCGGACAAGCCTCTGCCGAGATTCATTTACATACGTCATTGAAATAACGCCCATAACTCTTCATCCCACTTTTTTACCTCCGTCATTAACCCATTAAGCACAACTATTTGAAGCTTCCTTTGCTCCACGCCAATTCATTTCAACTTTTCCGAGGCTCAAAAAAAAAAAAAAATTTAAACCTTTTTTTATATATTTTTTTTTATTTTCAAAAATTGCACGATTTGTAAAGTTCCCCAATGTTTTATACCCAATGACTACAAACCCATCATCATATCTCTCTACTTATTTATAATTATAAATAAACTTCTTTGAATATAAAAACCCCCGATTTCCCTTCTTCCTCTTCCCCGTATTTTTATTTTATTTTGCTGCTATTCCTATCACTCCTAGTGCTGCATCTGTAATTCCCCTTTTGGTCTTATCCGGAACATCCTCACCCCATCTTTTCTTCAACTTGTTTATTTCTGTGTATTCCATCGTTTTTTTTTTTTTTTTTTTTTTTATATATATATCCCTCGTTCCGCTCCCACATAGCTTTTTAAACTCAAAAATTATGTCCTAAGCGTTTCCTTCCTTTTATTTTTTCATTTATTTATTTTTTTATTCTTTTATTTTACTTTCCCCCACTACTATTTCATCAATTAAATCAATCTCTTCATACACTTAAAATGACCGCCTCTGTAAGAACCACAATCTTTCATCCATTTATTTACTCCATAATCTAAATCTAACAATGTCCTTCTAGCACACCCCTGATTCAGCTACTTTTGATTCCGAAAAAGTTCACGTCAAGTGGGCTTCTGGTGATGTTTCTCACTAGTAAGTCTTTAACTATAAGCTTTCCTTTTTATCTCATCCGTCTTCTCAATACCCTTCTTCTTTCATGTATCCCTAACATCAATCCAGTCATAATATCTGGCTTCGTGATGGCTGCCAATGTGAAAAAGACTTCCATCCCCTCACCAAGCAACGCCTCCAAGACACTTTTGAAATCCCCGTTGACATCAAGCCCAAGTCCGTTTCTGCTAATGAAAACGGCCTCACAATTGTTTGGGATACACCTGACAATCACGAGTCTATCTACCCTACTGAATGGCTTGTGATTCACTCCTACGATCCTATTCTTGTCCCTGTCGAAAAGAAAACAGAAGAATTGACACGCGAACTCTGGAATACCAAGACCATCATGGCTGACTGGCCTGAAGTCAATTTTACTAAGGTCATGGAGACCGAAGAAGGCATTACTGAATGGGTTAAGAAGATTTATGTCAAAGGGTTTTGCTTTGTCGAAAACGTCCCTGTCACTCCAGAAGCCACTGAGAAGCTTATTGAGCGCATCTCTTACATCAAGCCTACACACTATGGCGGCTTTTGGGACTTTACCGCTGACCTTGCTAAAAATGACACAGCATACACAAACCTCTACATTGCTTCGCACACTGATGGTACCTACTGGAGCGATACCCCAGGACTTCAGCTCTTTCACATGCTTGGCCACGATGGCGAAGGCGGTGAAAATATGCTTGTTGACGGCTTTAAGGCTGCCGAGATCCTTAAAAAGGAGGATCCCGATTCGTATGCTTTTCTTTCCAAGACTCTGATACCCGCACACAGTGCTGGTGAGCCAGAAGTATGCATCCTTCCTGATTACCCAAAGCCCGTTTTCACCCACCACCCTATTACCGGCGATCTCGTCCAAGTCCGATGGAACAACTGCGACCGCTCTATCATGGACCAGTGGAACAACCCAGAGGATGTTCCTAAGTTCTACAAGGCCATTCGTCTGTGGAATGATATTCTCACTCGCAAGGAAAACGAAATTACTCTCCAGCTTAAGCCTGGCCAGTGCCTCATATTTGACAATTGGCGCGTTCTTCATGGCCGTCTAGGCTTTAACGGCAACCGTAGAATGTGCGGTGCCTACATCAACAGAGACGACTTTGTTTCACGTGCAAAGCTTCTCAATCTTGGTCGTGAAAAGGTCATCAAGCATTTGTAATAACTAGGTCGTTCAAATAACATGTTTCAGTGTAAATATACAATCTATTTCTTTCTGGTAATTTTGTACAAGTGCATCGTGCCTCTCACGCTATGATCGTACCCCGGATAGTCTGTAATCTAAAAGAAAAAAAAAATATTACCCCAGAAAATTATTATAGGGAAAAACCTTGTTAGTTATTTTTCACAGATCAAAATCAAAATCAAAATCAAAAAATCATTTAATAAACATCTTTCTCGAGAGTTTTCCAAATCAGAAAAAAAAACATACCTCATTAAACGTAAATGACTTTTTCATGTGCTTGAAAAACCGCGCATCAGCTTTGCGCCGTTTTTGGTATGACATGTACATTTTCAAGTCCGGATCACGGTCCGTCAGGTCCAAGAGTGTCTTTTCTAGTAATGGGAACGCAGGCTCCGCGTAAACACAGTCGGCCATGAGCACAAGATCAACAGGTGGAACAGGAGGGGATAGTTTGGCCAGCTGCTCTGAATCAGCAAATGCAGGGAGAGGCTCGCCCCAGCTAAGAACTTCAGCCTCGACAATACCTTGTAGCCCATTCAGCTCAACATTTTTTTTCATTCGATCAAGCAAGATACTAAAACTTGTTAAAAAGATACTCCAAAAATGACTGGCTATTTAGAAAATTAATACTTACTCTTGATCAGTGATATAAATTTTAAGATCTTGATCGGTTAATGGTGGCTCACCTGCTTTTTCTCTACGTTGTTTTTCATACAACCCCAATGCCAGTCTATAAAGACAGTGTTAGCACATTAAAAGAAAATAGCCCATCCTTCTGTAATAAAATTAATAACTTACCCAACAAGACCCGTTCCGCTACCCAGTTCGAGAATGTTTTTGCACGTTTGCGAAAACTTGCGATCTATCACAAACTGCGAAAGAATCGTCGCAACGTGCCATACTATCGATCCGCACCCCAACTGTCCTGCATCCTCAAAAACCACCACACCGGGTTCATCCAATAACCCGTCAAACGTAAGAGTGGTATCGCCAAACTTTTTCGCTTCTGAATCAGAAACCTCGTCCAAGGCAACGATACTTTTCAAATCATCAATTTCTGTTGACATTTTTTTTTTTCCGTTCAAAAAAAGAGAAAATCGTAGTATAGTGATGGTTTGAAGAAAGAAACTGATGAAAAAAAATATTTCAGTTTCTTTCTAAACAAGCCTCTCCCTTGCCCTGATAAATGTTATGCACTACAAAGACTTACTTAGTAAGCCCGCACTGGAAAATATAAGGAAAACGATAGTATCGTGAACCACCCCAGGGTAACTTCTAACCTCTGAAAAGCATCACTTCTACAATCATTTCAAACATCTATTTTTTCTTCTATTCGTAATCCATATCCAGTATTTTTGTCATTAAAAGATTTGCAACTTGTGTAAAAATTATTTCTTCGTTTTTGTATTTCTTTTTTTAAACAACAACACCAGAGTTGGAGGCAATTCTGGGCCAGAGATCAGCGCACTCCTTACCAACGGGGCCGGTAATGGCGGAACCCTTCATCTCACCCTTGGGGTTGACAATGACACCAGCATTGTCCTCGAAGTAAAGGTGGATACCATCCTTTCTTCTCCAGGGCTTAGACTGGCGGACAACAATGGCGGGCATGACCTTCTTACGGAGCTCAGGCTTACCCTTCTTGACGGTAGCCATAACCATGTCGCCAACACCGGCAGCGGGAAGACGGTTGAGTCTGGCACCGAAGCCCTTGACGGCAATGATGCTCAGGTTGCGGGCACCCGAGTTGTCGCAGCAGTTAATGACAGCGCCGACGGGGAGACCGAGCTAAAAAAAAATGTTAATAAAAAATTCTCAAAATTAAAACTTTTTGTAAAATTTTTTCAAAGCTTTTTGATTCAAGACAAAACAAAAAAAAGCGGTTTCTTCCAGGGTATGTTTAAATCGATAAAATCTTTCAAAATGTCGACTAAAACTGTATTTTTAAATTTTTTCCAAAATCAATAAACTATTGCCTGAATTTTAAATCGCATTCTTCTTTTGCCGAAATCAAAAAAATCTTCTCCAAAGTGTTTTTTTACAATAAGTGATTTGCAACGTCAAGCGTTTGGTCTAGTAGCCTTCGCACATACCGACATTCTATACTTGTTACCAGAGGCACCAGATCCTAAATCAATACGTTAGTCATTATCGTCTTTCATCAATATCCTAAAGATTTCATATGATACATACCACTCATTTTTGATTATGTATGACCGTGTCGAACAAACGTTTGTTGAGAAAACGAGAAGGCACTTTCAAAAGGGGAAAAAGAGGGAAGGGAGGGAAAAGAGAGGGGAGAGGGAAAGGTCGCCAGCCTGCGTGTGTGTGGGTGTGGGTGTGGGCACATAGTACACATTGGTAGCTATACCACCAAATCCCAAATAGGGTAAGGGTATTACAATACTTGTGTGTAATACATTTCTTTCTTTTTTGTCAAAAATTGGACAGTGAAAATTTTTCACAAGAGCAAAATCATAATTACTAATCATTACGTTATTTCTGTTTGAATGTTGAGTCTGTTTTGTTTTATAAATTGTTTAAAGCATTCTGAAATATACTTAACAAATCAAATTTATTTAAACAAAACAAATTAGGGTGAAGCCCTAATTTAAGATTTATTACTAATAATTGGTCATAAAATATTGATTGCGATTTATTATGGGACTTTACAAGAGTTCATTATCACAGAAACGTAAAAGATGAGATATTTCACTAGAGGTTCTGATTAAATCAAACCCTCCAAAGAGAACTACAATAAGTGAAACAATCAAAAGAGATATAAAAAAATACGATAGCACAGCAAAACAGAATTTTCTTTATGCAATTAAACTGCTGCAACATTGAGATGGGTAAACCCATCAAGAGAGTAAAAGTAGTCAAAAAACAAGTGTGGCATTAAGATGGAAAAAATAAAAAAAATAAACATAAATGTAATTTCGTAAAAATGCAGGCGCGTACGCGTTGTATAAGCGTAACTGAGTGGTTATTGGAGGTATGTCTAAGTTGGAAAGTAGTCATGTCGAAAGTTAAAGTATGGATTGTCGTTTTTTAGATATGAATTTAAAAGATAGGCCGCGCTATTTCTATTCAAGTTTCGACATTTACTGGAACCATGAAATGCTTAGTGGTGACTGTCCTTGGGAAGGAAAAAGTATTCGCCAATGTTGAAAGCAATGAAGGCAACAGTAGCAATACCAAAACCTGGTAAAGCACCCTTAAATCTGTTGAATCTGGTAAATTGACCTTGAGTTCTCCAGGCCTCTCTGAATTAAATGAGGAAGAAATTGAAGTTAGAAGTCGTGCCTTAAACAAAAAACTGACAAATCTTTCACACGTACCTGCGGGCCCAAGGATCCTTAAGTGGTTCAGCCATTGTAGTGTTTATGTGTGTTTTTTAGGGTGAAGTGGATGTTAGTGTATGAATAGGACGGTTAAGTGCCTTGATGAGGGGTGGTGGTAGGAAAGGTTTTGGGGTGTGACACAGAACTATCTTCAAAAGACTTCGAGATGGCGATAATTTTTGAAGGTTTTGACAAATGGGAGACAACAAATACCAGCTCTTTATTAGATAGTTCCCATTGGTCATATAATTCACGTGATCAAATGTAACAGTAGGCGAGTAAAGTATGACATTAGCCTTACAAATAAGGAACTTATAAAACATGCGGCTCAAGCTTAAAATTGAGCTAAATATGTTTAGTTCAATCGTGAATAAAACTTAGAAAATTTTAAGCTAACTCATAAATTTTATTAATTAATGGTGTTAAAATGAATAAAAATGTTAATAGTTTAAAGAGTTTAAAAAACATAATTTATAAGTTTAAATGAAAAATTTGTTTTTATTAATAGTTATTCTTTATTGATTTTTAATATTAAGGGGTTCGCTTTGAAAGAGTATGTTTTTTATAACTTTTAATAAAGGAAAATAAAAAGATTTAAAAAATTTGATATAAATTTAAAACTAGAAATTAATATTATGGTATTTTTTAATGACTTAAAGACATAATCTAATTTTTGCTAAACGGAACATTTATTTAGTGTAATTTACTTTATTTTCAGCACCAAAGACTCAGGGCCTTTTTTTCAAACCAATTACCAATTTTTTCATTAAGAAAAATTGTTTGTTTTTTTTTTGTGAAAATGTTTAGTGAGGGTGATCTTTTGTTTTTATTTAAGAGTTATAGAATTACACAACACCAGTATCTGCGATATTTTTCTTGTTCTTACTATATATATATCTTTTTTTTTCATAATAAACTTTTAATTTGACTTCAACATTGCATCAACAACAGTTCAAAAAATGAGCCTTGATTTCAGCTTAAAAAAACCGGAAGTTAATGACCAAATTTTTGCAACTTATTTAAACTAATTATATAGTTTAAAATAATTAAAGCAAAGAAACAACAATGACAACTGTAGGCTTATATATGCTCAAAAAAATAACCAAACAAGTTCTTACTAATCAGCGGATTTAGCTCAGTTGGGAGAGCGTCAGACTGAAGTTACAACTTTGGTCTAGTTAATCTGAAGGTCCTGTGTTCGATCCACAGAATTCGCATATTTTTTTAAATAAACTTTTTTATGTTAAATATTGTAGTTTAGAAAATAAGTTCTTAGCATTGTTCGTTTAAAAAAAAAGAAATAACAAAGACTTTTTTTTTAAATGATGGGCGAAATCATAATTTATGGAGCAATTCTTAAAAGAAAAGTTTGGTAAAAAATTTTCAGTGAAAAATTAGAAGAAGTTTACGCGTTTAGAATGGTCAAAATACCAATTTTTTTTATTTTTTTTGCCAACAAGACATTCGTCCAGAACTTTTCGTTTAACAGAAGAATTTTTTTTTTTTATCCGGAGTTATTTGACAGAATAATTCTAAGCTTACAGCCAAAGCTACGTCATATTTATTGTTTTTAGAAAAGCTCTTTCTTGGGTGCTTTTGGCTGCACAAGATAAGGCAAGAAATAAGGTGCATGCTTCGTGGTGGTTCTTTTAACACTTTGCAGCAGCCCTAAAGACATGATGGATTTAAATTTAGAGTTCTAACTTGAGTTTAAGATGGCGTCCAAAAATCTGTGAAGTTTTATTTTTAAACTCTACAAATAATGATAATGAGGATACTTTATTACAATAGGGAGTTAATTTCTAGTATAAAGCATGAAGCATAGAGGTTCAAAAAATGAAGTCAAAAGTAGTCCAAGAAAGATGAATAAATGATCTTTTTTTGGGATTGAAGAAGGGCAGGCGACGCCCAAGGATGGGCACTAAGCACTTTAGGAAACATTGACACCCCAAAATGGGTACTTGGAGTCCATCCTCCATTTCATTAGTCGCGGCAGGATTCCTAAACAAAGCAGAATACGACCGATTTTTACATGGTCAGTTTGAATAACTGAACTTCTATTTAAGTGACTACTGAAAAAAAAATTAAAGATGAAAAGACCAGAGCCATTGATTGAAAAAAAAAAAAAGAATTTAAAGTAAAGCTTCTGATCAAATTTATATATACTGAACAAAGCCATATTATTACTGACATTTATATTATTTAATATAATCAGTTGTGTCGATAAGCACTAGAAAAAAAACTTTTTGCAGGTCTCAAAAGCCAAGAACTTAATGATAAGCACAAAAGCTTTAAGCCTGCCTTTTCTCCCACCAAAGACACAAGGAAGTTGACAAACCAAAATTCAAAGAAGTTTGCTAAATTCCGAATATCTAACAAACTGCTTTTTTTTTTTTTTTTTTTTTGGTCTTAGGTTTTTAAATATTGGAATTTTTTTTTTCTTTTGTTCTATTCTTTTTCTTTCTTTCTTTTTCTTTACCACATTTTTTTTTTTCAATTTTGCATTCTAACAAAAATTTAAAATTTCACCTTCCTACCCATTACCATAGAGTAGAATTTCCCACAAAATTAACATCAACATCTCCTTGAACTTTCACGGATATATTTTTCCTTCTTGGAGTTAACATCACCAGACTGGAAATACGACAACAACCTTAATTTCAACGCCTCACGTTTTCTATACAAAAAAACTTATTGGCTATTCAAACAAGCAACAGGCTTTGCTTTTTTATTTTTTTATTTTTTTATTTTTTTATTTTTTTATTTTTATTTTTTATTTTTCTTACTAGGCCTTTTTTTTTTTTACATTAAGAAACTTGTAATAAAGTCTATCACGCGAGTTAAAACTCCTCCAAATTCCCTTATCCTAATTTTTTTTTTCTATTTCTATTTCTATTTCTATTTCTATTTCTATTTCTGTTTCTATTGACTTTGAACATTCTTCTTTTCTACTTTTTTTTTTTTAGCATACTCTTCATTTCAAATATCATGACACGGCTATTTTCGCCATTATTATTACTGAGTCTACTGGCTGCTCTTCCCGCACAAGCCCTAAATGTTCCTTCAGGGTTTCGACGCCCTTCAAAGCATGATACAAATAACCCGATTCTCCTTCAACATCAACAACAACAACAACAACAACAGGCACCACTCCAAGACACTTCAGCTAATAAAAACGCTCATAAAAACGGCATTTATGTTCCAGAACGACCCATATTTGGTCGCTTTTTGGTCATTACAGACATTCATCCTGATCCTCTCTACGAAGCACACGCAGACCCAGATACATGCTGCCACCGTGGGTCTAATAAAAAGGAACACCCACTCTCCACAGGCAAATATGGGTTGCCTGTGTCTCCATGCGACTCGCCAATTCACTTAGTTAATGACACACTGCACTGGATTAAGGCCAATTTACACGACTCCATTGATTTCATTGTGTGGATGGGCGACAATGTACGACACGACCGCGATAGATACAACCCGCGTTCGGAGCCCGAAATTTTTGCAGCTAATGAAAATGTGGTGAATCTTTTTAAGAACGCTTTTGGAACTGACAACCCATACACGCCATACGAAATCCCCATTATACCCAACATTGGAAACAACGATGTTTACCCGCATAACCTCGTTGTCGAGGGTCCTACACTTCAATCCCGAGAATTTTACCGCATTTATTATGAAATGGTCCCACCCAGTCAGGTGCACACCTTTAACCGTGGAATGTACTTCATGACCGAAGTTATTCCTGGGAAACTTGCAGTCATTTCCATCAACACGCTCTACTGGTTTGAAACAAACCCCATTGTGGATGGATGCGACCGTAAAAAGGACCCTGGTGCACTCCAGTTTAGATGGCTGGCCATAACTCTTAAGGAGCTGCGCGCGCGCGGAATGAAGGTTTGGTTCAGTGGCCATGTCCCACCAACATCTTCTTGGGAACCCACATGCTTGAGCCGGTACTCGGCTTGGCTTCATGAATATCGCGATGTTATTATTGGTGGCCTTTACGGACATATGAACATTGATCACTTCATTTTCCATGATGTTCGAGATGCCTACCGCGAAAAGCGAAAGGAAGGTGTGGCAATTACTCACCATGATGTCCCCATTGATCCCAACCCACACAAAAAACTTGAAAAGCTGAATGCGCGCCAAAAGAAACTTGTTCACCAGTTTTCTCGTGAGCGTGACCCTATGATGACCATAAATGATAAACAAGAATATTTCAACAATTTACGTTTGTTCTACGAAGACATTTACCTGGGTCATGAGGTTGACACAAACATTGGCGTTTCTCATATTCATACCTCAATTATTCCCACATATTTCCCAGGATTCCGTATTTATGAGTATGACATTAATGGACTCGAAGATGCAACTCCCCCATCAACATATGCCAACGGACAGCCGTTTAGACCTTGGAGTGAAATCTTTGATGCAACAGAGGCCTATTTACAGCATGTTAAGCACCTCAGTTATGAGGACTTGGATGAATTAGACATTAAAGCTGAATCTAGCGCCAGCAGTGCGTTTGATTTGCTTCAATTGGCCGAAGAACAAGATGAAATGTCTGCTATGAAAAAGAAGAAAGGCAAAAAGGGAAAGAAGGGCAAAAAGGGCGGTAAAAGGATAGTTGATCCTACATGGCCCCCTGAATACTTGGAAGTTGAGAGTGGTCCCGCCTACAAGCGCCAGCTTTTCACACCTCTGAGCTATACCCAATATTTTTTAAATATGACACGGATAAACATTGCTGAGGAGGATTTTTCGTACGAGGTGGAGTACGAGACTAGCAAGGCACCATACAACATGTCGAGCCTAATGGCCAAGGACTGGATCAAGCTTGCTGGAGACTTGACTACAACTGAATTTACTTCTGCAAGCAGCAGTTATGAGCTCTGGAAGTTATACTTACACTATGCCTTTGCAAGCAGTTCATTTGAAGTTGATCTCTAAATTGGACAATAATTTTTTTATTAGTATATTTCATCATTTTTTTTTAAATTTATTATTTATTTTATTTTATATTTTATTTTTGTTTGGAGAAAGACATGTTTAATGAAAAGGGCAAAGTAATGAACATTGAGATAGTCTAATGAAAATGAGTTCTGAAATAATTTACTACGCCTTAAGTTGTGAAAAGAAAAAATAAAACTTCCATATAAACAGTTTTTTTTAAACATTGTTTGTGACATCAAAATCAGTCAACTCGCGTTCTTGCAGTGGTGGTTCTGAGCCTTGTGGTAACCGCGAGGAATCAAGTCTATTACTGAGAGTGCTTGTGTTTTCAAAGCGCGGAGGAACGTACGGCGTTGATTGGAAGCGCGGCGTTTCTCCTGAAGATTGATAGTCATCATTGTCCGTAATTTCCTCCATTAAGACCTGGCGCAGGACATAAGGCGTTTCACAGTCTGGAGCGGCCAAAGCGGGGAAAAAAAGGCGGTAGGAAATCCATGCAATAATACCACCAAGCAGCGAGCCAGCAATAATGTCGCTCCCGCGGTGTCTATAGTCTTCTGTGCGCGAGATAGCAACATATGTTGCAAGCAGGATAGGATAGGAACTGACAATGGCCTTAAGTGATGTTCCATTTGTTGAGTTAGGTGCATTAGGGCTAAACACATTGAGCTGCCCAGCCATCCAAAGCGATAAAAAGTAAAAAGCTGAGAAAGAAATTGATGCGTGACCTGAGGGTAAACTTTTGAAACCGTCTTTAAGACTGCTCATATCTGTAGTTGTGCAGACACTGACATCAACAAGACCTTCTTGGTCTGTGCCTTCAGCAGGCTGGCATCTTGCAAGAAAATCTGGACGAGGGCGGCCAATATAAACCTTGAGAAAGTTGGTCACAAACCCATTCATGAGAACAGAAATAGCAAAGGCTAGAAGAGAAACATGAAAGAGCACAAACTTATATCGCTTAAAAGAGGACAAAAACGACCCTCCAATGAAACTTAACACAGGAATTACAATTGCAAGTATCTAAAAAAAAACATGGCACATGAATATCATGACTAGATTAGTACTGCAGGTGAATCAAAATAATTTCCAAAGTAACACTTACACCAAGAACCCATACTGGCACGCGCTCAGTTTTTGCAAATGGATGTTGAATATCAAGGTCTGAAAGCGAAAACATGCGCATAAATGGAGTTTTAAATTCAAGAGCCATAAAAAGGCCAAATGCTATAAATACTGTAATCCATTCGGGTAGTAGATCGCGGTGACACGACCAAGCAGCGCCTTTGCGGAATGATAAAAAGCTGTAACTGGGCATTAGGAGTTTCCGGCGCCTATGATGATGGGTAGCCTGCGATTGATGGCGATAATGATGTAAAGGGTAAGTAGCTCTTCGATGCGGAGTTGGAGGATTTGTTGTTTTTATCAAAGGGTTTAGAAGAGAGTCTGTAGGAGTGTAGTCGCTAAGAGCACGCTTCCAGAGAAATCGAATTGGGGCGTGCAGTGGATTTCCCCTTTTACGAAAAAATTTGAACGTCGTCTTGAAAAGAAATAAAAAAGGATTCCTAGAAAGAGGCGGGGGTAAAAAAAAAAAAAAAAAAGCACTGAATATCAAATGTTATATATATATACTACGTAAAGCCAAGTGACAATGTAGCTGACTGTGATAATGTGTGGTATGTATTGACTTTTGTTTAGGCAGTTTTGAGGGGCTAAATGAACGGCGGAGAGGCTAGACCAAAGCCGATTTCAAAAATCTTCTAAATATAAAACACTAAATATGGAAAGTGAGCACTGGTATTTGTATATTTGCAGAAATTTGAGTTGAAAATTACGCCTCCTTTGTTAATAAATGTCAAGTAGTTTGGGGATGACGGTAAGGGGATTTTTTTAACGATTGTGGGAAGGCTGTGCTGTCGTTTTCGTTATAAAAATGGAAGATGGGCGGACACCAACAAAAAATTAACAAACAGAATCAGGGCATTTAGGTCTTGTAACAACTAAATAAAACATTAAAGCAAACATTTACTTTTTTGGAAGAAATAAAAAAATCATAGTAATTCAATTATTTAACAATAATAAAAATCAAGTAAAAAAATTCTACTGGGAAATTGAGTGTCTTGGAGTAAATGCATTTTAAAGGTTTCTTCATATAACTGGCTTATCAAGGAACTAGGAGAATAAAAAAAATAGTTAATACTGCATTACTAGACTCAAACTTACTTATATATAGGTAATAACCAGTCTGGGATATAGTTCACACGATATCTCGTCTTGCTAGGAAATTCTTCTGATCTAATAAATTATCTCACATACCACTAAAACAAAGCAAACTCATTTTTATATACTTTTTTTCAACATTCAAGCTAAAAAATTCAAATGTCTTTTCGCCTTCAAAAAATTCAAATGCCTAACATCAATGCAGATGCCAGACGTCTGTTTGACGATGGAGATAACAATCGCAACTCTACTGTTCATACGTTAAAGCAGCAACAACAACAGCAACAACGACTAAATGAACAGGAGCAGGAACAGAAACAGCAACAACATGACATGATTTACTTTGATTCCATTGAAAAAGATCTTGACGAAGCTTTGGGAAATCATTCAGTAGATCCCAAGTCTTTTACTAAAACGTCAATGCCAATCAATCCAAATCTAAGCCTGGCAGAAGATGAGGACGAAGAATACTCATTTGCAGAATTAAATAATGAGAATCTTGATGAGATTTTTAACAAGCACCCAAAAAACCAAGCTACAAAAACTACCACAAAAAAGGACAACTCTAGATCCTTATCTAATACACCTCTTCGCCACTCACTTACCAACAACCAGCACAAAGGAGATTCCCCACCATCAATCTCTATCAATAATGAGTACGGTGACCTCTTCATTGACCAGCAGGAATTTGAACCCAATTCTAAGACAGCCATTGAAATTCATGCTAGAAAGTCACTACCAAACATTTCCCAAAAATCTAACTTAGTCACCCAACCAAAGTTCCGGAAAGAGAAGCCTGAACCTCACATGACTACACCTGCAACTGGTGATGATGACGAGCTTATGGTTTTGGAAGTTCAAAAGTTTCCTTCATTGTCATCTACTAAGCAGCTTAAAAAATCTGAACTGGGAGTTTCTAAGTCTTCCAACAGGTTTTCACTTACTAAGACAAAATATTCTGGAACCGTAGGAAAAGGTTCTCATTCGTCATCTGACAAATTCTTAGATCCTCTTTTAGCTTCAATAAGCAAAATCCAAATGGAAAAAAATGCTATTCAATCAGAGTACTCTGTGCTTAATATCAAGTACTCTAAAGCCAATACCCAGCTTGAAAAAACTCTTGGTGCAGTGGCTGCTCTAAAGCGTCATGTTGATGTCTTAGTAAATGTTCAAAACGAGCTCCAAAATGATTTGCGTAATATTCGCAATGGGCCTTATTCCCAGATACCTATTCAGTTAAAGGAACTTAAATCGGACAGTTCCTCTATTGACGAGGCTATTAAGGAACTTGGAAATGCATTAAGCTCAACAAGACTTACCCATGACAAACTTACCTCTAAGCTTAGTGACATTAAAGTCACACAGTCTCATTGTATACTTTGCTTAATTTTGAAATCACCATTTTCGACCTAACTTTTTTTTTTTTTTTTTTTTTTTTTTTTAGTTGACACTGAGAGAATGGAGCATATCGCCACAAAAGCTCGACTCGACGCGGCTCTTTTGACAGAAGAAAAAATGTCACAACAGATTATCGACTTTAACAAGGAGATTTTGTCTAAAATAGAGTCGGCTAATTCTAATATTAAACTAGGGATTGAAAATTCGATTGTACCTGTTAAAGAGTATGTAACTTTTAAAAAAACAGAATGTTTATTAACTAACTTCATAGATCTTTGGGTAAACTGCAAAACATTCAGCAGCAGCATTTTGAAGAGTGCGACATAATTGCAAACGGTCATTATGACTCTTTGAGCACCATGGAGTATTTTTTTTTTAAAAAAAACCCCCATTAAACCTTTTATTTGCTAACTATTTCCAGGAATCAATTGAAATCTATGATGCTGACTCAAAATGATAAAAGTGTTCAGATGGAAACTTTGCTATCATCCCTTAAAGATTCATTTGAAGAAAGTCGCAAAGCCACAATAAAGAATTTGGAAATTTTAATAAGCAATCAAAAGGTTGACTTAGATCCACTCAAAGAATTTGTTTCTGTACATTTTGATACCCAGAATAAAACTATCATGGATCAGTTTGTATCTCAATTTTCTTCTTTTCAGCAGTTGAAATATTCAGAAGAAATTGAATCTCTTTCTAAGCAGCTTACTGAAGAGTCTGCTTCTGTAAGTAAGTTGCGTACTGAACTAGAGAATGCATTCAAGTTAAATACAAATCTTTCAGAGGAGATTACGGCATTTAAAAGCTCCAACAATGCAAATATTGCTGATTTAAAAAAAGAAAAAGAAAAGACAGATGGAATTGAAAAGGAATTACATGAGCTAAAGGAAAAACTTAAAAAGACTGATGAGTCTGCAAAAGTTTTCCAGCAAAGAGAAAGGAAGCTTCACCAGGAATTTGAAATGGAAAAGAAAAACATCTCAAAATCTGCTAATGCTAGAGTAAAGGATTTGACGTTACAAATTGAATTTCTTAAGCAGGAGAACGACCGTATGAATACTGAAATGGATCATTTAAGATTGAAAGAGGATGAAAATAGAGAAACAGCCATAAAACTTGCTGTTTTAGAACGTGAAAACGAATCATATAAGGCTCAGATTTCTGAACAAAATAATTCTATTTCTGCTCTTGAAAACCGAATCAGGGAGCTTGATTATGAAGTAAGCAAATGAAAATTAGTCAAAAGCTTTTACTAATAACATATAGGTTCTCATGTGTAAGAATACTGCACCCATCACATCCACCCCTAAGAAAACCCTCAAAACTAATAGCGATAAATTTTTTGAAGAGAGTGAAGCATTTCTTCGGGCTATACCTACTCAGAAATCGATCCAAATGAATGCTCCACAGACTCCTATGCACCAAAAGTCAGACGAAGATCTATCTTCTAGATTTTTGATCACACCTCGTCATGTTCCGGTTGTTAAACGCCATCGTGAGGTAGAGGTTGTCTACGGTACTCAAACTGGCACCGGATCTGGAATTATGCTAAATCCAAAGCGCATTCGAAACAAAAAGCATTCTGCTAACCCTTGATAATTTGCTTACTTTTCTTTTCTTATTTGCTTATTCGTAGTTCGTAAATAATGTATGATTTAGTTAGTTGTTTTGTACATTAATAAGAATGGTTTGCTTTTAAACATATTTTGTTTTGTAGCGTGTGTCCTACCCTGCGGCTTGATATTTCTGGCGTAGGGTAAACCTTAATCTTGTTAATATCTGTTTATTGTTTTGATTGTTTCTTTCCCATCAACCAGTTAATATAACCATGTCTGATGATTTACCATATGGTATGCTGTTTGCCACCCATTTTATAATTTACCAACTAATGAAGAAGAACCGGATATTATTCGTATTTTAATCACAACCGATAATCATGTTGGTTATGCAGAAAATGATCCCATTAGAGGGAATGATGCTGCAGTTACATTTCGCGAAATAATGAACATTGCCAAAGATAGGGAGGTCGACATGGTTCTTCAAGCTGGTGATCTTTTTCATATCAACAAACCAAGCCGTAAATCTATGTTTGAGGTGATTACAGCTTTGCGTGAAACTTGCTACGGCGACAAACCATGCGAGCTCCAGCTAATGAGTAAAGTTGATCTAGGATTAGATAATGAGTAAGTTGGAAACTTGCTAAACTAATATTTGCTAACCAAAATTAGTCTGAATCATTTAAACTATCAAGATGAAAACATTAATGTCGCAATTCCGGTATTTGCAATTAGTGGAAATCACGATGATGCAGCAGGTGTAAGCATACTTTAGTATCAATTATGAAGCTTGTCTAACATATTTCAGAACTCGTTACTGGCGCCAATGGATGTTCTAGCGGCAACAGGCTTAGTGAATCATTTTGGACGTGTCCAAGAAAATGATAATATTTCAATTGTACCTATTTTATTACGAAAGGGCAAAACACAACTTGCACTGTACGGCATGGCAAATGTACGAGACGAAAGATTATTTCGAACGTTTCGCCACAGCCAAGTAAAGTTTTTTAAGCCTGCTAAAGATACAGGCGAATGGTTCAATCTTATGGCAGTGCACCAAAATCATGTTGCTCATTCATCAACAGGGTATCTCCCTGAAACCTTCCTTCCCGACTTCATGGATATGGTGGTTTGGGGTCACGAGCACGACTGTATAAGTGATCCTGTCAAAAATCCTCAGACAGGGTTTTCTGTTTTACAACCAGGAAGTTCTGTGGCAACCAGTTTGATTGAAGGCGAGGCAATACCCAAGTATGTTTTCATTTTATCAGTAACAGGCAAAAAGTACACATTAGAAAAGATTAGATTAATGACAGTACGACCATTTGCCATTTCTTCAGTGAGCTTGGCTATGGATTCTGGAATTGATGCTCGCATTTCAAACCGATCAGAGATCACAAGCTGGTTGAACGATCGAGTGGAAAGTTTAATTTCAGAAGCAAAGCAAGAATGGAAAAATAGGCCTGGAAATGAAAACAAATCTGAGGAAGAAATACCATTGCCTTTGATACGTCTCAAGGTAGATTATTCAGGTGGATACGATGTTGAAAACCCTCGAAGATTTTCTAATCGGTTTGTGCAACGAGTCGCCAATGTAAATGATGTGGTATCGTTCAATCGTCGACGTGCTGTATCCATGACAGGACACAGCCAAAAGAATCCTTCACAAAAAGATTCCCCCAATCAACAACATGAAGATCAAAACATTAGCTTAGAAAAAATTGGAGTACAGAAGCTGGTGAATGAATTTCTTCAAAATGATGACTTGATGCTACTTCCAGAAACAGGGCTTGGTGACGCTGTAAGACAGTTTGTGGATAATGGTGATAAAGATGCAATCAAGGCATTTGTTAACAAGTCTCTAGAACTTCAGCTCAGCACATTGATGGCGATTACCAACTTGGATGAAGATAGTATGTCATCAGAGATTCTCAAAGCGAAAAAAAGATTGGCAAGAAACACTTTGCGACAATCCAGTGGTCAAGCAGGGGCTACACCTGCAGCTGCATCAACTACCAGTATTTTTAACTCTGTTTCATTTAATGAAACTAACGAAAGAACCGAAAATAATAAAAAAAAGGAGCCTGAACTTACCACTACTAAGCCGAGTCGGGGCCGAAAGGCAGCAGGTACTAAGACTGCGGCATCGAAAAAAACACCCGCCAAGCGTGGCCGTAAAACAAAAAGTCCTGAAACGATTGAAGAATCTGAAGAGGAAGCTATAATTGAAAATCTGGAACAAGATGGAGAGGTCATGGATGTGGACGAATATGATGACGAAGAGGTAGAAGTGATTTCAAGACCAACGTCCGGGAGCACAAGAAAACCCACAGCTTCTACATCACGTACTACAAAAACGACAAAATCTGCATCCAAAACACCAGCAGCTTTGTCACTTACAAGACAAATATCGTCGAAGAACAGTCCTGTAGCGGTTAATAATGGCGGCGACGACGGTGACGACGACGATGATGATTTTGAAATTCTTGGAGAAACGTCTCAAAGTGTTTCTATACCTGCATGCGCACGGACAAATTCAATGGCAGCTGCGAGGATGGTGTCACCAGTAAGTCAGGCTCTTAGAAACTCTACTAATATGGCTACAATTGTAACATCAGCACGAATCGCAAGTAATGCTCATGGTAGTAGTAGTAGTAGCAGCAACTCGACTGGGTCCCGGACGATTGGCGCAAAGAGAAAACGAAGGATGCCTGCTCCAAAATTAGTAACTCCTTCTCGACAAGAAGATTTGGTAAGTCCAAAGAGATTTTTAAAATTTTCGAGAAATTTTTGCTAACAAAAAAAAACAAGTTATATGATGACGAGAGTGACGGATTTTCCTGAGCCTGTCCAATTGAGTTTAGGATTGTTGTAAAATCGATGTTCATTGTTGTAAATAACAAGTTCCATATATACGAATTAAGCAAGTTATTCTGTTTGCATATAAAAAAAAAATCAGATGGTCAGCTGTTATCTGGTAACCAGACAACAAAGACTTTACTTCTACCTTTCATTTTCATCGTTTCTTTTGAAATATCCATATTTATCAAGTCTACTATGAGACCTTCAATTATACGGCTTCTTGCAACTAAAGTGACATTTTTCACGCGTCCACAATGCGGATTGTGTGAGAATGCAAAGGGCGCCTTATCCAAGGCATGGGACCAATCCAAAACCAAATTTGACTACAAAGAGGTCGACATAACCAAGCCCGAAAATAGCGAATGGTTTGACAAATACGTGAGTGAGATAACTTTGAAGAGGAGTCAGAGCAAGGATTTATATATATAGTGTCACTAACCTTCATCTCTGAGGAGGAGTTATTCAGGCTTTTGATGTTCCAGTGATACATATTGAGAAGGAAAATGGCGACAAAATCCGTAAGCTTATGCACCGCATCAACACGAGTGAGGTCGTGGACATTGTGGATTCTTGAATAAAACCCACAATGACTCATGTTTCCTAGATGTAAATACCACCTTTTGTATATAACTTATAATAATTAAATTTTTTGCCCACATTCATTCAGTCAAGCTGCCATTTGATAATATATGTGTGTGGTGTGCGCACCCCTATTATATGACACAACTGACTTTTGCTTGTGCCTCGCCAAATTTTTTCTTCCTCCCTATTTTTTTTTTTTTTTTTTTTTTCCTTCTTCTACCGCCTTTTCAAACCAGCACAGATCAATCAAAACATTTTCTCCTTTTTTTTTTATCTTCTAATACTTCTTTTTTAGTTCTTATTGGAACACTTTTTATAACCCTCCATATTTAATAGAAACCAATATTCAGATATAGTCATGTTGTGATGACTTCATCAGCTTAAACACAAAAAGTGCAGTGTACGTGTAAAGATGCAGTTTTCTCTCAGCCCTTATCTAACCGCCAGGTGCCATTCCATAGAAAAACGATTCCAAAGAGATCTTTTTTTCCTGCTCTTATTAAGTTAGATTGATATATACCATTAAATAAAAGAAACTGAAATTATACGATTTATTGCAGTTATTCAAAATAGCATATATTTTTTTTTTTGATTTTTCGATTATCAAAATTCTTTTTTTCTTTGGTTTACTCGTCATCAGCCTATTTTTTTGAACTACATCGCCAATTGTCATTACAGAGGGCACACAACACCCCCCATCTAATTATCACAAATATACGCCATATAAATTATTCGAGTTTTGAATAAAAGACTGTCTTTTATTTTATAAGCCAAATTAATTAGCTGCTTAGTCGGACCTTTCAAATGAAACGGTACAACAAAAAGGAACAAGACAAATATATCAATGAAGTTCAGCAAGATGAGTTCGACTCCATAGCAGCCATTTACGGAGATGATTTCCACATTGTAAAAAACAATGCAAGTGCTTGGAATGTATGTAATGACTGTTTTTGTAAAAGTGTGTTTCTTCACTAACATATTTTCTAGAAATCGCTTCCAGCATTCATGATCGACTTAAGGTCCCAAATGGGAACAGACAATGTAATAACAGTCTCTGTTCGTGTAGAGTTTACGATCACGTACCCCAGCACTTCTCCAGTTGTCACGATTAAAAAATACAATGGCTTAGCTACTCTTCAGATTAAAAAACTCAATACCATCGTTGCAGAATTTTTTAAAGACCCTAACAATAGAAACCGCGAAATTGTCTTCGATCTTTTGACCCTGATTCAAGATACAATCAATAATTTTGAGGATTCCTTTAAAGAAGGAAGTCTTGAGGAACAACGCACTCAAAGAATCAAAGAAGAGCAGGAAAAGAAAAAGCTAGAAGAAAAAGCAATAGCTCGAAAAAAGGAGCAAGAAGAAATTCGTCGCAATGAAGAGAAAAATAGACTTTTGGAAGACGAAAAGAAGAGACGCCAACAAGAACTCGAAATTAAGGAAGCTGCAGAAAGCGCCGCATCTGCTATCAAACACCCCGCACCATTAATTAAAAATGACGACACTGTTGTAACATTTGACAGAATGATTACCGTTCGCGCTAACGGTAGCACAATCAAATTTAAGCAGGTATATGGGAAAATACCAACAGAAGTTGATTTTCTGGGGAAACATTATCTTGTTAAACCTGTTTTGGATATGTCACAAAGTGATGGAAATATATCTTTTATGCTCACGGAAATTGATTTAGACGAAGACTACTGGTCAACAGCTGAAGGAAAGAAACATATACACATACTTGAAAAAGATTTAGAGGTTATTCATCAGATTCACCATGAAAATATTGTTTCATTGTATGAATCAAAAATTTCGCATTTGGGTTCGGGAGGTTGGCGAATCACTCTTTTATCAGAGTACTCACCCTTTTCTCGTGTTAGCTATTTATTAGATACTGTTGAAACTGTGAGCATCAAGGTCACTAGAGCATGGGCCAATCAGTTACTAGATGGCTTGGAACATTTGCATAAGTGCGGAATAACCCATAAGTTAGTAAATGTTGATAACATTTATCTTTTCCGTAATCCGGAAATAGGCGAAACTACCGTCAAGCTAAGTAGACCAAGTTATGGGTATAAACTACTTGATATGAATGATCGACACAGGTTTACTTCTACAAGTATTGTTCTTCCTGAAAGGAAGTGGAAACCCCCAGAGCTTAATGTCAAACCCACCCCTCTTCCAACGAAAAAATCAGATATTTATGATTTTGGGACAGTTGTGTGTCAGCTTTTGGAAGGGAAGAACATTGTCAACAAATTTAAATCACCTTCTACTTTCCTTGAGTCTCCACATACATTTGCTCGATATAAAGGCACCGATATTTTTTATGACTTGAAGGACTTTCTGGTTAACTCATTCAACCCAACCCCTAAGAAACGATACTCTACTGTTGAGTTATTGACTAGTAAATTTTTCAGAGATTTTAACACAACTTCCATGTCCACCATTTCTCTTTCGCCAGTCAATACATCACAAAGTATCAGATTTAGGCGCAGGTCGTCAAATAATCACATGCAACGTGGAATGAGCAATATCAACGGAGCTTCTCAAATATTTTCTCGTTATCAACATGACTTTATTGAATTTCAACTTTTAGGCCGGGGTGCTTATGGTGAAGTTGTTAAGGCTCGTAATAAACTTGATAGCCAATTTTACGCTATTAAAAAGATCCAATCTACTCAGTCTAAATTAGATGGTATTATCGGTGAAGTTTGGCTTCTTTCTCGTCTTAACCACCAACATATTGTACGATATATTACAGCTTGGCTTGAAGAAGGTCCTTCAATACCGTCGGAAAATGCCATCACCGACGATGAAGATGAATTTGATGATGAAGAAGAGTCTTCAAGTATTGTTCCAAGAAAGACAAATAGCGTTCACACAAGATCTGCAGCACCTTCTAAATCTCCATCTTTACTTAATGTTGGAGGACTAAAAGATTTATCATTAAGTACGCCTTTAGATTTCAGCAATGGTGGACCAGAAATTGTTTTTGGATACAGCTCTGGGGATGGGTCTCGGTCTGATTCTGATTCTGATTCTGATTCTGATTCTGATTCTGATTCTGATTCTGATTCTGATTCTGATGATTCCAAAGACTCTAATGGGTCCTATTCAGATGATTCTGACTCTGATGACTCTGAAGTTTCTTCAGAAGCAATAGATTCAACAGATGAGGACGAAGACGATACTACTGAAGATGATGGTAGTCATGCTAGCATTTCCACTGTTGAAGAAGAAGATGAAGAAGATTATGATACAGACCGCCCTAAAAGTGCTAACAATAAGCGCAACATTTTCCGCTCGAGAACATCCACAGGTAATCGGCCAAACAAATCTTTGATGCCCATTTCCAAACCTCCTCCAGAAATAAATACACTTTTTATTCAAATGGAGTACTGCGAAAATCGCACTTTAGCTGATTTGATTAAGGACGGGTTAAGCTCTCAACCTGACGAATACTGGCGCCTTTTTCGACAGATTATTGATGCCTTAAATTATATTCATGTAAATGGTGTTATTCATAGGGACCTTAAGCCAGTAAATATTTTTATTGGTCAAGGTAACAATGTTAAAATTGGCGATTTTGGTCTTGCAAAAAGTATTGGCCAGAGCCTTGTTACCTCATCATCAACAGTGACAGCTCCTGAAACAGGGGATGAGCTTACACAAGAAGTAGGGACAAGCCTATACATTGCCCCGGAGGTGCTTAATGGGAGTGGTACATACGATTCTAAAGTTGATATGTATTCACTGGGTATTATTTTTTTTGAAATGGTGTTCCCCATGTCTACAGCCATGGAACGCGTTTCTATTTTACGAGGTATTCGGGATCCTAAAATCATTTGTCCATTTGATTTTTTGGCCTCAAGATATGAACGTGTGCATACACTTGTTGTTAAGCTTCTGGATCATAATCCGAACCAGCGGCCATCCGCAATGCAACTTCAATCATCACCTCTTGTTCCTATGCCTCGAGAAGACGAAGCTACTGAAAAAACACTAATGAAAATTAGAAACACAAAGGGTGATTCACATTTGATTTCTCAGGTGTGCAGTGCCCTATTTTCAAAAGAGTTGGACACGATTTCAGCTATTTTATATGATAGTGGAATTGACGATTACCGAAAGAGTACAAGCGACTATTTATTATTGAGTCATCTTACTGAAATTATTTCTGGTGTTTTCCGAAATCATGGTGCTGTTCCAATTGATGATCGATCAATAATTTTCCCTAGTCCGGCAATTTATGAATACGGGAACTTGGCAAAACTTATGGATCGATCAGGAAATATTCTTCAATTACCTTATGACTTGACATACCCATTTGCAAGAAAACTTGCCCAAGCTCCTATCAATGCCTCAAAAAGTTACTATTTTGGTTCAGTTTACCGAGAACGCGACGAGGACTCAAATAAAAGCTTGGAGCCAAGGAAATGTAATGAAATTAGTTTTGACATTATTACTCATCATACAGCTGATTCCATTTTTAATGAAGCTGAGGTGATTAAAGTTTTAGATGAAATAATCAATGCTTTGCCATCTTTTAAGCCAGAAAGTGTTTCGATAGTTTTAAATCATTCTGACATATTAGATGCTATTCTTAAATTTTGTTCTATTCCACAGCAACACCGTTCTTCTGCTTTATTGCTCTTTGGACAATATGGACTGCAGCCAACCTCATCAGAAGTTAAAGATATGATTCTCAGTCAGCATGGGTTGTCATCATCGTCAATAACAGATCTTGAACTTTTTGGGTTCCGCAATACTTTGGAAAATGCAGAAGCCACAATTGTTAAGCTCTTAAGAGATAGTGACCCAGGGAAACTTTTCCGCGAAGCAATTGAGCACATTCGTGAGGTAATTCATTATCTTCGCAAAATGGGAGTGACCAGACCAATTTATTTGGCTCCATTGAGTCACTATAATCCTGAGTTTTACAAAGGAGGAATTATGTTTCAAGTTGTGACTGAAGACAAGAAAAAATATCAACCGTTTAATTTCCTAGCTGGCGGTGGTCGTTATGATTCTCTTATTCGAGGCTTACAAAGCCAAATGGGCCTTGATAAAGGTGTTACTTCTAAAGCAGTTGGTTTCAATCTTTCTCTTGATTTTTTGTATGGGTCCATGTTTGCATTCCGAGAAGGTTTGATTCGAAAACAAAACAAAAAGAAAGACCGACATTCGGATATAAATGAAGAGCTCTCTGGGTGGATTGAACCTCGATGTGACGTTCTTGTTGCAAATTTTCAAGCAACCAATAATTTAGACAACTGCTTGGAAATTTTAAAAATGCTATGGGACGAGGGGTACAGGGCTGATTTTATTCAAAATGCAGGCTCATCTGAAGGTGTTTTTCAAGTAGCAGAAAAAGAAGGTGTCAAGTTTGTTGTTATTGTAAAGCAACAGGCTAGTTATGTTTCTTCAAAGAACTTTAAGCCGATACGCATCATCTCTATATCTACCCCTCGAACAGACCTGGATGTTTCAAAACGAGAACTGATTTCCAAGCTCAATATCCTTTTTTCAGCTAGAGATAGGGGAACTTTGAAAACAAGCAACAGCAATTCTGGAAGTACTGGTGGGAATGGGAACAATAATGGTTCTCATATTGGCGGGTTGCATGTGCGAGCTTCGTCAGGAACTTCCAACAGTCAGGGGAATACCATGACTGGTGGAAGTAGTACCATGGTCGGCCCCAATAGCGCTGGATTTCACCATCATCATCATCATCATTTTCATAACATGGATTCTTCTGAAATGACAGGATCTGGAGGTTCTGACGCTTATCACGGGATTGAAATTCCACAAAACCAAAAGATTACAATTTTGAGCGAAGGGAAAGTTAAAGGTGGAAAGAAAAATCAATGGAAGATTGAAGAAAACGCCCAAAACTCAGCGATGAATCTGATGCGTGAAATTGGAAGTGCACCTGTATATTCGCTTGATGTGAAAGACGATGTGTTGGATGCAATTTTGGCAACATCACTGGACCAAGCTGAAGAGTGGAGACGCAAAGTTGTAGGTCTCTCGCCATCGCAAAAAGCGTACCTAATGGAGACACAAACAGCTCTTTCAAAAGAAGTGGCACGAGGGACACCCTACATTATTTTGTACAGTAGTAAGACAGACCGCACAGTGATATACTCGGTGTCACAAAACCGGGGCTTTTGAAAGTTATAACTGCTCAGTTCATGAAAACGAACCAAATGAACGCCTATATTGTTGCATTTTATAGATAGTACATTTTTTATTTTAAATAAACACGTTAATGCAACCACGTGATTAGTGTTGGGCATGTGGCCGACCAAGTTTTTCGCTCGTTCTGTTGGTGTTTTGTGCGCTTTGCTGGCCATGAAAATCCCTCGACTTTTTCCCGCTCCTCTCCTTTTTTTTTTCTTAATCTTTTTCACAAACCACAGCCACCATTTTCCGAATCTTCCTTTTCCATTTCCCTTTTTTTTTTTTTTTTATTTATTTTCAACAATTTCAATTTCAATTATAGATATATATATATATATTTATACTAACTGATATATATCTCTATACTTAAACACCATCTTATTCAGTTAGATATATCTTTGCTCGCTGAGCTTTAAAAAAACAACATAACCAATTGACACACTAGCCCCGCATTAGCCCGCAATGGCAACTACACCCTTTACCGTCGTCGCGGACTACGCGTACGAGTCCGCAGAGCCTGACGACCTACAGTTTGATGAGGGTCAGGTTATAACCGTCGATAACGTTGAAGACGAGGAATGGTACTATGGCTCTTATACTGACTCTGCTTCTGGACAAGTCAAGAAGGGCATCTTTCCTCAGAACTTTGTCCACGCCTATACCCCACCAAAGTCTGCTGGCCGCAAAGCCCCTCAACCACCAGGCCCACCGGCAGCTGCTGAACCAGCTCCAGCTTCTCCACCTGCTGCTGCTCCAGTTGCTTCTGCTCCGGCTCCAGCTCCAGTTGCTGTTCCGGCTCCTGCTACCGCGTCTGCTCCTGCGCCAGCTCCTGCACCCTCAGCTAGTTTCACGTCTGCGGAACCTGCGACTTCCGGCTCGCCGGTCAAGAAGAAGAATGCTTTCTCTGACCGTATTGCTGCTTTTAACCAGACGGAGCAGCCACCTCTTGTGCCCTTTTCACAACCAAAGGTGCAGTCTTTTGTCAAGAAACCTTTTGTTGCTGCACCTTCCAATTCGTACATTCCGAGTTTTCCACCGCCTATTCATAACACGGCCCACACTCTTGGTGAACGCGTGCCGCATGCGGCACCCCCACCAGAAAACATTGTTCATCGCGACGATCCTGAAGAAGAGGAAAGAGAGCAGCCTCGTGTTAGTCTCAAGGATAGAATCAGACTTCTTCAGCAGCAGCAGCAGGAAGAGCAGGCTCGCATTGATCAGTTGACTAAAAAGAAACATAAGCAAAAGCCCAAGAAGGAAGAAGCAACTCCTACGTCAGAAAGCAGTGCAGGAATTGAGTCTGCAGTTTCTCCTGATGGCTTAGAGGCTGCACACACGGGGGAGTCTCAATTGACTTCTCCAGAAAGCACACAACCACCTGTTATTCCTCCGGTGACGTTCCCTCATGAGGATACTGGAGAGCAAAGTACTGAGGGTGGACAGCAAAATCCCCCCATTTTTGCAGCCATACCAGGTGCACCATTACCCGTGCCACCTACGTCAGGAGAGCATTTAGACCGAGATGCACCTGAAACTCAGGGTGAGGAAGAGAAAGATGAGGAAGAGGATGATGAGGAAGAAGAAGAAGATGAAGAAGAAGATGAAGAAGATGAGGAGGAGGCTAGAAGAATTGCTCTTCGCGAACGTATGGCTAAGATTTCGGGTGGCATGGGTATGATTGGTATGATGAATCCATTTGGTTTCCCTGGTGGCGCTCCTGCCCCTAAGCCTAAGAAGAAGCAACCCAAAAAAAAGGAAGAGGAAAATATTGATCATCCAGAAATGCAACAGGCTCCAGTTCCAATTTTGCCTGGGTTTAACCTGGGTGAACTTCCTGGCGCCCTGAAACCTCAGCAGAAAGAAGCTGAAGAGAGCGAGACAGAAGACCAACAGCGATCTGCTCCACAACCTGAACAACAGACTCATAGACCACTTCCTCCAGAGCCTGTTGCTCCGACTTCTCCGGTTTCCCCTGTTGCACCTTCTTCGGCTCCCATTGTTCCGCCTACATCTTCCCAAGCTGCTCCTGTTGCACCTTCTATTCCTATCACTCCAGTAGCCCCTGCTGCACCTAGTGTGCCAGTAGTTCCCACTCTTGACTCACATGCGGATACATTTTCCTCCACTTCTTCTCCACCGGTTTTGCCTCCTGTTCAGATTCAAGGTCAACGCAATGACTTGAGTTCTGTAATTGATTCGTATCGTGACGATTCCGATGATGATGAAGACGATGGAGACTGGGGTGATGACGGTGCTACCAATAAACCTCAGCACACACATGCTCCTCCCCCACCTCCTCCTGTGACTGCTTCTTTGCCTCCTGCTCCTGAATCTCATGTTGAATATAGAGCTCCTCCCCCACCTCCTCCTACCGAGTCCAGAAGCATTTTGCCAAACATTAATACTTCGCCCATTTTGTCATCCTCACAACCTGAAAGTCCTGATGTGGCTTCTGTCCAACGCTCTAAGTCCACCCGCAGCAAACGGGATTCATTTAACCTTAATTCCATGAAAAAGAGCCTTGACTACGATGAAGTTGCAGAGGAAGAATTAGGTGACGATGAGCAGACCGAGTCTGAAGATAGCCGTCGGCCACTTCCTTCTACACAAGAGTTTAAAAACACAGCTGGTAATCGCAATTCATATATTGCTGGTAGTGGAATGATTCCGCCGATTCCCATGTCGCCATTGGCAGCACAAAATAGTGGTTCTCAAGCTTTGAGTCCGCGCGGTCTACCACCGCCACCTCCTCCAACTTCTGCCCCTGCTGCTGCTGTTGCAGCTCCAGCTGTTCCATCTATTCCTGCAGTTCCTGCAGTTCCTTCAGTTCCTGTAGTTCCTGCAGTTCCTGCGGCTGCTCTACAATCCGTGCCGCCAGTGCCAAGAACCACCATTAATAGCGACATGTCTTTACCTTCGAGTCCTCCACCACCACCACCTCCAGCTCAAGCACCACCTTTGATTCCGTACCGGAACTTGATTCCAGCGGAGGAGCCTGGCGAGTCATCTAGCGAGGTTACTGGGTATGAAGCTGATGAAGACACAGATTTGAACCATTCTGCTTCTATTGAAGATGAGTTCCATAATGCGTCGTCTTCACCGTCGGTTCCAAGATCTGCGGCTCCACCACCACCACCACCACCTCACTCGCAAAGTTCTCCTTCACTTGGACATGCAAAAACACCTTCTGTCCAGTCACCGCGTGCTCCTCCACCACCCCCTCCTGGAGCTTCTGCTGTTCATCAGCCACAGAAATCCAATACTATTCGTCAGGTTCCTCCCGAATCAGCTGCGAGATCTCCTGATTCTGATGTTTCATCAAACAGATTTAGTTTCCGCCGCACGTCATCGGAGCTCTCGCGTTCCAACTCGAAGCGCCATTCGCAGGCAAACAGCGTTTCATCATTTGTTTACGAGGAGCCTGTGGAGCTTCCCAAGACAATTGACTTGAGCGGTGAGACAGGTGCTTGGTGGGCATCACCTGAGGGTGTTCCACGAACGTTGCTTAATCGCCGGGACGTTCGCTACGAAGTTGAAGAGCAGGCTTTGCACAAACGTTCTGGGTTGAACGTGACTGTGCGGGACATTTACGTTTTGTTTGGAGACTTATCTCAGGAAGTGATTACAGTTGAGTTTGGTCCAAATATTAAGACACCTTCTGTGTTTGTCAACCAGGTTGCAGCACCCAACACCCCCAAAACTGAGGCACTTGCTTCTGCATACGAACGTTATGGACATCGTGTACTAGATATTGTGATGCGGTCGCCAACTGCTGGGCTGATTGTACCATCTGGGTCAGTTAACGGGTACGTTGAGGGTCTTTTGACTCAAGTTCCAGGTGCGCTTTTGCCTGCTGGCAGCACGTATGGAGCGCTGATTTACCAAAACAAAAACAATGCAACTGTGCGACAGTTTGATGAGGTGCGTCCTGGTGATGTTGTTGTACTTCGTGGGACACGGTTCTCTGGGCACCGGGGTAGCTTGCATCAAAAGTACACTGTGGAAGCTGGCCGTGGGGGTGAGGCTGTTGCGGGAGTAATTTATGAGTACGATTCCAATAAGCGCAAGGTACGTGTTGTTCTTCCTGAGGAGGGTGTTGCTGGAGGGAAGTTGAAGCAGGAAGGGTTCCGGATCAATGATCTTAAGAGTGGCGAGGTTTCAGTGTACCGAGTTGTCGGGCGGGATTTTATCGGCTGGTAAGAATTGGAATCCAGGTTATTATAGTATTATGGAAAAAAAAAAAATAAATAAAAAAAAATAAAATAAATATATAAGATATAAGTCTATATTGAGAAATAAGTTATAAAAAAATAAAAAATATTCATATTTAATTAAACTTGTTTCTTAAATTTTTAAAAGGGAAATTAATGCAAAATAAATTATTTAAAATAAATAAATAGAAAAAAAAAATTAAATAAATAAATATGCTCGTTTAATAGCGGAACAAGAGTCTCCGAAAAAGACATAAACCCGAGGTACGACGACGATGATTGATGATGATGATGGTGATGATATGGGTGGGGAGGGGAGAGAGAGATTATATCAAAGTAAAGCCAAAAAAAAAAAAAACTTTTTTTTATATGTCGCTGCTTTACGGTGGAGGGGCGGGGCGGGAAAGAAAATAACAGCCGCACGGCAAACAGTCGCCCATACAAGAGCCCATGTGCTTTATATTAATTTATTATCTATATTAATTTATTATAAAATAATTTAATTAAATATAAAAGCTTTATCAACATCACCATTAATGCCATTATCTTTACATCTTCTAAAGTGATAAAAAAAAAAAAAACTGTATCCATTAAAATATATAAAAATCGTAATAAAAAAAAAAACCAAATTAATCATCATAACAATTCCTTATTTTTTTACAAAGGCAGCTCGAAAGAAACATTGACATCAATCTTACGGGCCATCTCAACAACCTTTGCAAGCTGGCAAACCTTCTCGGCAGCCTCATCAAGGTCTTCGTAGGAAAAGATCTTCAGACCAGAATCAGAAATAAGTTGCTTGGCCTCAGAAACATTTGTACCTTGGAGACGGACCACCAGGGGGATGTTGATATTCATGTGACGAGTGACAGCAATCAAACCCTTGGCAATGTCGTCGCAGCGGACGATACCACCAAAGATATTAACAAAGATAGCAGTGACCTTGTGGTCTGAGGTGATAAGCTCAAAAGCCTTCTCAATGGTCTTAGCAGTGGCACCACCACCGCAGTCCAAAAAGTTGGCTGGATCACCACCATAGAGCTTGATAATGTCCATAGTGGCCATGGCGAGACCAGCGCCATTGACGAGGCAGCCAATGGTACCGTCGAGCTTGATAAAGTTAAGGCCAGCATTAGCGGCTTCAATCTCGTCGGGGTCTTCCTGAGACAGATCACGGTAAGACCAGACCTCAGGCTGGCGGAATGAGGCATTGTCGTCAAAGGCGAGTTTAGCATCCATAGCCAGGACCTCGTGGTCAGTGGTTTCAGCGAGAGGATTGATTTCAATTTGGGTAGCATCCTTTGTGATAAAGATTTTATAGAGGTTCTTGACGGTTTCAGCAGCCTTGGGGACAGCCTTTGCAGAAAACCCGAGCTCTTTGGCAACGGAAAGGGCCAATTCATCAGTGACTCCCTGGTGAATGTCGACCTTGAAGGTCTTGATGGCATCTGGAGTTTCTTTGGCGACACCTTCAATGTCCATACCACCTTGAGAAGAAGCGACAATGAGGGGAGCTTGAGAGCCTCTGTCCATGAGAATACAGATGTAAGCTTCACGTCTTACGAATTCACGTTCGACAATATAGACGGCTGTGACCTCTTTACCTGCAGGGCCCGACTGTTTTGTAATGAGTTTGTGGTGAAGCATTTGCTCTGCGTACATTTTAGCCTCGAATGGAGAGGAGATGAGCTTGACACCACCCTTGAGGCCGCTATCAAAGACACCTTTACCACGGCCACCAGTGAGGGCCTGAGCCTTGATAACCATATCTTCGAGGTTAAGAGACTTTGCAATTTCGTATGCTTGTTCTGGGGTGGTAGCAGCGGCACCTTTAGGGACTGGAACACCATTTTCCTTTAGGATTTGAGCGGATCTGTATTCGTGGAGGGAAAGGTTACGGCATTGTTGGCGAATTGCCGTCTATACAAGAGCAATTGAGTTAGAGTGAGGTAGGTTTAGAGTGGTTATCAGTGGTATATGGTAGCGTGATTTTTTTTAAGAAAAAAAAAAAAAGAAAAAAGAAAAAAAGAATCATGGGGGAAACATGAGATGTTAAAACACATACGGCATTGACCAGACGTCTGGCAAAGAGGGAGCGTGGAAGCATGGTTATGATATAGAAGACGATGAATTATATATATAAATATATATATATATATATATAGAGAGAGAGAGGGAGAGAGAGAATAACAATAAAAAGGAAGTAAAAGATAGAAAGAAAGAAGAAAGAGGGGGGGAGGGGGGGAAGAGAGTTATTATATATTTATATTTATATATTTTTAAATAAAAAAAAAAAAAAAAAGGCGTGCTTGTTAAAAAGATAATCTCTGGGCTATTTTCTACTATTTAATATTTATTTAATATTTATTTAATATTTATTTAATATTTATTTAATATTTATTTAATAATAATTATAATAATATGCGCTAATCTCTTGCTCGCACCCGCCAACCCCTCCTCCTCCTACTTCCCATTTGTTACAACTTTTTTTTTCAGCACCGGCGGAACTCTCAGGTGAGGGGTCTTTTTGTTACAACTTGGATTTTTTTTTTTTTTTTTTTGTTTTTGGTTGTCTGACTGGCTATCTGGCTGTCTGCTCCCGCCGCACCCCCGCTCTAACTACTCTAAGCAGTTACTGTTACCCGAACCGTCTTAGGAAACTTACCAATGGTATCGAAGTGTTTGTTGGTGTAAGCAAAAAAAAAAAAAAAAGCTGATTGAGTTACCAATTGGTATATATATATATATATATATATATATATATATATAGTATTAATATTATTGTTATTATATAATAACTTTATTACTACAACTTCTTACACAGAAATTCTTTACCACAAGCATTGAAACCCCGCCTTTGGAGCCGACTCTTTTCCACGCCGAGCTGCCGACGACCGAGCGGTCACCAAAAAAAAAAAAAGGCTGAGAAAGAAAGAAAGAAAGAAAGAAAGAAAGAAAGAAAGAAAGAAAGAAAGAAAAGCATTGAAATTATGGAAGGGCTTTTACAGACTGATTGACCGACAAACTGACTGACTGACTAAAGGACTTGGGATTAATTTAGAGGACGTAGAAACAGAAAAATAAGAAGATCCACTTACATATCCTTTTAGAAAGAAGCAAAAAGAGAGACTTATTTGCCAATCGTAGCATCTACCGTGTCGGATGAGAGACATTTTCAAGCAAATGGCATTTGTTCTATATAAGAACTACAAGAACAATTAAATGAAGATAAAATAAAAATAAAAATAAAGGTTCTTCTGCTATAAGTCACTTCCATCATTGTACTACATTATTCTTTTCTGGAGATTTCAAAGCAAATAGGGAACGTTTAGATGCTCAGATAAGGTCTATCCATATATATATATCTCAATTGGTATATATACACTCTCTTTCTATTAATTCTATTACCACTCGGGTCGTTTATATTTACATTCCTTCCAGACACGATAATAGAAGATCATCGTTAACTTAATAATTTACTGGAGGATTAAAAGTGTTGTATTTTATTATTACTTGTTTTAACCAACAATGGAAGAATGTACCCCCCCCCCCCCTCCTTTTTTTTTTTCGCTCTTTCTCCATTTCATTTTCAAAAAAAAAAAAAATAAAAAAAAAAACTTCTCGGGTTTAGGCAACCCGAAACCCGAGTTTGGTCCCGGTGTCCTTTGATTTAAAAATAATAATAATAATAATAATAATAATAATAATAATAATAGTTATGGAGAGGGAAGGAATAATAAATATATATATATATATAAATATAAGCGTATCATCATGTGATTATAAGTTTAAATTTATTTGTAAATGATTAGGTAATTATTTTTTTAAAAATAAAAAATTTTAGAGATGAACTATGCAAAGAGATAAATAAATCAAACAAACAAACAAAAGACAACAGTGAAAGAAAGATCTTTAACAAAAAAAAATAATAAAAATAAAAATAACTAGTAATAAGTTTAGAGAAGAAATAATAAAAAGAAAAATTTACTCAAACTATTCATTATTCATTATACATTATAATAATAATAATAATAATAATAATAATAATAATAATAATAATAATCACCATACTTCAGATGTCAGAGTTATATACATAGACCAATTGCACAGAAAACTACAACCATGGCTTCAACATCCTCATCCTCCACCTCTTCGGTTGCAGAACCATACCGCAATAATACCAAAAAGACGGCACAAGAACTTGATGTACTATCTGCAAAATATGCTCAAGCAATAGCTCAACGAAAGAAAATGGTAGCCTCATGGCTCCAAGATAGCGATGATGATAATGATGATAATGGTGACGATAATGGTGATGATAATAATGACAATAATAATAAAAATTCAATAGCTACTTCTAATAGCAACCAAATAGATACAGACGATTCACCATTCATGACCCAGTTTAAGCCGCATTCAAACTCAACGGCAGGCTTAGGGTCTTTACGAGCACACCAAAAACAATCTTTTCAATTTGTTCGCTCTAAGCTCGGCATAGGGATTAATAGTAGTAATAGTAGTAGTAATAATAATAATAATAATAATAATAATAATAATAATAATAATAATGGACCAGCCATGTCTAGTGCAGATACAAAAATGCTTGGGAATGCTGCAAAAACGCTCAACGGTGTTCGAAAACAGTTACAACGGAATTCTAGAAATATATCAAATAACAGAAACGTTGACTACAAAGCCCGAACTTCAGCCGTCACCGCCGTCACCGCCGACGCCGACGCCGCCGCCGCCGCTAAAATTCCAGCTTGGTCTTCGGTGGCCGGTGGCACGGCTGCAACGGGAAGAAAGACAAGAGGTGCAATAGGGGCAATAGGGGCAATAGGGGCAATAGGAGCAATAAGAAGCAACAAGCAAGGTGGTAGTGCGGCTGGAAAAAGTGAAAATGACAACGGCAGTGACAACGACGACAGCGACGATGATGATGATGATGATGATGAAGAAAGTAGAGGCAAAGCTACGATATCTAAACGAAATAAAAGTACTTCATTTTTTGATACATATAGGTCTTCCAAAAAAAGAAAATAAAAAAAAAAAAACTGTCATTATTTTATATTAAATCAATTTATATATAAATTGATATATATATATATAATTTCTTCATTTGTTTATTGTAGTAATAATAATAATTTAAATCAACAAATTTTTTTTTTCTAGAACTAAAAAAAAAGAAAAATAAATATAAATAAATATTACAGGAGTACAATACAAGATAGTTAATAATAATAATAATAATAATAATAATAATAATAATAGCAATAATAATAATAATAGCAATAATAATAATAATAGCAATAATTAAACAAAAAAAAAAACCAATAATGACAATCCACAAAGAATATTATTGAATAATAAAATAAAAAAGAAAACTATTTCATTTTATTTTCCAGTTTTTATAATCCTTTGTTTCTTTTTCTCTTTTTCTTCTTTTCCTTTATACCAAAATCCCATTTTCTGTTTTTTTTTCTTTTTTTTCTCTCTCTTTAACTTTATCCCATCTTTCTCTCTTTCTTTTTTTTTTCTCTCTTTTTATTTCTTTATTTCTTCCTTTCAAGAAACTCTTAACCGCTTGCGATCGGGCTCATCAAGCCCAGGGGTCAACGGACTCCCAACAGCCGCAGCAACAGCTGCAGCCCCCCCAGAACACAACCCAGTATTATTGCTGCCTTCGTGGTCGTTTGTATTTGTATTTGTAGATGATGACGATGGTGCTGCTGATGTTAATGTAGTCGTTCCATTCTTCTCTGATCCATCAAAAATAAGTTTCTTAGAAACACGTAGTGCCGAAGATGATGAAACCGACAAAGATGTTGATGACGATACTAAAGTACCATTACCACCACTACCACCAGGAGATAATAATCCCCGTGACACAGAAGGTGATTCTGGACCTTTAGTCTTTTCAGAAACAGGAGATACTGCAGATGAAACAGATGCAGACGATGAAGATGATGAACTAGACACAGCTGCAACAGGAGTACCAGCGCTGCGGCTAGCACCACCTGCACTACTCGTCGCAGTAGTCTTCTTCTCTTCGCTCTCACTGCTAGTGTTAGAAGGTGTAGGATTCAACAGTGACTGCACGCTGCTTCCATGGCGTAAAGATGTGGTAGACCCACTTCTTTCTAATTTAGGAGATGAAGCATTGTTAATACTACTACCATTTCCCGTAGTAGATGCTCGAGGACTTGTATTACCTCCTTTAATCTCCTCGTCATTTTTCAGTTCCAAAATCCCTCGTTTTTTACCTGAAACAACATCAGGGCTCCCATTATCAATCATTGACGAAATATTTAACGGCGCAGAACCGCCAGTATTATTATTTGCAGCTCCTTTATTGTTGGAGGTCTCAACACCGCCAGGTCTTTGCTGGGGAGGCGTTGGAGAAAGTCTAGAGTTGTTATTTCCGGAATGAGAAGAAGTAGATGTTGCTGATGTTGATTTTGTCGATTCTGATGATGTTGTTGTAGTTGTTGTCGAGGAAGAAGTAACATTAGAGTTTCCGCCTCCAACATTAGATCCACCCGTCAATGGCACAGCAACTCCTCCTGTCGTTGCCGTGGTATTATTAGTAGTGGTAGTTGTACTCTCAGCAGGCCCATTAAAAAGTGCTGCTGTTGATGATGTTGATGATGACGATGATGATGATGATGATGATGATGATGATGATGATGATGACGACGATGACGATGATGATGTATTAACATGTGTAACAGCTGCTGTATCATTACTAATAGCTGCATTAAGGATACCACTTGAGCTCGAATTGCTTGAAGCACAACTGTTTTGGCGGCTGCTTCCAGTGTCAGGGGGTGTCGACATGGAAAAAGATGAAATTGGGGGGACATACTGCTGGTTAAGTAAGCTATTATGGTGGTGGCCTGAGCCACTGCTTGATGTGGGACCACTAAATGACGAGTGCAGGTGGTACCCGCTGCCACTATTACGATCACCTCCATGTGTAAATGACGATGGAGGAACAAGAAGTTCACTCGACGTGTGACGGCGGTACCCCATTTCACTTCTGAGCTTTGATGGGGCATTGGTAAATGCAGATCCAGAAGCACCTTGACCCCCAAGACTCGGCAGGTGATGGCTCGATCCAGACGAGGATGTGTGAGACTGATGGTGAGAATGGCCGGAAAACGATCCATAGGGATTAGAACTAGGGATCTGAGACAACCCATAAGATGCTTGTCTTTGGCTATGATAAACACTAACCAAGGGGAATGATCCTGGTCGTTGGTCTCTACTGGGGGGCATAAGATCGTGATGAGGAAAGTGTTGTTGTTGCTGCTGCTGTTGTTGCTGTTGCTGTTGCTGTTGCTGCTGTGGTTGTTGTTGCTGCTGTTGCTGCTGCTGTTGAGAACCATGCTCACCATAAAAGTATGACTGATTATATGATGGAGGAGGATGAGAAGGAGAAACAGACGAAGAATGAGCGGTATTTGCTGTACTAGAAGTAGTATTGACAGATGATGCATTTGTTATCACAGGCGAATGGGGTGTGCTACCAGCAAAAGCTGGGGAATTGGAAGATGGAGAACCTGAGTTACCATTTGGCTGAAGAGGTGGCAAAGGCTGGGGGTTATTTGATCCATTAATAGAGCCATTAGCAGTAGGATGGGAAGAAGGAATATGAGGATAAGGAGGCTCTGAATTTGAAGGAACAGGAGATGATGGAGAAGAAGAGCATGGGCTATTGCGAGCGGAAGACTGGTAGTGATGGTTATAAGTGCTATGACTGTGGTAATGGCTAAATAACCCACCAGGCGCCGACTGTCGATGTAAATGATATGTGGAAGAACCAACTTGAGGAGCAGAGGTTGGGAAACCCTTTTCATCAGGTCCAGCTGAGCCAGGATTTGTAGATGCAGAACTATTACTTGGACCATTGACCATTCCAACAGCTGGCTGGCGAGGAGATGTTGGATTTGGAGGAGCAGGAGCCAGTGGGTCATAAAATATGGATGCTGTACGTTCCTTGGTAGAGGAAAAGGAAATCTCAGTTTTGGTGTGTTGAAATGGGGCTGAGGTGGGCTGCTGCTGCTGCTGCTGGAACGAATAAGAAGGGAAAGTATTTGGTAGTGCAGAGGAAGGATAATGAAGGTGGTGGGAAGCAGCACTAGATGGATGCAAATGAGTGTGTTGTTGTTGTTGTTGTTGTTGCTGATGATGATGTTGATGTTGCTGCTGGGCTACAGCTGCAGAATCTTCAGCTGCAAGCATCGATAGCACAGAAACTTTGTGTTGAACATTAGTACGGATCCTGTTAATGTCAAAGTTCAACTGTTGAATGAGCGACGCTGTGGAAGCCGACATTTCAGGAAGAAGGTTAAAACGGCTGGAATCAAGATTGTTTGAAGCCGAGTTGGAAACTCCCGGAGCACCAGTGTCGGTTGAGGAGGGGGTATCCGAATCCACTTTTGATTGAACATGATCGAGTTTTGTAGCAACCTGGTTAATATAATCACGGAAATACATTTGTGCTGCATCAAACTCATTAAGTTGATTGACAATTTTACTTAGAGATTCTAGTGTTTGAAGTAAATCCGTTTGACTACGTTTGCAAGTATCTACCAATGATGTACAGCGAGATTGGAGAGAGGTATTAGAAGCCTGGAGATTAGAAACTGCATTTTCAAGTGAGGATATTCTAGCATCTGTAGATGATTGATCTGTAGGGGGTATTTGATGAGGGTGTTGTTGTTGTTGTGGTGGTGGTGGTGGCTGTTGTTGTTGTTGCTGTTGATGCTGTTGAAGTTGTTGTTGCTGTTGATGCTGTTGAAGTTGTTGATGCTGTTGATGCTGCTGCTGCTGTTGTTGTTGCTGTTGTTGCTGTTGTTGCTGTTGTTGCTGCTGTTGCTGCTGTTGCTGCTGTTGCTGCTGTCGTTGTTGTTGTTGCTGCTGCTGCTGCTGCTGCTGGTGGTTTGGAGCCATAGGGATTTGTGGTTGCGGGTTTTGTTGCTGTTGTTGCAGTGAAACTGAAGAATGGTAAAAATTGACATGAGAGGGTTGAGTTGAGTTTGGTGGATGAGGATGAGCAGAAGGATGTGGAGGTGGAGGAGCTTGCTGTGGTTGCTGTGGTTGTGGCTGTTGTGGCTGTTGTGGTTGTGGTTGCGGTTGCGGTTTAGAAGGAGCTTGTTGCTGTTGCTGTTGCTGCTGCTGTTGCTGCTGCTGCTGTTGTTGATGCTGTTGTTGATGCGATGATGGGTGTGGTGGCGGTGGTGGTGGTGGTTGTTGTTGTTGCTGTTGTTGTTGCTGTTGTTGCTGTTGCGGCGGTAATGGCAGTTTTTGATGCTGTTGTTGATGCTGATGTGGTGGGATTTGCTGGTGAATAAATTGCTGGTGAATATGAGGTGGTGGAGGTTGTTGATGAAGAGGAATAGGGCCAACGGTAGGATTCATTGGAATCGGTATTAGAGGAGGTTGTTGGGTATTATTTAAAGAAATAGGACCGATAGTTGCGGCAGCAGCAGCGGCAGCAGCAGCAGCTATTGCATTGGTGGTATTCATAGAATAGTCAGAAGCTCCATTTGGAGGGCCAGCTCCTGGAGGAGGTGTAGATGGGACAGAAAGAGAAATTGATTTTAAGGGAATACTATCTCTGTGGATGGAGGAAGGTCTTGAAGCTCTTCGTTTAATACCACGAAGTGCTTCAGTATCGCCACGTTTGAAGGATCCGGCACCATGTTTAAATTCCCATTGTGCAGTTTCCGACGAGTTTGAGTTAGAAGATGAGTTTGAATTGTTTGAGCCGTGAAAATTGTCATTGACTTTATGGAAGCCATACATGTTGAGTTGTCTTACAAATGATGAGACGTTTGTGTGTTTAAAATAGAGGGCCAAAACTTTTGAAAACTCTTCACCAGGCGAGATGACGAACGAGTCATTAGAGCGAGTCCAAGAGATTAAATGTCTGATGGATTCATCTTCAAGCATACTTTTTTAAAAAAAAAAAAAAAAAAAAAAAGAATATTAGAGTTATGATGGATGAGAAAAGATTGGTTATTACTTACTTGTAAAGCTTATGTATAAATGCTGACTGGTTAACTTTTCCTCCGGTGGAAGTTCCAGAGACGGAAGATGATTTAGTTGTTGTTGGAACATGCTTTGGACCTGAGTCCAAGCGATCTAGAGAGTTTCTATGGGCTGAAGCAGCAGGATGTCTCTCAGGCATCTGTGATTAAGAGTGATGTATGATTTGTTGAAGTATCGAAAACAAGAGAACCTTTTTTTTTTTTGTTTTTTTGTTTGTTTAGGGAAGGAAATGGGTGGTAAGAAAAAAAAAAAAGGTGTATGTTTGGGTATATATATAAAGGTCTAAAGAAAAGAAGAAAAAAAAAATTGATATAAATATAAAATTCTGGTTCTTTCTTTAATTTTTTTTTTTAAAAAATTTAAAAAAATTAAAAAAAATTAAAAAAAAATAAAAAAATTTAAAAAATATATATCCAAAAGTTTTTGTCTTCTAGTATATTTTCTTTAAAATGTAATATTTTTTGAACTTTTAAAAGTGTATAGTTGGTTCGTATAAAAAAAATTTTTTTTTTTTTCAATTTTTATTCCGAAAGGCCTTATTTTTTTTTTTTTGGTTGACAAGAGATATTTTAAGCAAAGGTGGATTTGTTGACATATATATATATATATAATAATGTTTTTTGTGGTTGATTATTTTTGTCTGTGAAAGAAAAAAGGATTTCTGAGCTAGTAAATAGTAATAATAGTAATAATAGTAATAATAGTAATAATAGTAATAATAGTAATAATAGTAATAGTAATAGTCGTAATGATTAAGAAAATAATGGCAGTTATTATTATATTTATATATAAATAATGAATGTTGGATGATTGGATAGTAGTAATATGAGAGGAAGAAGAAGAAGAAGAAGAAGAAGAAGAAAGACTTTTTATTAAAAAAAAAAAATTTAATGAAGTTGAAAATGTTGATTTAAAAAAAAAAATAAAAAATAAAAAATAAAAGTAAGAAAATAAAAAAAAAAAAAATAAAATAAAAAAGAAGAAGAAATAAAAAAAAATCAAAAAATTAAAAAATTAAAAACTCCAGATTTTTTTTTTTTTTTAACAAAAAGTTTCTTTTCTTTTTTTTTTTTTTTTTAGTTAATTTTTTTTTTTTTTAAGGAGAGAGAGAGAGCTTGTTGAAAAAATATTCACAACCGGCTAAAGAAAGTGGTGGCATATGGGCTGCAAGTCTTTCCTACCACCACCACCACCACAACTATATATTGAAATGATGATAATAATAATAATAATAATAATAATAATAACACCAGTTATAGAATGTTACACACAACAATTCAAAAAGTATATTAAAAATATATTACTATTTATTACTATATAAAATAGTAATAACTATTTTATTATAAAATTATTATATCTTAAACATTTGTTAGTACTTTCACAAATAAAAATTTATAATTGTTAGATTAATTTTAGTTAAGTTAAATATATATTAAATATATTAAATATATTAAATATATATAAATATTTCTACCTGGGTATATTAAACCCCCCTCTTCCCTCTTTCCTCTTCCATATTTTCTTTTTCTCTCCCCCCACACTCTGTAATGTCATACATTTGTGTAATACATCTAAATGCATGCCATATCATATCCTCGATAACTTTCGCTTATTGATTTTTTTGTTTTAAATTAAATGCGTACTCTGGGCGGTACATCTACGATTGACCGCCTTTCTCCCAAAATAGCAATTAAAATAAACAATATAACTTTGAATTATAATTAATTATAGAAAATTGAATAGCTACCCTAGCACAGTGGTGGTCTTTCTTTGTCTTTCTGTGCCTAAAGTTACGCGTATCGGTCCATGTTTTTTTTTTTTATTATTTTATTTTTTTGCCCTTTCACTGTAGTACAGACACACACACACACACCAGAATATCGAAGATATATTGATACTGGTATTTTAACAACAACAACAACAACAACAACAACAACAGTAACAGTAACAACAGTAACAGCAACAATCATAAATCATAAATCATAAATCACAAATCAATTCAAGCCAATATGGAATGATATGGCGCCTACGCCCTAGCGCCCTTCTTGTGATGGTCTTCATGTATTCACATAAAAATAAAAATAAATGAAAAGGCACATTCTACAGTCGTTTTTTTTTTATTTTTATTTTTATTTCTTCTTTTTTCCTTCAAATCCACTGGTCAGTAAGAATATATATATAATATATTATAGTGTAAAGAAGATATACAAAAAGGAAGAAAAAGAAGAAGAAGAAGAAAATTATTAAAAAAAAAAAAGGACCTTCTTTCAAAGGCTTCTAGATACTTCTAGATACTTCTAGATTTCTTCTTTTGTAATAACACTCAAAAAAAAAAATCAATTGATTGCATTTTAGGCAGAAAAAAAAACAATAAACAAATAAATAAATAAATAAAAACTTGCTTATACTAAATCGTTATATGGTCTATCATATTTATTCACATCCCCTCCTTTTATTTAACAACTAATATAGTATAGTTAGAAATTGAATTGAATAATATTAAAAAATAAAAATAAAAATAAAAAAAACATACACAAAGAAATTTCATAACTTATGAGTTTATTTTAATATTCCAATTTTTTGGCATCATTTTACCTTTCAATGTCGATAGTTTGATTTTATAAACTATATGTTTTACTAGATATATTATCATTATTATATTATATAGATAATCACCAGTGTTTTGGTCGACAAACTTATTATTCACTAATACCACCTATTTCACCATTGTTCTTCTCTTTAATCGGAAATAAACCTTTTTTTTTTTTTTTACTTTGTAGTTTATAATTTCAATCGATAATGATTGCTTTTTCATTCAATTAATTGTTGTAAAAAAAGTTGATTTCTTTTCCTTTTTCTTTTTTTTATTACTGTGATTAGGGCAAGTAGACCAAAATTAACTAAAACGCCAACATCTATCTACCTTAAGCTTTAAAAAAGAAAAATAATAATAAAAAGAAAGAAAGAAAGAAAGAAAGAAAGAAAAATTTCAATTCTTTATTTTTCTTTCTTCCTAGTTTAGAATTTACTAAAAAAAAAAAGTACTATAAAATCTATTGTCCTAAGCATTATCCGCCTTTAGTATTAGTATATGCTATTGGTTCGTATTTCTTTCTTTCTTTCCTTCTTTCTTTATTCCTAGTTCCTAGTATAAAAACTACATGGACATAATGATAATAATAATAATAATAATAAATCAATATAAGATTAAAAAAAAAACAAATCTTTTTCAAAATAAAATTATATTGTCGATTTTTTATTTTTTATTTTAATTTTCATTTCTTTAAAAAAAAATTTTTTTTGAAATAAAATAAAATAAAAAACATAAATTTCATCTTTAAATTAAGGACAATGTTATTGTTCACAGCCATGCCATCTTTCATTAAACGGAAGGTAAATCTTTTTTTTTTTTAAGCTTTTATGGTTATCATTTCAGATTATCTGAGCCGCCTTTATTTTCTTTCTTTCTTTCTACTCCATTTTGAAAACTTTTTTTTTTTCATTTTAGAAATAATCCTATCCTCCTCCCTCTTCGGCAAGTAAAGAATCCACTTGAAAATTCAATATTATTTGATAATCATGATCATAATGATGATGGTTAAAGTTTATTCCCTAAAAATGTCTACTTGATATCTTTAAAAAAAAAAAAAAAAAAAAGGGGAGCTCGGCCATATGGCCAGGCCACCTTGAAAGTTTGTCTAAATAAAGCATCTAAGGCGGTTTTTTTTTACCGATGATCACCACCATTGTTTGCGATTCATGCTAACTTAACCAATTGATGGTGATAATGACAATGTTGATTGATTGATTGATTGATTGATTGATTGATTGATTGATTGATTGATTGATTGATTGATTAATTAATTAATTATTAATAATTAATAACGTCAAATTAAATAAATAAAATGTTTGCTGTATTGGACAACTTCAATACTTTCTACTTGATACAATATTGTATCTAGCAGGTGCAATAATCATGTATGAAACCATATGACCGGTTATGTTTCTCTCCAAGCGCTTTTTCTCCTCCTCCTCCTCCTCTTCCCCTAAATAACATGTTCGATTTGTGTTTGTAATTTTACCCCACAGGGAATAATAACACCCACATCTATATCTATGGGTAAATATAGGCATCTATTTCGTCTTTATCACCAAAAAAATATTTTTTACATACTTATATATATATATATATATATATATATTGGATAATCAATGTCATTTAATTAGCCTGTTTTCTTTTTTTTTCCATATGCCAATTTTTGGGGAACAAACACTTGTAAGTGGAAAAAAAAAAAATAAAATAAAAATAAATTTTTTTATATGAAATATTTGCAAACAAAAGTAACGATTTTAAACTCCACTTTAGTAAATTAGTAGAGTGTTTTTTTTTTTTGTTTTATGTTGTAAATGTAGAAGATCTTCAACCTGACAATCTTTACAAAAGAATATTCTACATTACTTCCCAAAAAAGATATTGAAAAAAAAAAAAAAAAAAAAAAGGGACAACCTCTTTTAACTTTTATTTCTGCTTTTCTAAATAGTGTCTTGCTTGATATATTGCATATAGGTAATTGAATAATTGGTCCAATAATAATACATTCTAAAGAAGAAGAGTTGTTGCACAAGATTAATTTAATAGGGAAAAAAAAACGCACGTTTTATATATAGATATATTTTCTTTTGAAAAAAAAAAAAAAAAAAAAAAAAAAAAAACTTTAGTACTAAATCCTCAAAAATCAACTTTTATACATTATTACCGGGAATATATATATGTATATTTAAATCATTTAAGAAAAAAAATTAATTTTCAGTTCTTGAAACCGAATTTTCCCAAAATATCATCAATCTTAACACAGTAATGGCAAATATTTCAAACAAATTTTTTTATTTTTTTTTTTTTGCATTCAAAATCGACCCACCTACCACCTCCCTTATTTCACGTGGGGTGGGGGGGAGGAGGAGTATGTGTGATGATGGTCAGTACAAATGTTTCTCTTTTTTTCATTAAAGTCTTGTGCCAAAATCATTTAAAGAATATCACTTTGGTTTCAATAAAAGTTAGGATTGACATTTAATTTTTTTTTTTTTTTTGGGGGGGGGGGCTTATCCAACATTTTAATTCTGGAGCTCTACCCCAAT